TTGGCAGACGACTGGTCGGATGTGAGCACCAGCTGAGTACCCTGCGCGGGGCATTGCGTTGCGAATCGTAACGCATGGCCAAACCGCGGCGAAGGCTCAAGCAGTGCGGCGCGCAGTTGCACGCTTGACAGATGAGGTCGGCACCTGCTTAACGGAGCGAGGGGCCGGGAAAAATGAAGAGCACCAAACCCAGACTGCTGACAGAATCCACGGGGGTGCCTCGCGGTGCTCTGATCGTTGCGCCTTAGAATTCCCACGACAAGGCGCGCCCAACCGGTGACGATTTTGCCGGAGGCTCGCAGAGGCGAGATAGCCAAAAGGCTGCCAGCTTGTGCCCCAGAGGCGACCCACACGCCACAGACCGCGCGAAAAAGATGCGAGAGCATTAATTTCATACGCCACACGGGGAGGCGGCGGAGCCTCGGCGGGTGCGTGCTTCACCTCTAGACGACGGATAGCACTGCGCGCGCCTATCTCCAGGCCGTGGCAGTAGGTTGACTGCGCGAGAAGGTCTAAGTCCTTCAGCCGCGTGACAACTGTCGACGTATGGCCCTTCTGTCGCCCGCGTACGGTACCGCTGTCGATGAGCCATCACCCATAGGCGAAGACGCCAGTCCAAGCGCTTGGTGCGACGAGAGCCAGCAAAAGCAGCCCACGACGTGACCCCCCACGAGACTGCCAGCCAAGGCATGATCTCGGCGCATAAGACGCCGCCCGGGGGAGAAGCTCTGCCATGCTTGCGGCGCTTCGGAGCAAGGCTCCGACCGGAGCTCGCAGCCGTGGCGGATGACCCTGCCACCCGGCGCAAAGGCAACGAGATCAACGACAGCCGCGAGGCCGTCGAGGTTCGGAGGGTCGGCTGGGACCTCGACGACATTCGAAAAGGCTCCGCGAAAAGTGTAGAGAGCGGCCCTCCACGTGAGGAAGTCAGCCGCGGAACTGCGGCAAGTCGAAATGTATGCGAAGCGTGCGGAGATGCTTCGGTCCTCGAAGGTGCAGCAGATGCGTGCGACTAACGGCGCCGCGGCATGGCCCTTCGTGTTTGCCTTGAAAAGAATATGAAAAAACGGCGCCGGCGTTGTCACCGTGAAAAACTGTTGCGGTGCCGGCCGGCGCAGGCACAGCTGCCACTGCGAGGACTGCCCGCCGCGAGCAACTCGCAGAAGACGACAAGCTTGCTGGCTACGCAGTCCCGCCAAGGAAGACCGAGGAGAAAGCACTCGCTGACCGATCTTGTTGAACGTGTGAGCCTGCGACCCAGACTGCGGGCCCTTCTTCACTAGCATCAAAGTAAAAGGGTGACCTCGCAGGGGTGCAAAGAGAGCCCGCGCGAGCCGTTGCGGCTTCAGCCGCAAGACCAGGCCAGAGACCTGCCCAAGCTGCCGCGCCACAGCTTCGCGGCAGGTCGCCGAAGCAAGCCAACCGGGCCCCGAGAGCTGTGCCCCCGGTGTCAGCCAACAAGGAAGCACGGCACGCTATAGCCAGGCGCGACGGCTTGCGTCGTCTTGCACACATGACGAACGCGACACATCCGCAGAGCTTCAGCCCCTCCGCCTCTCTCTCTCTCTGCAGCACTTTCACGATATGCGCTCTGCGCGAGGCGCTACACACAGGTCACTCCGGTGGCGCCCCTCGCGAGGCTAGCGACCAGGGTGAGCCTCTTGCCACGCGCAGCGACCTCGTAGACCGTCTCCGCGTCGCTACCGAGGCGGCAGACGACGCCGAAGACTTCAGGCACACCCTCGCCGCTGGCAATGCCCTTGGCAAAAGACCGCGCGGGGCTTATGATGAATCCGCCCGCTGCTGGCGAGAAGGCAGGCCGAAGATGAGCTCCCCAAGGCCGTGAACTCCTTGGGCCTCGGGCTCGGTCTTCACGAAAAAAAAACGCTGTCGTCGACATAAGCCAAGACTGGGACGCCGAAGGAGGCACAAAGGCGCTCGATTAACACAAAAACCACGCAGAAGCTTCACAAGCTGAAAAAGGTGCCCAGCGTCTGGATGGAAGAGAGGCGCCATCGCATCCCCAACAACGGGGGACGGGGTTGGCGTAAGCCTGGGCGTTGCTTGCACGCTGGTTGGCGTTGGCGCGCTGAGAGCTGGCGCTGGAGACCACCGCGCCCGACAATCACCGGCGGCGGAAAATCTTGGCGAAAAGTTGCCGAGGCTCACGCGCGCGGCCCTTGTCCTTGTCTCATTAAAACGAAGCCAAAAGGAGCTCCGAAAACGAAACCGACACAACCCACACACGGACAAGCCAACCACTGCGCCGAGAGCATCACAAGCCGGCGAACCAGTCCGCGCCGCAGCCTCGCGCCAAATTCTCAAACGAATGCGCAACGCCTGACGCCTCCCAAGCCTGGAGAGAAGAACAGAGAAACCACAAAAACCACAGACAACAAGCGCGGAGCCCTATGCGGTTCCGCTGCAAGCTGCTGCGAGTTTGTTCTCGGCGATCCGTTTCCATGTCTTCACCCAAAAAACACGGAAGACGAAAGCTTCAAAATCTTCGCGGAATGTTTGCGGAAAGTTTACAGGTTTTGACAATGTTGGAGCTTCATGCGCTTATCTTTTCGGAAACATTCCGCAAAGATTCTTTTGAAAGATTTCGCAAACTTTTCGCCAAGATTTTTTTTTTCATATAGAAAAAAAAACGAAGAGGCAACCCAGGCGCCCAAGCGCAGAAAGATGGCCACCGCCGCCCCGCTTTGCCACTGCTTCCCCGCCTGCGTTTCCCCCGTCCTCCGCCCGGGTTCTCTACACCTCGAGGAGCTTGCACAGGCGTGCCGCGGCTGTATTCCAAGCAGCGCCGACGCCAATGACGTGCGGGCGGTCCGCACTCCCCTGGCGCCGGGGCTGTCAACAACAGAGAAACACAACACAAAGACAAAGCACCCGAGGCCGCGCCGCCGCCTTTTCCATACCCGAAAAGACAGAGGCAACGAAGACCAACCCGGGCAACTTTTCGCGAAGATCTCGCGGCCATGTTTCGCATCGACTTCAGTGGTGGCTGGGAAGCGTTTGCCATGTCACACTTTCGGCCGCGTGGCGTAGGCCTGCGCGCTGACACACACAGCAACCGGCGGCGCTGTCTGCCTGGCAGTAACGAAAAGGGGGCCGAAGCACTCCAAAAAGTGGCCGGCGAATTACCGCTCTGCCCTTGCTTTCCGTCGCCTTTCTCGCCATTCTTCTTGTTCGCATGGTCTGGCGCAGCTGCTCAGCCTTTTCCACAATATTGGCCAGCCCCGTCATCTCATGGCGGTCACCTCCTCCATGATGGCCGCACTTCTAAGACAGCCACGCGAGCTACCTTCGAACATTCGGGCTATTCGATGGTCGGACACTTTTCAGCCTGTACACTGGAAGAAACAGCCGCCCGCCTTTTGTCGAACGACTGCGGCCCTTCGTTCTTCCCTTGCGTCGTTGCTTTATTCCCTTCCGGTTCGTTGTAACGCAGCGGCATCGAGTGCCCCGCGCTCCGTCGCGTAGGTATCTCAGGCATGTTTTTCTCGCTGAGCAATTGCCTGCGTCTCAGCTCGGTACTAAATCTCAAGGCATCAGCTAAGCGTCTGAGCATCCATCATGCTCAGCGCGCGCTTCGATACTCTCACACGCTTACACCCCAGCGGGCGCGTGCTCTGAGTTTGAGAGTGCGAGACTGATCCAAGAGCGAAAGGGGCGCCTCTCATCTTTGTAATTGGGCACGTGCTTCAGGTCCGGCGCCTCTTCATGATTGGGGTTACCTGTGCCCTTTCCTGAAGCTTTTGGCGAGTTGGCTTGTTCATGAGGTAGCTCGTCACTTTTGCCCTCCAGGCCTTCGCCCTCGCCTTTTACTTCCTCAGCTGTTTTTCCTTCGGCAATATCTTCCCGATCACGGTGGGCCCCAAGTTCCACTATCTAACTCAGCCCGACCACCTAGAAGGCGACGCCTTTTCGCCGTCGAGATTGATGCACTACCTGGACCAAGAGCGGCACCACCTCGCTTAGCGGAGGCCTTCACCCAGGGCGCCCCGGCTTCTTGATCATCGGCCCAAGTATTTTATCGGCAAGCCGTCATCCTGGGCACCACTGTCGGAGAGCACAACACCACGGAGAAAGGCGCCGGCCGCTTCTCTTTACTGGTTCGAAGCAACTACCCACCGCGCAAGCCCCAGCAGCTTCCTCGCCTGCTTTCGGTTGGCTTCGTCCGTGTTCGGCGCCCTTGTTCGTGTTTGTGATGTATCACCAACACGAAAAGGCTACAGCAGACCACGCCACCGCGCTGCGCAATAGAGGCGACGCCGCGCGAACGGTTGCGACCGATCAAATTCGCAAGCTTTCGCGCTTCGTAGCGTAGTGCCTTCGTGGTCGTTCTTTGTCTCTTGGCGTGGGTTGGCGTGATGTAGTTCGCAGCGGCCTCTCTGATGAAGACCGGCAGCGCTTGCATTTTCCAAAGACAAAGGTAGACCAGTAGCCTGCTTCCGGGGAAAGGGGCAGCCTGGCGCCCGTTGTTGGTGTTCTTCTTCGGCCTGTTCGAGTTGTACAGGCTTGCGACTGCCTCCCACTGTTCTCGCACTTTCTTCCTCCGTGCTTCGAAATCAAGAGGAGACTTGCCAAGGCTGCTCGGTAGGATATTGCCGCCCAGTAAAGGTCGGAGCTTATTAGTTTCAGGCATCCCAGAGAGGTTCGGCGGCATCTAGCGACGAGGTACCGACTCGACACTTCGACGGGTCTGGAAGCTCGAGGGCCATGCTTGGTATCTATTCGTTCCACTAAACAAATGGGCGCAGTGCTTTAGCGTGTTGGGCTCATAACTCTGCCGATCAAATGCATGACCGAGGAGCTATAGCAAGAAAACCGAAAGCAGAGCGCTACGATGATTAGCATCATCAACATCACTCCCATGAAATAGCGCGCGAGGCATTTGCCACGGAGAAGGGTAAACGTAAAGAGTTCGCCAGTCTCTAGAGAGCCACGCTGTGCCCTGACCACACAGACACAGTCAGCAAAACAATACAACTACAGGCGAATACTTACTTACTCCCACATACCAACTACTCTACCATGGCCTCGCGTACTATGCTAAGGCCATTGATGAAGCCAAAAGAATCTTCGATCGCTAGATACAGTCAGCAAAGAAACCGAAGGAACTTGGTCCAAATCTTTGGAATAAGAAGCAGGCTAAGCCCGTGCCCCCAACTCTTGGGATCTACAACAAGTCCCCATCTAGTCCTAATCTGAATACTTCAGGCTATTTTTTTATGATTACCGCTATTTTCCTGGGAATTATTAGGCGACCCGCAAGTTTATTCAAGTACCCCCAGTAACGTCAAGGTCCTAGGTCGGATCATAAATTTTCTGCCTTCACGACCGGCGTCGCGCTTGCCCTTGCCTCGTCGCTTGTTAGAGTATGTTCCTTATCACTTTCTCTTTCATCTCACTCAGATCATTTAAGGGGCTCGTTTGTTTCAAGATCAATCACCGTCGATGACTTGTAATATCTTCATTTAGCTTCATTGAACTATTAGGTCGTGACCCGCAAATGTATTAAACAAGTGCCCCCAGTGACGAGGTCATGGTCTTAGGTCGGATCATCTTCGCTAGTTGTAGGCGTCGTGGTCGTGATTGGGGGTGTTATAAAAAGTCACGGACTACTACCAGGTGAGGAGATAGAGGGGGAGGCGAGATGGATACGCAGTGTACTGGAAAACGAGCAGCATTGCCTTGACTGGCAATTCCTTCGCCTCTCTTGTGCCTGGCTTCTGCACAAGGCTGCGGGTAAAGCCGGCTTGACTCTCGTGTCCCTTATACACCGATGCTAGTCGTTGGGGGGCGCGCGTGCCCCAACAGACCTTGGCCCCCATGCATCTTCGCTCGGGACACCCTGACCGTGCGCGTAGCCCCTATACAGCTAAACGTTCTACAACTAGAACACCCCTCTACTTTCAAATATTCCAGGCTATTTAGTCACTCCTTTCTTGGACGTGTAAGATGATCCACAAATTTGTCTATTTTGTTTATCCCATTCTCAGGTGACGAGATCAGAGGTCGTCACATAAATTAATATGCTTCCCCTGCAGCGCATTTCCAAACACCTGTTGGGTTGCGGCGACTGCTACTGCTTTGCCAGCTGCGTCGGAACTTCTTAGAGCATAACTCTCATCGTTTGTATCCCGTAGCTCGGCTCATCTAATGAGCTTGTAGTTTGTCCCACGATCTTTCATCAATCAACAAGTAGAGAAAAGAACAATGCGATAAGTGCGAACAACAACATCCTGTAACAAAAAGAATGGACGAAAGATAGCATTCTTAGTGACGTACCAATAACATTTATAAATAAAAAACGCCACACAATAAAACCCATGAGTAGAAGCATTAGCTTCAAACATGTAGGAGTCAAAGAGCATCTTTGATACTCCTGAAGGACTCTTCAAGCGGTAGACCACAGAGGCAAGCAACTAGAACCTCCTAGTGTGATATTACTGACACATCGATTGGGAATATCAAATATGAGTCAGGTTACAACCGAGTCCGTGCCCGTGCATCTTCTTGAGAACGAGAAGGCATCCTTGAAGCTAATAAATGCAACGCCGACAGCATATGCCACTCCTTTTTATCTTTTATGGCGCGTTTTGCATAGATACTATAGCTGAGTGAGAGGGTGACCACAAGTACTTCCAAATATAATTTTTTTACCTTTAGCAAGACCATAAGTCAGAAGCTTCATCATGAAGAACACCGGTGGAATCCGCGTCCGACGTCAGCATTAGCGCATGGTTTCGGTGATATAGTTTGTTCCAGGTTCCTCACATTTTTACTTGTTTCAAGACCAATATACAACTCCGAGTAGTATATACTTGACGCGTTCCATATCCATTAGAAGGAGCATTGTTACCGACATTGGCACCATGACTGCCATGCCATAATTTTCTACAATGATTATTTTCTTTGATGATACCGCCAACCATCTTACTCGACTCTTCATCTTCAGAACAACATCATGCAAGAACGACTATAATATTCCGAAACGTTCCAGAATTAGAATTATTTACTGCCATCGGCAAGACTGCCATGAAGTCGCTGTCTTGTATATTGCCAAAATTAATGGTGTATATGGCCAAAATCTTATAACTCATCAATGACACATATAAAAGCTTCGCTATTACTACGTGCGATGCTGATCTGGGACTTTCACTCAAGACAGTCACGACCAAAATTTAGTATGTCTATGTGCTCAGTTAGGTCTAGCGTTTTCACTTGCCTGAATCGCGCGGGACTAGGAAAGGTAGAAGATCTACATAAATCGCCTGCTTGACCTGGAGCGGCTCCATCACCAGCCAAGAACGCTGCTTTATTTTTGGATTCCTTGGATTCCTTTTGTTCTTTGTTCTGAGTGAAGCTACTTGGTCTTCCGTTAGCATCTTCGACGTCGATGACTCCACCTTCTTGATCGATTGCTACTTGGCGCTGTAATCCTTCCCCCTCTTGCGACGGAAGGAGGAGCGCCAAGGCTCCGACCTTGCTTGCCTTTTGCATCATTTTTTCTTGCTATTGTTTCTTTAATACTACAAACACAACAACTCGTAAAAGAGAAGGAGAAGAGGTTCTTGGTACTGATTGAATTTGGAATGAACAAGGAGTAAATTCAAAACTAGAACTAAACATCTACTCACAAATAGAAAGATCGATGTGCCCAAAGTCACAAAATTCAGAAACTTAAATTTTGGTAACACCTCTCAACTTTGTAGTTTCTCTCCTTTCTTATTTTCTCATTGACATTGTTGCTATAACAACTCGACTCTCTCGTTGCAGCATTTGAGAGAAGAGAGCGTCGATTCTTGTCATACTAGAACACTCATACCACCTCAAAAAAAATATCCCAACTAAATGGGTTGACCACGACTTTTTTAGTCGCCGCAGATAATCAAGCCCACCACCCTAACGTCGAACGACTCTCTGGTCGTTCTTAATATTTTCCTTTCTCTACTTCCCAAAATTGAAGTTGTAGTGAAGCTTAGTGGAGGTCTCGCCAACGATATTTCTCCAAAATGTGTGTCCCGGAAGTGGGATAACCGTGGTCAGTAAAGGAGCAAGACGAATTTTAAAAGGGTTGCGCGGAGGTTCTTGAAATAGAAATAGCACATCATGCATGCTGTTGTGTTTGTCCCTGTTACCATCGTTCTTGTAATAGAAATAGCACATCATGAAATTTCATCTTCATCTAAGAGGACATTAATTTTCACTTTAGGCAAGCATAATAATTAAAGGAAGTAGCCTCAATCTTCTTCATTAGGAATTTTCTCCTGATGATCCATCTTCTTCCTCGTTCCTCTGGGAGGCAAACACTCAGGCTCTGCAAGAGATTGTAGAAGGTTCCCCTGCAGACGATGTTGCAGTTGTGATCAGTTCTCCATCAAATTTTTCGCTACTAGTATCAGATCGGAAAGCTGTTTGGCATGCACTGCTTTCACCGACGCTTTCTCTGCTTCTTGAACGAATACCGCAAGGTTGTGATGCAAAGCGGTTTCAAGGCAGGCATATGTTAGAAGAGGACTATTGAGTCTATTCGCTGTGATTATCTGACATCTACGATTAAGATCAAGGATAGTTCGAGTTGTAGTGACCAGAATAACCGAGATACTGAAAGAAGAGCACTTTTGTAAAGCTATGTCCCTTATTTCAGTCGGTAACTCGGTAACTTCAAGCTACTTTCGAGTAATACGATGTGCCTCTGAATCATCGTCAGTGGATCGCCGATAGGACTGTATCATAACTGTACTGCATGTTGAATTCTCGGATTCGGGTCATCAAAATGGATGAAGAGGCTTGTCAGGATGTACTGGAATAGGTTGGGAGACCATTTCTCCGGAAGGGCACGGAACTTAGAGGATGGGATCAATGGATTGATACAGGAGCTTCACATATGTCTTCGAAGTGTGGATACAAGAATAAATCAATATCTCAAGAATTTCAAATTCCTGATGCCGCTCCTGCGTAACACAAAGCATTTCCTATGATTTTTTAGATTATTTGTCTTTGTGTGTCTGTGTCACGTCATTTTTGAAGATAAACTCCTCCGAGTGTGACTCCTTTGTGAGTCAATCCATGTTGAAAGAACGTGCCTCATATTTTTAGGAAGCACATAGAGATAGAAGAAGAAGAACAAGAAAAGACAACTTCTAAATCATCTAAAGTCGCTTCATATTGATTACTTCTAAAGAAAGTCGCTTCAACTTTGATTGAAAGTAGATTCTTCTATTGAAAGAAAGATACTTCTAAAGTTAGTAGATTTTTGTATTGGAAATCAAAATTGCTCCAACGATTCCTTAAGGAAGAAAGCAGAAAATGCAGCACATGCGGTGGCTCGCACTTCATCCTGACTATCGTCCAATCGCTTCAGCAACTCTGGATATAAGTCGCGCAATTGTTCGTCCTCTAAGCTGTCCAGCTTCTCTAGCAGCAGAGAGAGTTAGAATTGATTATGATTCTGATTTAAGCAAGATAAGGAAGCTAATATTATAACCACAGAAGCACTTCTGAGTGGCAGAAGGTATGCAGAGAAGTGTACAACTCACAATGATCGACAATGTTTGTCCATGTCCTGCAAGAACGAGTGCAGCAGCTTGCTTCAGCAAGAACTCTACAACTCATCTCTGGATAAGAACTTAGTCAATAATACTACGATCGTTCTTGATATTCCTTTTATTGCAAGACCCCTGATATTCCAGGTGACAATGCCTAAACTTATTGCGGATGGTCTTCCAAAACTTCTTCTAACCCACTACTTCTAGAGAACACAGCCCCGCTCTACGTCTACATACTCATACTTATGCGCCATAAGTCGTGACCAGGGTTGCGACCAAGCGGTTATCTGGGCTCCAGCTGTCGTCCATGCAGGTTCTCAATATCGGCAGCACATCTGGAAACAAGGTCTCAAGACTCGAAGTGTTGCTATTAGAGGAGGAAAGATTGATAAAAATGATCATAGTCCTATTATTGCTAAGTAGTTAGGGGAATGATACTGGTTGGGGTGAATAAAGTTTTCTTTTTAGAGAAGAGAAGATATTGAAGATTGTGATACTAAAGTGTTCATTTTACTAGAGGAATAAAGTTAAAGATAAACATCAAGGCAGAAGTTGCAGTGGTTGGGCATCAAAAAACACACTTGGAATCGGATCGCACGTAAGTTTGACCCTTAACAATCAAGTCCAACTCCAAAAACTGGTGAATGCAAACCATGGTCGCTTTCCGTATTTTATTCTGGCTCTGCCCTGGTCTCCAGGATGCATTCGGCAGAAGCATTTCTTCCGAACATTAGAGTCCAGCCTGACTAAACCATTGTTGATACAGACTGAAGGATGTTGCCACCCTAGCTATGAGGTTGATGAAGGGTGTAATATGCTTCCAAAATGTAGTGATGATACTACTCTTTCTAGCTATGAGCTTGGTAAGAGAGGTCGAAGACACGGACATTAGCACTAGCCGTAACACAGAAAAAGGGCATGTCTTCTTAAGCCCTCTTTCACCACCTCAAATTTCGTACTCTGCATGACCAAGAAATGCAAAATTCCCAGTATATCGATGCGGGCTCTTGGGGACACACCAGTTTGGACACTTTTGGGGTTAGAGGCATTGGGAGGAAAAGAAACCCAGTAAAATTGCAGAGCAGCTCCACAACTACAACACATCTAGTAAAACAACATGATCTATTATACCCTACCCCACCTTGTTCAAGTTGTCGTAGATCAGCTATACGAAGAACTAGCACCAGCAGCACAACATCAACAACATAATCAGCGTAGACCCTTCTTTCGCGACTTCTTGCTCAAGTTCGTCGTTATGTCGCGGCGCACTTGGTGTCAGGACTGCAGCTTGCTTCGCTAAAACCGGCACGATTCGGTCTAAGTGTTCTCCACTAATCGCGTGGACGCTGTTCTTCACGAGATTAGAGCAGCTCAGGTTAGGCTAGGTTATGGATCCTTCACATCGAGCTCCCCTACACACCTGGTCCTACTCCGAGGATCTTGGGTGACCTGAGTAAAGTCACATCGATCAGCGTGTGATAAGAATATCACGGTGTATTTTCAGTTTTTGGAAGATGTTGGATACGCTATTTCTATTTCATCGCATTTGACTATGCACTATGAGTCTGCTCAAGGATGAACCGAAAACTTCAATCGCCGCCTGGCGGTCGAATTTAGGAACCTGGAGGACAAAACTAATTGCAGTTGCCACTGTCTTAACTAAAAGGTCAAAGATTGCCCTCTTCGGACTGCTTTCTGGCCATTGGATGAGGTCTGCTTGCTCCAGAAGTGTATGCAGTTGACTCGAGAGATGCAAGCGGTAAACGTCAGGAACGAGGAATTAGAGATGGGGTGAGCGTTACGAACGAGACATTGGTGAGATGGACATCATCACATTGATATGCTCGTCCTCCTGCAAAACAATGAAACTAATGTGAAGGAAAGCTGCCCCTACCTCAGTGTTGACATTGTTAACGAATAGGACGTTTTTCCCTCTTTGACTTATTTGGAGGTTGTATTGGTACTAATCGGCACTGTAGAAGTCACTATTTAAAGATGTTTCCTCTGTAAGACATTCGCGGCTACTGCACTGTACGTAGAAGTCACTATTTGATGTTTCCTTTCGCGACTACTACACCTCCAGTTTTTCATTGCCTTTGTCATCATTCTCTTCATAAGAACAGTCGCAAACGCGTGATGCCAATGCCTCAATGCATTGATCGGAGAGATCTACGATGCGCGCGACCTCTGCTGAATTTTCCGTTGGATCCACGCTCGACTTGCAGCGCAATAGAATATCGAATATCCGCGTCCACTGCTTCGATAGCATCTTCTTTTTACCCGTCGAAAACGTGGACGTACTGGAAGAGGATATTAGCGGTAGTAAGTAGTACTGGTGGTTGTTGTTTATCGGGTGCGGGTAATTTTTCATCGGGTTGTTTTTCATCGGGAGGTACTGGTAGTTGTACTTCATCTGAATGAGAAGGTCTTTACCTATAGGCAGAGTCCAGATCTTTGCATCAACTTCACAACCATTCTTTGAAAGACATCATTCTACTTAAGATTACACCATAAAGAGCTATCACCGGACGAGGGATCCACTAAGACTCCTGAGAGGAGTTCTAAAATCGTCAACAGTAGTTCGTCCAGCGTGGCAGATTCCTCTAGGAAGCGGACTATCTGGGACAAAACGTCTTCACTAACGCCTTCTGGGCTGTCCTCGTAACTGAAAACCTAGTTTTTGGTGGGTGAACATGAAGATGACTTGATGTTGGTGGTCATGGTGATCATGGTGTTGGTCAACATGGTGGTGGAAGTGTAAGTCTAAAAAGTGTATGTTGATGTGATACTAAGCATGGTGAGTGAAGGGGACAACTGGAGTACAGAAGAAGTTCCAGTACCTGTACTTGCAATCACCGTGAAATAGAAATAGCAGTCCTGCCACTGCGCCAGAGACGTAAGTATAGAAATTGATCAACAAAACACTCAGTTAGCTTCAAGTAGGAAGAAAAAATTGTGAGAAATCAGCTTTGTCCTCAATAATACGGGTGGAGCCAAGCTAACTAGGAGGAAAAAGTAAGGTTAGGTAAAGGGTATATAAGTACAGAATTATAGTAATGGCCAAGCTCAATCAATAATAATTACTTTTGCCACTTGCGCTAGGATTTTCAGCACTTGTCGTTTATTCTCCAAAGAAATGGCGACGAAGGGCTTTTCTTTCTTCTTGTCGTACTCGACTCTCACCTTTGCTCTATTCATACTAGTTTCTCCCCAGTACTCATCGTGCTGACTGTCGGCTCGCTGCGCTGCTTCCCTATTTAAGTAGCCTCCTGCGTGCTCGGTTGAGTCGTAGGCGATACCGAGATGGGTGGATATCTGTTGTAGTGTGAAGATTTTCTCAAACTGCAAGTGCAACTGCTGGAGTTAATGATCATAAAACCTGTTTCTTTTCTACCCTCAGCAACAGCGTTCTACTTCATGTCACTGTCACAGCACACTTTCTTAATCAGCATCCACAGAGAAGAGCAGAGCAAGATACAGAGCAGGCTACAGGCATAGACTAGAAAATACAATCTCCACAAGCAGCCGTTGTTTCGTATGCGCTGCGACGAAGAGCGACAGGTTTTGGGCACAAACATGTACATTCGTCCGCACATCAGCGTCTTCGTCTTCAACAGCCTTGTAGAGGTGGACTAAGATCTCTTCTGCCTTTTCTGCTGCAAATCGATGCGCTTTATGAAGTAGGAGGAGGAGGAGGAGAAGGGGCATCAGAAGTACTTCTTCTTCGAGCAGCGAAACTGAAGTAGGAGGAGGACAAAGAGAAGTTCAACAAGTTAGTAATTATATTGCTAAGAACAATTGCTGCTTGTATTGTGAAAGACTCTTTCCATAAAGAAAGACCAGGAAAAGTTTCAAGAGACGTGCCAAAGAAAAGTTTCAAGAGACGTGCCTGAAGGACGAGGCCAAAGAAAAGTTGTTAGTAATTATTCTTATTACACTAAGAATACGGGTGGAGCCAAGCTAACTAGGAAGAAAAAGTAAGGATAGCAGGTAAAAAGTATATAAGTACACTAAGAATGTATTTGCACTAGTCCTGTAATCAACATTTGCTGCTTGTATTGTGAAAGACTCTTTCCATAAAGAAAGACCAGGAAAAGTTTCAAGAGACGTGCCGCACTGGTCCGCAGCTCAGAGGTCCATTGGATCAGGTTGGAAAGGCATTGTGGCAGCAACCTCTCCATATGACGGTAGACGTAAAAACACATCTTCGCACTCGGAATCGAGGTACCAAACACAGAAGGGAGGGATTATGAAAAAGGATAATAAGGGTGTATTTAAAATGCTGTCAAAGTCGATACTGGATGAATGAAATTGTGTGTAGATCACCATCGCGAGAGACATGGCCATGTCATCAACTTGTTCATCTTCACTAGTAGTAGAGGTAAACGTGTACGTGAGGGAACAAGTGTGACTTGTCAGTCAAAGTAGATCAAACAACCTTCCAGCTCTGCTCCATCCATCAAGAACAATCACGCGACAACGGACAAACATTTTTAAACTACAAAATGCAAGTACGACACGAACAATCAGTTGAATAAGTCCATCTCCATAAAGCTCCACAAGTCGAAGACTCTTTGAAAGCGTGCTGTTCTATCATGTGGTCAAAATCTGGAAAGTTCCATTCGTCTTCGGTCGCAAAGTCCTCACTATCGACAACATGAGCGTCGGATTGAGCTGATTTACATTTAGGAGGTGTGTGTTTGTGGAGTATTGAAATCGGTTCCTTTTCCTGGAAGAATGAAGTAGAAAGATAGTGACGGTATCGCTATCGAGTGAATGTTAAAGAGATCTTCATCAAGTAGATTGAACAACGAGGGTGATAGAGAATGCGAGAAAACTGCTAAAAGGAATATGCTACTAGACTACAGCAACAATATTGACAAAATTATACCATCCTCTCCCTCTTCTTCTGCTTCACCTCCATTTAATTTCGCCTCTACTCTTTTTTGTGCAGCCTCTATGTTTCTCTGTCTCCGTCTCCGTCTTGCTTCAGCCTTCTTCCACCACTCTGAGGCTGTCTCTGCAAGCCCTTCGAATTTTGCTAAGCATGGCTTTCCAACTCCCTCTTCATCCCCGTCGACAATGCAATTCAAAAGTAGATAAAGAAGACGGTGCTCGTACCTGTTTGTGTTTTGTGAAAGTGAACTAGTTAGTACTCACCAACAGCATAACTGTTATGGCATAACATTCAATGCAAGAAGAACTCGAAGAAAAACTATTCCTCCACTCATCGGACCATTAAATCCACAACTCTCAAACGAGACTCGTTCTCAAAGGAGACTAGAACTGTACCTTTCAAATTTCATCAATTGCTCTTCATCCGAGTCAAAATCGATGCGTTCCTCTGCCCAATGCGAGGTAAGCCCTGTGTGGACCAGCTTTTGCACCATTTCTGAGAGCGCTCTTCTCACTGCTGGATGTCTGTCGTTCAGCAGCTGATGCATTACGGGAATGATTAGAAACTATCAATTGAGGAGGAAGAACAAGAAGTGCTAGAAGAACAAATACTAGACAATAGGTGTTGATCATATTCATAGTGAAGTAATCCTAGCCACAAACTCGAGCGGAGACCTGAAGTCTTCTTCTTCTATCTAGCCTTTTTGGGAGAAACACGCGACTAATGATCAAAGAAACTTCATAAAAAGATATCCTCCAGTAGTTGAAAATTTGCTGTGCTGGCGCTGATCACCGCACACAAGCAGTCCACACTGCATTTGCGTACTTTCCACTGCTGATGGTGCATTAGAAGGGTGTTTGATGCTTGCTTTATCTTCCTCGAACTTAATCGATCCATGGGACCACATGGCGACAGTACTTTGATTGAGCAGACCATCCCATCTTAACTGAACATTACTCAGGAGACTCGGAACTAGCAATTTACCGCTTCTTGCTACTTTCGTTGCTGGAAGTTTGTTTTGACACAAGTCTGCGATGAGGGCAGCAGCTTGCTTCTTCGCATCAGGAAACGAGTCACTCAAAGCCTTGGAGAGACCTGGGTTTGTTTCATTTTTTTGTCATGCTGATAAGCGGGTTTGTGAGGAGGGAGCATGAAACGAGGGTGCTGGCAGTTCTTTTTGTTTTGGTACGATAATTTCGACTAGCAGTATGACGAATGCGTTTGAGGACACAGAGGACAAGAGATCTACTACTTTCCTAGATCCACAGTGTTGTCGAAATCATTATTTCTAGCAACACCAGCTCCAGCATCCAATCTTCTAAGAAAGAAAGCAACATCCATTCTACCATCAAAGAGGTCGTGGCTGTATGGTGACACGTCCACCTCTGGTATTTGTGTGAGATGCACTAAAAAATCCAAGAATCTCGATCGCAGCTCTTCGCTCGTCTCTGGAAAAGGTAGTATTCTAAAGCGTCCCAACAACGCTGCAAGGAGGATATGAAAGCGACAGCGAGAAAGAGGAAAGTAAAACTAAAAGTGGGGTAAAAAGAGGAAAGAAGGAAGGGTGTGTGCTATGTTGTCTATGTGGTCGTCGTGTAATTCAGGTTTACAAGAAGCCAAGAGATGGATGGTCCTCAAAGTCAAAGGACACGCAAATTACCAGGGGTTCCGATTGTTTCTGACAACCTAATCACTAGAGGTTCAGACTGAGACAGTTGCTCCATTCCATAAAGTAATGGCAAAACGTCGTTAAGCGCATCGCCGTTGACAATCTTCTTGTCCTGGATGAGGTAGACTATGAGGCTCAGCGCCACATCTCGTACTTTCTCTGTAGCGTCTCCGAAGCAAGACAGTAATGGTTTCTGAAGCTCCTCTGAGAAAAGAGAGATGAAAGGGGATCCTCTAAGAAAAGGGAGATGAAAGGGGAAAAAAATCAGGAGAATAGGGATGCTGATTAGACGGCGTGATGGAGATGGAAAGGGCAATTAATAAAAGAAGGAATTATAGGTGTAACTATAGCTAGCAGTTGTCACTTGATATTGTTTCTTCACATTAATTATAAGCGCGCACAAGGAACTGACTAGGTAACCAAATTCAAAAGCTGCCAGATAATTCCTGTTCCACTTTCTAGTTCACCCAGCTACTTCCTGTTTCTTCTCAAAATTGGTTGATCATAAATTTCGCCACCAATTTATGATCGGTTTCTTTTCGCACTGCCTTGTCTAGACGGAGAAGGCCATTCCTCTTGGTCATGCGGTCTCGGTCGGCCAAACAGTTCACATCTCTCCTCACGGCGAGAAGAAACGTGTCGTAGGCATCCGCCATTTTTTGGTCTTATTTGAGGTTTTATGTTGGACTTGTTCTACTTCGGTGAATGACCCGTACTTTACGCTCAAGAACGATAGTCGTCTAATCTTTTTAGTTTTAACAAGGTAATTAGTGTGCTGGAGACTAATTGCAGTAGTTTCCAAAAGTTCTTTTCCTTTTCATTTGACTCTTCTCTTCACGGAACAATCTGTATCACAATCGCTCTTTTACAACTACTAGTACAGTAGTACTATTTGTGCTCTTCTTCAAGAACAGACACAAAGTTACACCGTTGAAATTCTCACGTTATACAGGCAAGGAACGCGGGAGTCAAACAGCCAGGCAGTTGCGTTGATTTCATCCCTTCAGGAAAGAGACAGTTTTCCTTTTCTTTACACGGTCAGTGTGGGAAGAGACAAAGACAGGAAGCCGTGTGCGTTTTTCTTGAGGAAAGTTTGGCCGGGTATGCGAGTTTCAGTGGTAGTTCAGTGTGCGTGTTTTCATGCGTGAAAATGGGGTAATCCATCTTTGTTCTCGGTGTTGTAGTACTCGTCCCTCCCTACTAGTTTCAGTGAAAAATAATCGCTACAATATCAAGTCAAAAACCCGGTAAGCGTGAGATAAGTGCCAGAAAAAAACGAGCAGCGCAAAACAACGTGAGTCTATAGTAATATGAGTTATGCAACAAGTTTTTCAATGTCCCCTAAAAGCGTGATGGCTAAATAATAGTAGTTGTAGTTCAATGTCCCCTAAAAGCATGGCTAAATGCCAACACCATCCAAAAGAGTAGTAAAATTGCGAACAAGACCATCGCATAGACCCAACCGGGCATTGGCGTGTGGTCAATCTTGTACGTGTCGCTAGAATTCGTAAAAACGTCCGGAAAGGCCTGCTGTCCGATGGTTCGAGCGGCGTCGGATTAGATGCTGTGGGAAGAGGAGGAAAAGGGTTTAGGGTTAGACTAAAATCGAGAAATCTTCAGAGTCTTCGGTTATATCATCGATTAACAACTTACCTCCTCCGAACAAAGTCCAATCAATCCCTTGCCATTTGCCATTTCATAATCAACCGACAGCGAAAGCTGCACCACCGTCTCGAGCAATAGTGGGTCCTGGCCTTCCTGCACAGCCTGAATTACAATGTCCCTAGCTTTTTCTGGCGGTCGCCTCGCAAGGAAAGTCTCGAACTCCTGTTCCGCGTCAATTCGCTCATCTTCTTCCTCTTCAGTTACGTTTTTCAGCTCTTCCACGCGCTCTACCACATTTGCTACTCCACGAGGCGCGCCTCCACGTCGTTTCAGTGTCGTCGAAGTCTGGGCATTAGTACTGGAAGACTGCTCGTCTCTACTTCTACTATCTCCGTATTTCTCCGACTCCTCATTCTCATTCATCAAATTCCTGTTCAAATCATGCTCTCCATCTTCGTCGTCAACTGCGTTAGTTTTCTTCTTAGGTTTTGTAGTTCTAGCACCATGAGGCACATCGGTCGTGCCGAATAGGACGCGGTCTATGAATGATAGCAGGCTTCCACTACTTGATGCTCGCGTTAGATGCAGAAACAGAGATAGTGGCGCAAACAGGAACAACAACGCCTAGGAAGCCATTTTTTACTAGTATCGTCCATACTCTATGAGGTTGGATATAATATCATCCCCTGGCCTTGGCCAAAAAATCTTGTTCCAGTCAGAAGACATTCTTTCACTTTATAATTATTACATGCCTGATTGATTGTGCCTTAACTTCCCATCCCTCTTCTCTCCATCAAATTTCTTGTTTTTCGCCAAATCTGCGTTATAAGCCTCGCTTCTCTGCTTCCGTCTTAGCATATGCACTCGCATTTCTTCCCGCGTTCCTTCTTGCAACTGCGCGAAGACTACATCACTCAAGGCCTCTTCGAAGTCGCGTTTCCACTGCAAAGCACTGTTTTCGAATCGAAGCTCGAGACATACTCTTTCTTCTCCATGTGCGCCAGGATTAGAACTAGACATCCCCACCAGACCGTGACTAGAAGAAACACTTCGTGATGGAGGCGTCGATTCCGATATGCCGCTCAGTCGTGCATGCGTGAGTGGAAAGTCGAGTGCGATGGGGCTGGGATTAGAAAGTGAAGATCAGGATTTCGAAAGAAACGTGGATAAGCTTTTTCGACTTTTGCTTAAGCTTCACCAATAGGATAGGATAGGAGTTAGCTCACCTGCGGCAAGGTAAGCGTATAGGCTTGACGCGCCGCGTCACCAATGAAGTAGAATATACTTTAACTTTTTCATGCCATAAGCTTCGACCCTTGTGCTGGAAGAGGGATGGTAAAGCATCGACTAGCGTAGTCGGATATGGGTTCTTTCTGAGACTGTTTCCATTGTCGCCAGACGTAGTCGCCTTCTGTATTACAATCATCTTGCATGCTAAACGGCGTCATTTTTGGATGCGTGTGGTCATTCTACATATTAATAAACGTTCTTTGTTTACAACGACATGTTGCCTGCGGGGCTGAAAAAAAAAATATGAACAACAACAACCAAAACTGGAATATAAGAGTCTTCAGGTGTTGTCGACCATCAGGCAATGCTTCAATCTGCACCAGCATAGGAAACTCAGTCCGTTTGAACTTCATCAGGGTTACAGGTCTGCATGAGCAGAGCGTCAAGAACAACAGGACGGCGCCGCAAGAAGATTGTCATATTGGACGTGGGAAAACACCTCCATCCTCGCGAGGTCATTCTGCTTATTCTTCTACTTTTTTTGCAGTTCTTGCTGCAACAAAAACTTGAGCTTCCTGAGATAGGAGCACAACGTGGCTTCATCTTTGTTACGAGTGTATCTTCGCCTTTGGGTCCCGGAAAATAATGGTGTAGAACGTGGTATATGTATTTGAGTCTTGATCTTCTGAAACGAGGACTAGAGGAAGGCGCTTTACAGAGCAACGGCTCTGCTACCGCGCAAAAAGCGGGGTACGCCCAGTAGAAGAGCATAGGCAAAAAGACCAGCGATGCAGCCCATGCCCAGAGGAGAGTCTAAAAGCAGCTTGGGTGAAAACAGGCTCTCGTCTTCGGAAGGTAATGCATCGGGTTCGACTGGTAATTCTGGTATTTCTGATGTTAGAGATTGACTACAGTGCATTGCATCAACCGTTAATAGTTGTTGTGTTCACTTGTTGACTCCTTATGTGTATTTTCAACTTTTCGTTAAGATGTTTGGAATGCTGTCGAGATTCCTCCATCTCAAACTCGAGTGATTGTGAAGATCATGATGCAATGCTATCAAAGTACTTATGTCTTAACTGCAATATTGCGCCGAATGGTGCACCAGAAGAATCGTCCTCATCCTCTTCTTCCATTCTTCTCCTTCGCAGTCTAGATTTCTCTTCAGGCAATGATCCGAGGAATCCGTCTTTCCAATGGCCTAAGTGCCTACGCCGATACCGGTTTTTAGATGGGGTTGAGGTCGCGGTGGCCGGTGGAAGAGAGTAGTTCTAGTTCATTCATTCTAGCTATCGAGGGGAGCGCTCATAATATGCTCTTGCAGTGGTACGAGCAAGTCCTGTGGAAGCATACTAACTTTTGCGCATAACTCAACCCAAACCTAGGGTGAGGCTTTAGTTATTTCAATTTTCATTTTGATTTTCATCGCCCTCTCTAAGTCTAATCACGATTAGACAATAATCCACTGATGTTGTCTTCAGACTGTTTATTGCCCACCATAAGTTCTCCCGTTCCGCATGTGACGCTACAGTCGGACCAATCGGTCCATTCTGAGAGTCCACACCTGTCCTCCGTATAACACTCAGCCGTGTTGCAGGGCTCTACTTCCGATAAACTTAGGCTGACGTCCTCGGTGATTAGAGGATGTTGATAAGTCGTGAACATTTCGTTTTGCTCATGATCCCCAGCGTCACTCAATGAATGTAGCAACACTACGGCAGCAGTATGTAGATCGCTTCTCGTAAGAACAGTGAGCACACTAAATACATTATGAATTTTCAAAGTCTTCTGTCATAATGAGTCCTTCTCTCCAGCACAGGCTTTCCCATATTGTCCAGGCATTGCCTCAATCATTCGGTGCCGTGTTCGCTCACCTCCACCACATTGAGCACTACAGGTCGACCAAGCAGACCAATCCCCTAGTTTGCAGTCTACGTTTGGATTAGGGGTATGACATGCGTTGAACTAAGACCAAGCCAGAATTTCCGATGATTTGGCTAGTTAAAAACCCAGATGTTCAGATCGAGGCTTTAGCTTGGTGTGAAGATGAAGTTGCATCAAGTATCACGGTGAAGGGGTGTTGGAATTTGTTTCAGTAGGAGTAGCCTATGCGTAACTTTACTCTGATCGCAAGAGAACATGTTACAACTCTCGACTTGCGTGAGATCTGGAGGACAGGCAACACCCTCAGGTCCGTGGGGTGGTGTCTTCACACTGCGTGACCGCACTCTTGTGCCGCCGCCACACTGTGAGGTACACTGGCCCCATGAGGACCATTCTTCCATCACGCAGTTGCGCGTTCCGGAGGACGGGCAATCTGATGAGGAGAGTTTGACGAGCAGGAGCACGGTCAGACAGTATTAGTTTTTTTGAACACAATATTGAATGGGAGAAGGTGAAATCTCTTCTTGTTCCCTGATCAAAATCTGTATCTCATCATCTCATCATCAATATCAAACTCAAAGTTAGTAGCAAATTTTACTAAAAGCATATCCTGAATATTCTAATACCCGTATTGCATTGCCTTGCTTCGACCAAAGATCCACTGCAAAGTTTTCCGCCATGGCGCGCTGTTTCAGATACTATTCTTAGAAAGGTATGTTCAAGTTCATGTTGGGAAGAAGATGATTTACTCATATCATTAAATTACGTCGTCGTCGACGTGTTCTCTTATGAGATGATAGAAGATAGATTACTTGTTACAACAACCCTATGTGAGCCTTAACCTTCTCACCCGCCTCTGGTAGCCATTGCAACTCGTACTGCAATCGCTGAAGTCTGACCACTCCGAGAAATGACAATCCTTCGCTAGATTGTCTATAGCCTCTTTGCAAGATTAGATGTCGTGGAGCTGCGTCCTCCTATGATCTCGTCGGCTAAAAGGTGGATTAAGTCCTCCTGTGATCCAGCTTCGTCCGTGTAGAAGTAGAATGTACCAGGTCGTGTAACATCAAAGTATTATACCGCAGAAGAACGATGTTAAAAACAGCAAAGTATTACACCAGAAGAACGAAGTAAATGTAAAAAACACTATCCTCGTAACAACTCCCCGTCTCACATGCCGCGAAGTCTTCTTTTCTGCCTACTGCAGCCTTCCCACACCAATTCGCTGGCCTCAGAACTGTTCGTGTTCGACGTTGGTAGCCAGTTCCACAGGAAGCAGGATTAGAGCTCATGACAATCGCTCACCTTCTACCTAGACATACTTATTCGGTAAACTGAAGTAAGCAAGTAACTGATCAGAATAACCGAGGCTACTTAGATTTAGTTTTAGAGGCCAAGAAAGAATAAGAAACCAACGAAAAAAATCTGTGCAACGAAGCAAATGAGTTACATTGTGAGTAGCCTTAACAGAACATGGACCAAACAAAGTCCATTCTCCCCAGTGAGCGTCTATGCATTGGTTAACCTCAAATTCGTCTGCGCAAGCATCTTGGTTGCAGCCTTGGACTTCGCTGGTGCGGTTGGCGGGACGGGGACTGAACGAGGCGGGATACAAATGGGGAAGGATCACGATCTAATGTAGCATGAGCTGACAGCTCTACTTGTTCTAAGGAATTCATGTACTTCTTCTCATAGAGTTCGTATTTGAAACTTCTTCTCCGACTCAATCTTTCTCAGCCATAAACAGAGCATGTTCAGATCCCGCATCTACTGTTCTATGCCTGGATTGCTGCCCGTTGCAGGATTTTGAGCAGGGTGACCAGTCTCCCCATTCTGTCCATGAACATCTGGAGACGTCGCACTCTACCTCGTTATCGCACGGCGCGACCTCAAGAAGGTCTACCTCCGCATCGTTCAAGCAACTGCGACCTTTGCGGGATATGAAGCGAGGGGCGTCGGAGGCTTGTTAATCAAGACGGACACTGAGTTGCGGGTGTCTTGTATATATTATTTTTTGTCTAGTAGATCGATGAGGGTGCGTGTTCTTGTTGTTGAAAACTAATTCAAATTTTGTTAGTAGAAAATTCCGGTCCCAGTACTAGAACAAAAAACAAATGATCCCTCCTGCTCATAACCGCTTCTTGAATGACGTATCGTTGGCGTGATTTTTGTCCTGCTCCGCACGTAGTCGAACATTCAGACCATACAGACCAGTCTGACAAAAGACACTGGTCAATACATGGACTATCTTCGTTAGGGGATTAGACGAAGAGCTATGTGTTGTAGCTGAAGAATCAGGTGGACTATAGCCACATCTTTTTTCGTGTGTGCTAACATGTTTGCAAAATGAAAACTCGCCTTAACAACTCCTAGTTTCCAGCAGAGGTTCATGGTCCTCTATTACCATGAGTTTGTGATTGGGTGCGAACCAACAACGCCCATCTGTCCTTGAACTCCTATACTCTCGCTTACGAGTCTGTAACCCATTGCCGCATGTCGACGAGCACTTGGACCAATCGCTCCAATCGGATAGACCGCATGAATCCACCCAGTGTTGTTCCGCGGCTGATTGGGCCTGAAAGAGTTTGAGTGATGAGACGCTGTTTTACGCAATGTCAAGAATGTCATTGAAAAAACAATCACGTTTCTGTAGCTGTCATGCAAAAAAAGGAGAATGTTTGAACAGCTGGTGAACTAAACAGTTATGGATTAGTTGGCACCCGTAGTCGGAGTCATTGAGATTGAAGTAAGATGAACATTATCGTTATCCTACCACCTACAAGTTGTACAACCATTAGATACCTCCTTCTCTTCGCAAGTGGTTGTTTCTGTTGTTGGCCCTTCACACTCCTCTGGAGAACAGAGGTTGTCTGTTCCTAGATGCCGAGTTCTGCTCTTCAACAGTGTCCTTCCGTCGCACTTTGACCACTCACTCCACTCGGAGAATTCACAGGCCTGATAGGTTGTGGAAATCGATATCGTTGACGGAAATCAAGAAGCTACAACTACGAGAAGCAGAAATACAGATTTCCTTGATCAATCTTACGACCCTAGAAGATTCGTTTTCCAATGTAAAAAAACTTTTACTTATCAAATTCACACATGTTATTGTTATACTCATGATGATGATCATGTGAATCATTCTATAAAGCAGTAGCAGTACCCCACATTCGCATCCTCTTGTATTGCAACTGGCGACTTCCTCTGTCGATGTTCCATTTGAGCAAGGCTTTCCTAGGACGTTTGGTGGTGTTTCCAAAGTTCTAGTACGCTTTTTAATACCGGAACCGCAAGATTTCGAACAATAACTCCAGTAGGACCACTCACTCCAGTAACAATCCACCTGCTCAGCTGGAATGTCCTCAGGCTCGATGGGACATCGTAAGGATGAAAGAGTAAGAGGGTTTTTGGGAGTGGGCATAAAGTAGAGGATTGACGACGATGCATTCATCTGCTTGGGGAAAGACGAAATGGAACAGAGGTAGAGGAGAAACGGTGCTATTATTAAACGTCATATTCAACTAAACTTGAAATCTATTCTTCATACTCTTACTCATTCAGGAGTTTTGACAAACAAGCTCTTCCTTGCCATACTACTGGTGGTACTTCTTCTGCCTCAGAGTTGCCTATACCGCCACAATGGCGGACTTCCCGAAGTGCTCCATCACATGCCTTTCCACCGTTGACTGCATAATGAGCTACTTTCCGCTCCCGCTGGACAGTGCCGCCAGGTCCGCAGGTCACAGAACAAGAAGGGTATTAGAAAGACCTATGTAGTACTACAACGTACTGTTTAGTTACTAAACACTGCCCAATCACATGCATTGTGTCTGAAATATACCACCCCAGATGTAAAAAGTCTACTCTTCATCTTGACAACGCCATAAGACCACTCTCCCCACTCACTTAGCTCACAGTCACGAGGCGTTGCGGCCTCTCCACCAGCAGCAAGCTTCCCGTCCTCACATTCTAGGACGTTGCACGGCCCAACTTCTTTCAAAGGAGTCGAGAAACAGCTACCACCGAGACTGAGATTTTTGAATTTGATGTTCTTGTTCAGGTTGTAGTTTGTTTCTCTGCTGAGAAAAACAAGTGTCAATTATCTAAATCTGTCGTGCTCAGGGATAAAGTCACACAGACACATGCCGATAAAGCTACAGCGAGACAAAACTTCAAATTGAATTAACTTGAAAGACAACAAATAACGATTTCAATACGTCGCATCTCTGATGACTTCTCGATCTCGATATGTCACGCCGTTGCACGTTGCTGAACAGGGTGTCCAATCAGACCACTTGGATACTATGCAGTCTGAAGGACTACTGCATGGTTCGATTTTGCAAGGCTCCACCTCGTTCATCGTCTGCGCCTTACACAACATTCCCCCTCGTGTTGGAGCGTGCTCGGAGGGATGAAGCGGGGTTACAGAGTAGAGAAGGACCTTGTACACCTACACGCTGATCACTTTCAGCTGTACTACAACTAGGAGTAGTAACACTTTACTTAGAAGCACTTTACTTATTAATAAGTACGTTAAAAAGTACAACCAAGTGCTTTGTATACAACATTCATGAAGTCTAGCACAAACCACATTGACAACTTTGAGTTTACCTTTCGTACTATCCTCATGATCTCATAAATCAGTCTCTGTCTCGTTCTCGACCCACCACCACAAGAGACCGTACAACCGGACCAAGGTTGCCAGTCCTGCCACGTACAATCCTGCTCATCTCTACAGCGTTCTAGATGGCAAGCCCGGACCTCGTCTAAGGCCAAATCACAGGTTCTTCCATTATTTCGTGGCAACTGCACCAGCGCTCGACTTCGCTGCTGCGTCCCGGCACCGCAGGTGGGCAGATGAAGGAAGATGGAGTTGCAGGGAATGACAATGGGTAATTATTCGAAAAAGAAAAACTGATATAAGCAAGTAACTGATCAGAATAACCGAGATACTGATGAGAAGGAAGAGTAGCCTTGGCGTTAAGCTACCTCCCTTATTTCAGTCAGTAACTCGGTTATTTTGAGTTTTCGAATACATCAACATCCACTGGTACATAGAGTCTAGTACTAGTTGTGCTGTTCTTGTTCGTTCCTTCATTACAGCTTCACCTTCGGCAAAAGCCATTGCCATCAATACATGTAAAATAAAACTCCTTCTCATACACACTACAAGCTCCCCATTCTGACCATTGCGACGTAGTGCAGTCTTGGGTTTCGTGACACGGCTGCGAATTGCATGGTAAAGTCTGTCGGACGAAACCCTTGCATGGTGTGCCTCCAAATTCATTTTTTCGGATGCGTGCGAGTTTTAGAGCAAGAGGAAAGAACCAAGAAGTGGCAAGTACTATTTCATAACTGCATACTGGTTAGTGCATGGAAAAAGATCAAAAGAGTGCCTACAACGTCTCTCTGTCGCATCCTCAACTTTGGTAGAAAGGAAGTGCACCCTCCAATCTTTATCTTACCTTTTCTCTATACGTTTGCCCGCCTCCGCAGCTTCTGTCACACGTTGTCCACTCTCCCCACTCCGACAGGTCGCAATCGATGCTGTGCTTTCTGGCCTGATGCTTGTCACAAACCGGGTTCTCGCAGACTTCGGTTTCCACCTTTACTCCGGAACAAGGTTCGCCGCAATAGGTTTCCGATTCGATATCCCTCCTCCGCTCTTTCAGACCATCGCAAGTACAAGCTGACCATGCTCCCCACTCTTGCCATTTACATGGTTCGCAGTCTTCACCCTTGTCTTCGGATGAAGGGCACGCATCGGGATGCTCGCAGACTTCCCACTGCGTTTGATGGCCAACGCACTCATCGGGTCTGGATGTTTTCGTTGTGACGTTAGTACCATTCAAAGTCGCGTTTTTCGATGCATCTAGTTCCTTCTTTGCGGAAACGACAACTTGGAGCACCGAAAACCATAGAAGCAACCTCCAAGGCACTATATACTGAAGGACGCCTGAGGTCATCTTGTTTGCTCTATTGGTGGCAATGAATAGATTTAGATCTTCATACAATTTTGTAGCATTCTTTACATATCACTATCAGAATCTCATATGAAGATATGGATAGACATAGGCGCCCGTGCCAACGAGCTTAAAAAATAAACAATCATAATTGTCTCGGTATCCATCATATCGTCAACATATTCATTTACCTTATCATAAACCCGCTTGGGGAGCATGGTCCGGCTGTGTGCTACCCCACCTTGATTTCTTGCGCAGACCACCAGTAGTCTTGCGTACTATGTGTTCGCTTATCTCGGAAAAATGTCACTGACCACTCTTCGTCCCTCTTCTTCGCTCCTTCTATCTGTAATGAAATTCTCTCTCTGATTTCACTCTCCTAGTCTTAGAATCATGGTATGCCCGCTGCGCTGCAGCTGCGTTCAGCAGCAAGCCTTCTAGGCCAAAACTGTTTCTTTCCTCCCTCCTTTGCCGTGCCGTCTGAGCCTATCCATTTTCATCTGCCTCCAACATCAAATTCATAACTATAACTTCCTCCTATCAAACAAGAATTGTCTATCTGTCCTTGTCTGTGCTAGAAGGTAATGGGGACCATTGAACGCCACGTTTATGACAACATGTCCAGCCAAGGGTATTGTTTGTGCTGCATTTCGACCATTCCTGACATCAAAGAGCGCCACAAATTCACTGCCACCTGTGAGAACTAATGGACTGGAGGCAGAAGACGTTGTACTCGTAGGAATCACTTGTGAGTGCAGTTGCTCTGTTCGCATTCGCTTACGCCTGTATTTCTTGATAATTGTGTCAGTTGTATCTTCAGCAGAAGCAACCCAAAAACTATTTTTCGGCTGCTCTTTCTCCTTGTCCTCCTCAACAGCAGCACGACTAGAAGTGATACTTGCGGCACAAGATGATGCTGAATGAGACGAGAATGATACGTCTACGTCTTGGCTGGCAACTATAACAGAAGAATCGCTTACAGGTTCCATTGCTTGTAGCCCTTCAAACACTGGCTTTGCATGAAAGACAGGCCTTGGCGAGGCGAATGAAGTGCCCTGTCGCATACGATGTAAATCCCAGATACGTAGGAATTTAGCATCTACAGACGCGGCTCTATGATTCGCTAAATTCTGGTCCAATGTTACTCCTCGAACTGGCAATCGTGGTCCGGAAGTGGAGGCGTTTACTGGCATGCCCTCTATTTGGTGAATACAGGCACTAGAGGCAGAGCTGCAGCTGGGCGTAACGGTGCTTCGAAACAACTGCACCACTGAGTCTACACCGCCAGAAAGCAGCAGCAAATCTAGATCTTCTTCATGATTTCGACATCGACTTCCTCGATGTCCTACATAATCAGTGCTAGCGTTCCTACAACAAGCTACATCCACCGCAGTAACTTGACCTCGGTGCGCATCTGGTGAATCGAGAAGAAGACGCGGCTTCTTCCTTATTGTATGGTCAAAAAGTTCCCAAACCCTAATCCCTCCACATCCCCCTCCAGTTACGACAAGCGCTACTTCATTTGCTCCTTCATGGTTGTTTTCATTTTTCGACCTCTTTGTTCGTCTTGTTCCTCTTGGGGATCTAATATTACCCCTTGCTGTAGTCCTCCTAAAACTCCGACTACAACTCGCTGTCACTCCATCGCCTTGAGGTGTCATTTCATGTGCGAGCCAAGACTTGACTGGTGCAGCAAACCCAGCTGCTGAAGCACAAAGCTTTATCCTCTGGCATGTTCCGTTGCTATGACCAGTGTAGGCGTAGAGTGGAAGAGGAGGACTCTTCATATGTGTCGAACTCGTTGCAGAAGATGAAAGGCAAAGACATGTTACTTCCGACGCAGAAAAATCACTGTGATTCTCAAGCCACATGTTGTTGTCCTTCGGCATTACATTCAGAAGACCTCCGATGTCTGCTTCTCTATCACTTGAAGATGCGTGACCTCCCACGATGTCCCCAATATCGTCTCCTGCTGGAAAATCATTCACTGCACCACAACTCGGTCTCCCTGCAGCGCTATCGAACACTTTCTTCGCTAAAGAGTCCGTATAGACCACGCGACCATCCGCGTAGCCCATGATTGAGGAGAAGAAACGGCCATGCCCCGACTCGATTTCTCTAGCGAATGTGCCTTCTGCGTCGAGCTGCCCTAGCCATTCGGACCCGCCCATAGCTAATGTCGTCACCCGGCTGGTCTGCGAGGGATTGGCGGTGGTGCTGGTTTTGGTACCTTTGCTTAGAGGGCAGATTGATTGTATACTATAATATCATCGTCTTCAAAAAAAAACCTTGTTCCACAACTTCCGCCAGAACTACCTAGCGAGAATTCGCTTTGGCTTTCCACCCTAAACCTCCTAGATCAAATAACCAACTGTCTTTTTTCTCCATAAACTACATCGTCCTCCGCTACATGTCGAAGATCCGTAGATAGCTTCAACGCGAAACTCGTGCGCGTCGGCGCAGGGTCCAACACACATTGCCAACGCATGTTGGAAAGGATTGGCATTTGCTTTTGACGATGTAGTTGTTAGTGAGTCTTTTTTGCTCGTGGAATGTGGTAACACCGTAGAAGAAGGTATGCTTTTAGAAGTGTTGTGCGAGCCCGAGTGCGCGTGTGAACTAGAAAAACTCTGATGAGAATTACCCATCTTCGTTCTTGGAGCTATAGAAGTTACTCTAGTTAATACGCCGCGTACCTATGTTATCGTGACGTTGAATATATCATGGACGTCGACGCGAAGCAAGAGAGGGTTGGTGGGGGGGCTTAGGGTACTTAGCCGCTTTTTGTGCTGTTTCTCTCATTTTCATTCCTCCATTTTGCTGATGCATAGGTTCCCGCACGCTTATGCATGCTTCTCTTCAGACAGTAGCTTTAATGGCGCCACAAACTGGAGATACCCTGACAGATGAGAAAAATCTCACTGTATGTTGAAGTCCTTTCAGTATGCCATTGTACTAGTTCATTGGCTTCAAAAAAATGTTGGGTAGTCTGTAGCTTGCATGCAAAAGCGCTTGTGAGATTCTTCATGACTGTAGACAGCAACTGGCAGTGACAGCATTCACCACCGCCCATATTATGAATCATCAACCCGGCACACGAACCACTACGATCACTAGCATTGTCTGACATTCTATTTGCAATGAATCAATGTAGGTTAATTTCGACTTCAGTAACACCAATAAATCTTCGAAATCGAAAACCAAATGCAAATCGCTAGATTTCAAAAGAAACGAAAAACCTTCACCTACATCAGCATTTTTTCATCTAGGACCTCAACCTTTTTTACACAAGTTGTGCGAAACAACTTTTTCAAAAAAAAACCATCCGTAAATTTGGTCGTATTCATCTCATACAGTCCCTTGGTAAGTTGTACCTTTCATCATCATATGTATTGCAAGAAGGAATAGCCTAAAAGTAGAAAGAGGAATCATCATATGTAATCGAGCATTGCTACTTTATGAAGACTCGACCGCTTCGTATTCTTCCATTTCCTCATTCTTCCAACACCAAGACACTCCTCCCAAAGCCTTGACTCGCATGTACAGAGTCATCGGCGGCCAACCAATCGCCGACGGACTTTCCTGGGATATACGTTTCTGCCGTTTTCAGTTTGCCTGAACCTAAGAGCTGCCCCAAAGCTCCGATCGCTTCTGGGATGTGCTGAAGATGAGCGGTTACCTAAAGTAGAAGAGTTGGATGGTGTTGGTGGAGAGAAGAAGTGCTGAAGATGAGCGGTTACCTGAAGTAGAAGTGCATGGTGTTGGCGGAGAGAAGAAGCGATGAAGTACTTAGAAGAGAGAGAAAGAGACTCCCGGTTTCTTCGATCGTTCTCGAGAAGGTCTCGTCCATTTTCTTTACACACTCACTGCGCAAGAATATCCATCACAGAACGCTGACAAGCAACGTGAATGTCTAACTATAACTTCTTGAATTTATAAGAAGTACCATAAACCCTCCCCACAGTAGTTCTCTTGCACTCATGCGCAGGTATTCCTTGCATCCTCGAACTTTGCCGCTCGCGTAGTTCTCAATCTCTGACATGGCACCTACCGTCAAGATCTTCCCCTGAGGCTTCATCAAGGTCATAGCTCCATCCAATTGAGCACCGCCAACATTGTCGATAGAACTTAGAAGTGGGGGCAAAAAGAAGTTCGGGTGGGGTGGAAAAAAAATTGATGAAGACAGCAGGTTCGTTGTTGTTGAAAAGGTAGAATCAGAATGTGCTGTAGTTCATACTGTCAGTCTTATGTGTTTCAGCTCGAGTTTGTCTAAGAAGTAGTACTCTGTGAATTTGGTTGCCATAAGAAAAGATCGATCAAGGAAGGGGTAGTCGTGGTTCCCTCTTCAGTGTCTAGTTCCAAAGCGCCAACTATCGCTTCACGCAACACTGTGTCGAAAGATCTTCTTGAGGACTGCGTTTTTTGTTCGTCTTCTTGGGCTAGAAGAGAGATCCCTTTCGTGCCTGAAATAATCGCCGCTGTTGAAGATTTGCAGGATGTTGTTGTAGATGGACTAGCAGTTTCGTTATCTCCACAGAGGTCAACATCCTCAGACTCAGGTGTTCTTCCCACATCATAATTCTTCTTGCTAAAAACCGCCTTTCCATCTTTGTAGGCGACTGCTGCGTCTAGGCCAAATTCGTCTACCAAACGTGTTGCTTTTGCTACCGTGGAGGTGATTCCGATGACGCGATCGCCATTGTTTTTGTAGAGTTGGGCCATGATTACTCCGACAGCGCCAGCAGCAGACGAGACAACGACAGTTCGCTTTACTGTTGGATTTTCTGCTTTTTCTTGGAAGGATATGAAAGGAGAAGATGGGGAGTGTTGCGGGATTCTAAAAGATTTGACAAGTGAAAAGAGGCTGACATAGGTCTACCAGGTAGCAAGCTGGGATGGGAAATGCGTTGAAACGAAGTCGAAACAAGAGAAAAATCAAGTCGTAAGAAAAATCTTTCCAACATTCGATTTTTTGAACGCGAGGTACGACGTGATCCCAGCAGGAACGGTGAACGCGGACAGAAAGGTTCCAGGAGGCACACCTGGAGGCAATTTTCTTGGCGGAATAACACGTTTCGGAGCACCATGACTCTTCTTGGATGTCGCATTTGTGCTGGTAGTTTCCTCGTCAGGAACGGAGACGGGAAAAAAGCCGATTTCCCTGAGGATTTAGGGTTTAGGGCGATGTTGACTCATTCGTCGTTGACCACGTATTTTCGGTATTATCCGATAAGTACATTTTTACTCAGCACTTGCTTCGTAGTAAGTACTACATCATGTTGTAGTCGAACCAGCACGAAGTCGAAAAGTAGATTTCAAATATATTCAAGATCTTTTTTCAGATGATGAAAAAAGAAAATATATTATATCAAATATATTCAAGACCACCTTTATTTTTCAGAAAAAAGAAAATATAATTACTCTCCGGTTTCCGCAATAACGCGGTAATTCCACACATGGCCGTTAATGAAGACGAGATCTCCGACAGAGTAGAGCTCGCTTTTGCTGGCCAGCACTCTGGCCACGCATTCGCCAGCAGCCTCTTCACCAAGTTGTGTGCCTGGGAGACCGAGGGGCACTTAGAACTAGAAGAAAGTAGAAGAAGGGTGTCAATGGATTTGAATCATCAGCTGTGTGTGAATCAAGAAGAAGGAGGCACTATTATAATTTTCACTTAATACAGTGTTAGAAGAAGCTGCTAGGAGGTCCAACTATCATTGGAATGACTATGACAAAAAGTGATACTTACTATCAAAGTAGCGGGTAATGGATTTGGATCATCAGCTGTTTGTGAATCAGTTTGAGTTTCATAATCAGAAGCCCCGGTGTTGATTCCTGGTCCTTGGCTGAAGTCCAGGTGAGCTCGAGCGAGAGGCAGGACTGAAATATGAGTAGCCCGTACGAGCATTTGTCCTGCCTTTAGTCCATCGTAGGCTTCGCATGAGTTAGAATCGAGAACGTTTCTTGGTGTTGGTGTGCTTGTCGACAAATAGAAATGAATCAAAGTTGTTGGATAGAAATGAACAAAGAGAAAGTTGTGGAACACAAGTTAGGTGGCTCCTGACCCCAGCAACCGCGTGTTCGTTGAGCAACAACATCTATCAGAATCAGGTTAATTACTCAGTCATGACCTCCCTCCATAACCACTGTCTTCCCACTCGACCGCAGTTCAAAGATCTGGTTTGCTGAAAAGCTCTCATCCGGATATTCGCTGTAGACTATGGAAGAAATCTCCGCTCCTCGGTCCATCTGGACGCTGGCAGGGGAAAGAAAGCCTAGATCCGTGCCAGATGATCCGGAGATGGTACGAGATGAGATTAGAGATGTAAAGGAAGAGGATGACAACACAGTAGGAGTGGTGTGTATAAATTATGAAGTAGATGTGAGGACAAGAAGAAGAATGCAGGATATAACGCAGTAGGAGTAGTCGTGGTAGATGTGAGGACAAGAAGAATGATCTTAAAGCACCAGGAGCATGACTGTGAGTAAGAAGTAGAAGGTCCAGTAGTTTCATGAGTACTAAGAAGTAGAAGGTCCAGTAGTTCCATAAGAAACCGGCAGGTTGCCCGGAACCAGACGTGCCAGTTTGGCCATCGGCACCAGTAGAGGACACGTATCCACCTTTTGTCACTGGCGCCGCAGTGACTACAGGAACCACCATCGGCGTCGGCACGAGAGCAGCGATGACCAGTGAGGAGGCAAGACAGCGAATAGCAGGTGTCTTCATCTTTCGGAAGGACGCGGAACTGTTCTTGAACTCGAAACCTGGATCTTGTTCATCAAGCACAGGGACAGAGTAGCAGAGAGTGGTCATCTTGAAAGTGATGGAAGTGGAACAACAACAAGAAGATTATTAGATTTGGAGAAGAGTTCGACCCGAGTCACGCGAACATCATCAATCGCCCACACGAACTGCTCCCTCACACAAGATGAAGCAACAGCGGAACAAGCATGAACACAAACACTTACTGAGAACCGACAAAAATGGGAACGTCTTGTTCATCTTCGTCTTGTTCATCTTCTGTGAGCCCCTGACAACTCAAATCAACGCACGACTTTCATGCTCTTCTTTCGACAAGATAGTTGGGATCTATTTGGCGACCTGCCTAAGCATGACAAAAAACTATTCACATGTTGGTGGAATTCTTTGAAGAAGTATTCATCATCACTTACATAGCGTTAGCTTCCCATCTACTTGATCATAAGAATTCTAATTCATTACAGACAATTTTGAATACAGTGAAGAAATCATGCGAGATGACATCCCAACTTCCGGTACTAATCCAATTTCCAGCGCGGTTGGTCTCTTCATGTTTGTTATATTTCTAAAATGTTCAATAGTACTTCTTATTCATGTGGGTGACCTGTTGGTGGTCCTGTGTAATTTCAGATAATATCTACTATCTAGTATTGCTGTGTTTTACATTCCAAGTTCAACGTCCTATTTTGCGAATAGTTCAAGTGTTGTTTTCTTTTCTGTTGAATGAATGTCATTTTTTTATGTTAGAAGGAATCATTTTACCATTTAGTTACAATCTTAAACCGTAATGCTTTTCATTTTCCAATCGACTTCCAAATTGTTCCTCGTATTAGCTACTTCTTGGATTCTTTCTATTCCTAAGTGGTTGTAACTGTAGCACTTTCTTAGAAAAGAAAATCTCTAAAATCTAATTTTCTATCGCCCCATGCTCGTCCGTATTCTCCATGATCATCTCCGTAAGGTACAACGAGTTGTCGCTCATCTCCACCGCAGCTTGATCTACCTTCTGACCATGCGACTAGTAGTTCCCCTACTCCTCTTCACTGCTTTCAGCAGTGTCGCCTCTGCCGCACCTCAGAGTCCTAGAGTGAAAGCAGCCCTTCTTTTCCCGAGAGGTGCAGCACGGTCCGCATCTGAAGCCTGTGTAGCTGTGATCCTTGTACTCCCTAGACACCACTGCTCCAATGGTCATGTACCAGAAATAGGCAAAAAGCAGGATCGCTGGTCCTGCAATCCCGAACAGCCACAGCAAAACTTGAGCAGGAGAAAAGAGGATCTCCCCACCAGCCGTCATAAATGCCCATCGAAAACCAATACCCATATCGATCATAGCCGGTCCATAGTAGTTTTTCAGTGCGTGTTTGACCGCTTCGGCTGTGGTGCGGTGTTGAACGCCGGCCTTGTTGCTTGCAGCAAGAGCTCCTTTTGTAGTAGGAGAACTTGGACGCACGAGACGAATGGCATTCTGTTTCTGAGATACAAGTTGCAATTGAAGATGTTTCTTCTGCTGCTGGTGACGAGCCATCTTCGTTTTTGACGTCTGAAGCAAGGTACTAGTAGATGGCGCCTCTTCTACTTGCGCTTGAAGATCTCGAACCGACCACCAGTCTTCTTGAGAGTCAACAACATCTTCTCTCGCAACAGGAACCTCCATTTCATGTTGACCAATTGACTTCTTCATAGTGTTGGACGTTCGAGAAGAAGTGGAGGAAGAGGATGAGTACTTCTGAAGCTCCACAAATGCACTAGTCGATGTTGACGCTGCTGCAGTACCGGAACTAGTACCAGTTCCAGTACTCGTCATCACAGGAGCAGGCTCCGTGTTGGTTCCAGCATGCCGTTGTGACACTCCCGCTATAGGATAGGTGAGGCTGACGAATCCCATGGTTCCGTAGATGGCGATCAGAATGAAAAAAACTGCAATCGTCACCTTGTAGTACGCAGAGGGCAACTCAAACAAGCGAGCGTTCGTGCGCATGGCGTGCAAAGTCTTTGAAGTCATGAAAAACGAAGCCGCAATAGCGAGTTCCAGAACCAGAAAAACGAGCTGTTTTGTGATTTTTTTGGAGTTGCAGACAAGGTTCTGAAAACAATGGACACAGATTATATAGTGAGCTAATATAGTGGCACTTGCATCACAATGATCGTTCGACTACTACGAGATGAAAAAAAGTTCAAACAATTTGTATTTGAATTATGATATTATAAGAGCAAAAGCATTAGCATCAAGAAGGTGTAGTACAATCATATTCGAGAATCCCGCAATGTAATCGCACAGGTCCAGGTCGAAATTGACGGTCTTGAACATAAACGGCGCAAACAATCCGAAGGACACTAACACTCGAATCTGCGAACCTCCTAACAACGCCATGTAAAAGAACAGACTATGGTTCCAAGCACTAGCTGCTGGATCATCCTCCATGATCTGGTTGCCCATGCCTTCTGGGACAACGCTGCCACGATCTCGACCAGCCAGACCAGCGAAATTGTCACTTCCAATAGCAGCGGGAAGGGGGCTGTAGAGGTTGCGAGAAGGAGAATAGAGAAGGAAGACGAAGGGTGCAAGAAGAACAAGAATTACAACGAATCATGCTAACGTAGAACTGAACTTGACCTCCATCAATCACAATGAATAGAAGAAAGTAGGCACCCTTCGCTCGCCGTGCTATCCATCAACCTTCCATTTTTGAAGTAAGATGGGAGATTTCGTATTTCTTGATGAGTCGAATCTCCATACTCGTTAGTCGCCAGCCCTGCTGGTTTGTTTACTTCTGAGTCTCTGCTTGCTCCCAAAGTCGACGCATCCAAACTAGAGGCCGCGTCCGCATTACCCGCAAAAGAAAACAACAGAGCGCCAGGTTTCATGCTGGTGCCTGCCAAAGTTTGCGCTTCGAAAGCATGCGTCTCTCTAAAGCTTTCTTCTGGTTCGAGAAGAGCGTTGTATTGGCTATTGGACCCATCGTCGTCGCCGATTTGGATGCGACCGGATGCTTGACCACGCCAGGCGGAACCCTCAGCGCGTGTCCCTGTATTAACCGGTGGGGAAAGGAAATCATGGGAAAATTCTTGTCAAATTATTTTTCAAAGAAACTGTGTAGTACTGGATGTAACACTAAGATGAAAACAACTTGTTGTACCCGTACGACTCTGTTCCATATAATTATTCAGCACGACCGAAGATTTTCTGAAAATTCCAGCATTATATAAGTGAGTACCTTCCGGCGCTTGCGACAAAAGTGGCATTTCCGATAACAAGTCTTCAGCTTCATCCCCGTACTCTCCTCCAGGAGCTCCAGTTCGTCGCTCCGGTCCTTGTTTCAGCGCATTTGCCCCGTTCATGACCCAACACATGTACTCAGCACCCAGGAGATGGGAAATGATAATCACCAGAAAGAGCAAAATCTCCAACATGAAGCCTTGAGACAGGTAAAGGAAAGCCTCGAATTGGTCGACTTTAGTCTGGGCAGCACCCATGCGCTGCCACCAAGCAGTAACGGACACGTATTTGGGCGAAACCTGGTTGCCAGTGGGATAAAGAGTATGGAGGGTGGTCGTGGTCGTAAAGAGACTATCATATCTATGCGCGGCTTCATTCCGGTGTAGCTGTAAGACCTTGCCCGCTATAAAATTACACTTATTCTTACTCTTGATGGCCATTTATGATCTCATGAAAAGGAAAAAGATTCTACTCACTAACAACAACAAGATGAACAAGAATTAGGAAGAATGAACTAGGCTCTCGTTCTTTTAAGCGAATTCTGTAGTTGAGTCGTGTACCTGCGCAAAATTCCCATCGAAAACATCTCCATAGTTTGGAACATCCTCAGCAAAGATTCGTGCTCTTGCTCCCGTCGATCCTCCATCCCACGCGTTATCCACCAAATAAACTGCTGGATTCGGATTCAAGTAGGTCGCCTTGCCGTAAACAGTTGCGAAGTAGTTGCTCTTATTCGATCCAAGCAAAGTCAAAACCAGACTCACAGTCAAATTGAGTAACAAACCGGGAAGAATGAAGAGCAGTCCTCGTCTGAGACCAGAGCTGGCACGTGTCATGGTGGAGGGTGCTGTTGCTGGTCCCACACTTGGGGACCCATTTGTAGTCTGCGTTTCCCGCAAGTACGGTGTTTGACTCGTCATCGGAGAAGGAACGCCATCCGCACTGCCTGGACGCATGATAAACGTCGGCCTGCCGCCTGAATAGCCCGAACCCATATTGGAGCCCGATGCAGCAGCTGAAGAACCTCCACCACCCTGTTGAGACGCAGAATACAAGGAAAACGTTTCCGGAGAACCACCATCTTTGGCGTCAACAATTCTTGGTGCCGCAGGAATGCGCATCCACGACACTCGAAAGATGAACGCATTGACGCATCCCATCAGGACTGGTAGACCGTAATAAACGGCCCAGAGGAGAGCCCGTCTGTCCGTCTGCATCTGGAGTACGTCGTCTCGGCCCTTGCCAGCTAGAACGGCAGCTTCCAAATCTGTAGGTGATTTTTCAGTGTAGTCGAGTTGAGGTTTGTTCAAACTATGATGTCAGAAGAATATGGAAAAAGATCTAGGAGGAGAGGAAATTATGCTTCTTGATCATCTGATCCTCGACGAGAAGGCATAAACCAGAACTAAAACCAAGGATGTTGAGATGAACAAGTTTAAGTCCTATACTCGATCTCCATCATCAAGTTAGTAAAAAACTTGAAGTTCTATACCGTATCGCGTGCTCACAGCGTAGATCAACAGAAGGTACAGAGGCCGGACGACAACGATCTGACTCCCGACCAAGTACAATTGCATTCTCCCTGACCAGCACATGACCGACACCATCAGCAAGTTCAACGCAATCCCTCCCCATCCTACCCAGTAATCCCTCGCGTTCCAGAACGCTGTGACGTCAATCATCTCCCCATTGTTCTTGTAGTCCTGCAATGGCTGAGTGAAGAACAGCATGTGCGCGCAAGCGAGGATCGTCAACCGGGTGATGTGGGAAAACCGGTGACTAAATGAAGTAACGGAATTCCTCACATGGTGGCGCATAAACGGCGACTTCGACAGCAAACTGTACCAACTCAAGTTACTTGGCAATCGATCGTCCGTAACAGTCTTGCGTGACTGCTGCTTTTCCGCAGGCGCGACGTCCTTTCGGTAGGATTGGAGGCTATCTTCTCTAGAAGCGACCATAGACTCCCAAGTGGTGTCATCAGCCGCGTCCTTGCGGCAGAAAAAGTCCACTAACAGCAGAGCGAAAAACATACTGGAGAACAGCTTTCCAAGGAGATCAGCCGTGAACGGTCCCGCGCCAACCGGGACAGAGGCGATGTAAGTACGACCACGAATTGCCGGGTTCAAATTGTAAGGTGTGCGATGCGACACAACTTCCACATGTTCTTGCTGGTGTTCTGTCATCTTCGGTGGTGCCACGAGGGATGGTTGTTCTACCTTCGGTTGTGCAGGATGATGAGTTGAAGAGCCAGGTTGTTGTTCAAGAAAAGTATCTTGATGTTGTACTAGCTCTTGCTCAAGAACTCGATGCTCATGTTCATCTCCATCAAAGTCTAGTACTTCGCCATTAGCATCCACAACGACGCTCATAATTGTTGCACCAAAGGAAGAGGATGTCTCACCAAAGGAAGAGGAGGAGGTTTGAGTTCCAATAGATGCTGTTTGCGTAGCTCCGGTTTGAGTTCCCATATCCGCAGTTTGAGTCCCGGCAGTTTGGGTTCCGATATTCCTCGTACTAACCATTGATGGCGGACTCCAGAGTGTTACTTCGGCATTCGATCCGGAAGGAGCAAGTTTTTTCTGAAGCACGAGTCCAGGCTTACCTTTCGGAGCCGCCAAATGCGTATTCTTGCCCAACGGATGCAAAGTACAACCTTGTTCGATTTGCTTCGAGGGAAACCTCATGTGAAGCACTTCTTGTTCCCCATGGGACTCAGCGTCTTTGACAACAGCATTGACATTGCTCTCCTGCTCGATCTTCCAGGCGCCACCGATGTGCGTATACTGCACATAAGCATCAGGGATGCCCTTTCGGTCTGCAATGGATTTCAAAATATTCGTCATGGTAGAGGTGCCTGAGCGTGCGGCTGTAACCACCCTTGCCTCATCCGACTCTCGCATCAAGGTATACTGAGCCACAAAGTGCAAGAGCATGAGCACTGCGAAAGCGGACAACCTCAAGATCCACAGCTGTCCTTCTGTGAAGAAATAAAAACGAGAACCGCCACTCGCGGAAGCAGGAGAAGGCGAAGAGTCGCGATCCCCACTCACACTTTTCATGGTACTCTTCTTTTTATCGGACCCAGACTTGAGAAACGTCGTTGACGCGACCCCACCTTTGCCGCCTTTTTGTTCTCGGACGGCCTCGACATTACGTTGCGCAGCAGCTGGGGAGAGGTTTCCGAGTTGGCGATACGGGTCTTCTGCTCCCGTTTGACTAGAGGGCTCGATAGTTTCCTGGCTAATCGGCTGGCCTGCTCGTCCTGATTGGGGAGCAGAGCCGCGACCGCGACCGGATTGTTGTCGCGTACTCATCTGTCGGTATAATTGATGTCTTCGTTGTTCAATCTATGCCTAGGGTATCTAAAAGACTAAGTAGTACGATGAAAATGCCCAAAAAGAAAGAAATTTTCGGTTTCCTAAAAAAAAATACTCTCAACGAATTTCAAATCAATGGGAAGAGTGATCAGAAATCAAAATTAATGGATCAATTCTAATTATCGAATTACACTTCACCATAAAAAACTACGAAGGAATCATTCAATGAATGTTGCATTGGAGAAGGCGGGTAAAAATTAGGATGCATCAAGGAAATAAAAGTGGCTGCATAATTTCATGAGGGAATAAACTTTGTTTCCAGAGAAAACGAAAAGGAAAAGTGGGTAAAATTCTTAATAAAAACTGAATCAACTCGAGCATTTTCTGCGCACTTAACAGCTCTCAATGACAGATTTGATCTCTCAGTGTGACAGAGCCAGGAGTGACAGACACAAAATGTAAATCTTTTGCTTCATGCAGTAATTACTCATGTTGTTGAATGATCATTTCAAATCTTATGATGAGTCTTTGAGGACATCTCTCAGATCACAGATGCTTTCTCACGCAACTCAAACAGATGCCGTGCCAAATCACTCATGATCAGAGTTGCTTATCCATGTCCACCTACAACGACATTAAGGAATCACTAACGAAACCGATTGTTCACACTTTAAGATTAAGAGCGTACTAGTTATGAGTCTGATCAACATGATATGCAAACACACCAGAGGCTCACTATGAACTCTTAACTTATGGCTTCTGATGGAATTAGAGTGGGGACTTCCGAGTTCGGAATCTAGTTCAGGATCGACAAACATCATCAAGCAGCTCACAGCGTCTCCCCGACTACCGCTCACAGCTAGCAAAATCTCGGAATGTTTCTTTGCAGCAGGGAATAAACTAATAACTCATCTTAGGGGAATCGTCGTTCAGGGTTCATTCTTTGTACACCATGGTATTGCAACATCAACTTTTGCTTCATCTATTCAGCAAGCTCTGCAATTTATCAACAAAACCCTAACTAATTCCAATTCGTCTGTAGAACAAGAAGAGCGTTCATCAAGTCCATCCCATAGAAGATCATGGTCATTGATATGTAGCAACAGCAACTGCAACATCGTCAGAAGAAATTAAACTTTCACTTTCTATCATCTACAGCTAGTACTTAGAGGAAGTGTGGAGCAAGTGGGTTTTCGTGGCTTTTTCGAAATTTTAGTACATATCCAAAGGACCCCATAATTGTTTCTTCGCATGACCCTCTTTCAATTTGCTGCAAGCGTGCGTAACGATCTTCGGTCCGCGAGTACCCGTCACGGCACCCTCTTTTCTGGTTGCGGTCCTGTATCATGAGTGGACAGGACAGATGTGAGAATGGAGTATCAGGATCAACTTGCTTCAAGTTGAAGCTCTTCAACACGAGGTCGAGGACATTGCAAAAGTTATAAAGGAAGTAAACTGCAAGGAAGGGAAACTAGATTTTTTGCTATTTTTTCCCTTTTAGCGACTGGTAGTGATTGTAGTTAATTTTTGTGGAAGTACTTTTCAAGCGCAATTTTGTCAACGCGATCCTTCAAGTCCTCGTGTCTTCGCATGTCCGACAGCTGACCGTTCACACGCTTGTTATATGAATCCGCTTCCATACCTGGTGGGAGGAACTAAATATGAGGAAGGAGATGAAGTTGGACGATGTGTATCTGATGAGTTCGCTGCATTCGCAAAGATACTATTTCAAAAACTCAGACTCACTTAGCCCTCTGAAGCTTCTTGCTGTTGTTCACAGGCATAATAAAGCAGTCTAAAATAAGACAAGTACGTTGCATAAAGCTCATTTCACAGGCAAACCCATCTAAAAAGACAAGTACGTTGCATAAAGCTCATCTCACAGGCAAACCAGTCTAAAAGACAAGTACGTTGCATAAAGCTCATCTTCCCTCTGGTGGCTTTGGCATCGTGCATAGCTTCGCGGTTGACGCTGTCGAGCTCGTAGCTCTTCGCTACTGCGACTTGGAATGAGACTGACATCTTTTTGCTTTGTGGTGTTTCAGTTTGTTCTCTGATTCTTTTTAGAGGGGGGTCTTCTTCTAAGTGAGAAACGTTCGGTGGTTCAAGTGAGGACGACGATCACTTTCGAGCTCTTTTTTGTTTTACGAATCGAGCTCGCTATTCGATAGCATCCGAGCGACGAGCGTTATGATTTTGCGTTCTTTGTTTTACGAATCGAGCTCCTAAGTTCCTTTTGTCTTGCGATTATCCACGAAGCAGAAGCGAAGGCGTTTAGGTTTACAAAGGGTTTTTTTACAGAGAGCGACACTCCACGTGGGATATCCTCGGCATCCAGCCACAATTGTTCAACGAGAATATTAAATCGGTTTATCTTCTTTTCATTTTCCCTGAAATTTTCAAAAAAAGACTGACCGAGCTAAACTGTTTGCGCTGTTGCCCTACTACAAGAATTGAGTGCTTCTAATCTACAACATCAATGTAATCGTCATCGTCTTCGACTTCGTCAAGTCTGTTGAAAATATAATGTAGAAACGCTACGGGTATTTAACGGAAGAGAATCCACTCAACAACATTGCCATTCAAATGCATGCCAATACTACTCACCAGAAGTCAGGACTGAAACTGACGTAGGTCAAAGAAGAACATCAACATAATCTTCTAAAATCTACTGAAAGGGTTCTTGCTCTCTTCTAGTATTTCGGCGCTATTCGCATATGCCAAACCACGTCCTCCTATATCGCTCTCCACTTCACTGAGTAGCTTCTGAATACGTTCATCAAACGACCGCGATCCTTTCATAAGCGTCGATGTGGTAGTTAGACCTGCCGAAGTCGGCTGATACTGTGGTCCTTGTCCATTATATTGGCCACTGGCTGTCTGCACGACAGAAGCACTAGAATTACCTGTGGTCTGTTCGTTTACACTGCCTCCCAGTACGTCTAGTGAGGCAAAAGCCCCCCTCGGGTCAAAGGCGCGGGAGATAAACGTTGTTGGTGCTGCTGTGGGTGGTGGTAGCTCGACAATACTCGCCGAAGCAGAACTCCCAGTCCCAGACGCCGTTGCAGAGTAGCTCAAAGACGACCCGCCAGGAATTTTGTTCTTGTTGTAGTTGCCCTTTTGTTGAAGAAGTTGCGACCGCACTTGAGCGGCGGCTTCTAAGACGTCATCCTCGTTTCGGATATCTTGGTAGTACAGGACTCCTCCTACTGAGGTGGAAGTTGCGGCCGTATTACCAGATCCTGTACCTGGAGCGGGACTTGGCTCATCACTATCTCCAGTATGTCCTGTTACAAAGCGATGATCATGTTGTATTTTTCTATCTTGTTGTCCATGCAGAAGTTGCTCTGCTCTTTCATCGACGTCTACAGCAACTCCCTCATCGTATCCCAGTACAGGCCCACTAGGAGTACGAATTCCATTCCCACCTCCGCCGCTTTTATGAATGCCTTAGAGCTCACCCTAATCCATCTCCTCGCGATGCCTCCTTGGCGCCTTTTAGTACCCTTGGAGACCTACTGAAGATGGATTCGGGGAAACAGCCTTAACTGTCTTTACTCCTTGAACTGTGGTTGGACGTCTGTGCACAGCCCAGCGTGCTTGTTTGTTGCACGCGGTGTGAATCTTGGGAATCCAAGACTAGATGGCCTACGGGTTTGTTATTCCTATCACCGCCACCTCTTGTGTTCAAACTTCGGCCACCACCAGCATGAATGGCTCTGGGCTTAGTACCTCCTGGTACAGCTGCTGGATCTTGACTTATTTGTTGTGATTAGACCTCACCCTAATGATCCATTCTGAGATGAACCATCCTGCTTCTCTTTTACCGTTGACATAAAGCCTCTTCAGAATGCTTCAGATGAACATGGAGGACTACGGTAATAATTAAAAGCCATAATGTGTATGTGATGAAGAAAACGGTAAGCCGTAATGTGATGAAGAAAACGTTCTGGTTGTAGTTGTGCTTCCACTTCTTCCACCTCCAGATCCACTAAAATGACCTTGTCCAGCTGCACTACCTCGTATGAAAGCAGCAGCCGCGCTAGAACTCGACATTGAGATTGATCCCTTTTTCGTTGGACTACCCCAAGCATTCACGTTTTTACTGTAGGTGCCTCGACTCGGGTCAGGCTCTTTCAAAACCTCTCCTGCTTTTCGATGCGCTTGATGCGTTGAGATATTGATGCCGACCTCGGAACGAAGGGAAGCTAGACTTGCAACGCCAGTAGCTGAGCTCGCGGCGATCACTTTCTCCAGAGGTTAGAGGAGGAGGAGAGAGGAGGAGGAGAGAGGAGGAGAAAGAGTGGAGAAGGAGAGAATAAAGTGTATGATTCATATCGGCTAGAACTGTAGATGAAATTGCCTCCAACTACGGGTGAGAGTGTCAAGGTCAGGTCGATGAGAGCTAAATCCAATTGTTCCAACGCCAAGACCAAATCTTCCATATCTATCCAACTCCACTCTATCCGTCATTTTCTCGCTGAAATGCAAGCTCTCTGCGAACAACGACAGCGCAGAAGAAAAATTCTGCAATGTGCCGTTCAACTGCGCGAATTCGCCTTCCCACAATGGTCTCTTCCCCACTACTCGCACCGAAGGGGTTCTCTTCTCCTCAACTAGTGCACGTCCAAGATCGTTGACGCTGCCCATCAGTGCCTGCGACGTCTTCAGCAGCTTCTTGCCTTCTTTCCGCATTTTTTTCAATTCTAACTCGATGATCTTGTTTCTCCGCAAGATGTTCACGTCGCTGAGACGTTGGAAGGATTGCTCTGCGTTCATCAAACTCCTCTCTAGTCGTTCCAGAGGCGTTAAAATCAAAGCTGAAGCTCCTTCTGCGAGGCCAATGGCAGCACTTTTGGAGTTGTTTGGATGCAACTGATGATGATGATTAGAGCTACCGCGCTCGCAACCCCGAGAACCTCCCTGGTCCCTTTTTCTTCTTGAAAAATGGGCCAAGGATGATGTCGAGGATGGTCCAGCGGTAGCCTTAAGATGAGCTCCCGAAGAACCGGAACTATTACCTGCTCGATTGTTCGAGGTAATATCTCCTGAAGCCGCGTCTCGACCTCCTGCAGGAGCACCCAGAGGACCTCCACCAGCTCCCGCATTGACGTTCTTGATCTTCACCGTTCCTCCGAGGTAGTAATCGAGATCGGTTGCCGTGTTCTGCACGCCCAAAACTGATCGGATCGCTCTCTGCCTCGCCGTCTCTGCTCTGTCTCCCAGTGTTGCTAGAATCGAGATGCGATCCTCCAGTTGTTGCCGAAGTTCCCTGTCCAGTCGAGCCTCTTGCTGGACGTCCTTGAACAGCGTCAAATCCTCTTCTAGAATCGCTTCCCTCTCGAGGAGACGCTCTTGGGCCTGGTTTCATCGTTGGCGGCGCAATATTCGTGGATCTCATTTAAGTAAGCTGCTGAAATTGCAGCCAATGATGAAGCCAATGAATCTACCTCTACTTATATTTTGCCTCTGTCTCAGTCTCGAGTGAGTGTGTAGAATGTCTCGAGTGAGTGTGTAGAATGTCTCGAGTGAGTGTGTAGAAGAATCCTGGAGTCAGTTCATTATAGCAATACCATGCATGGGGTGAAACGAAACAAGACGACTATGATTCTTATTTATTAAATGATCACTGTGAAAATTATACCTGAAACCGTAGTGCGCGCTCTTCGACCAATGACCGCTCCATCTCAGCCACCAAGCGGCGGGATTCGAGAAGGGTAGAGGCCATTGTTTGGTTGGCGATGGCCTGGACTTGTGTAAATGGACTTAGTGTAAACGGTTCATCGGAAGGCCTATATGGCAATTTCCAGAGACCTTTGCGTACTTATACTAGAGTTAGGTTTTTTTTGACCCATATCGGGTCGGGTTGCTCGGGTTGCTCGAGTTGCTCGAGTTGCCAACCCAAATTTTTTGCGCGGCGCCCTTCGGGCGCAGATTTATGACCCTACGAGAGACCTTAACAGGAGCGCACGACACGACCACGCGCCGCGCCGTAGTTGCACACTGATGGCGGCGCGCTCGTATATAAATAGCGAGCGCGTCAATCCATTTCAATTTAGCAACCTCCTCCAGTATGCTTACTGCTATACCCAAGACTGGACACGTCGCCCGCTGAAGCCAGCAGACGGGCACTCGCTCTCAGCCCCCAAGTAGATTGGCCACGCTCGCACCCGAAGAAAAAAGGGAGAGATCGCCAACGACTCGAAGACGACACACCACAGCGCCACCCACCTCAAAAAAAAAACAACAGAGAGCAGGGGCCTGCGCTCCTTGTTTTCGCTTCAAACACGCGACCGAACGCTACAAAAAAAGAGCCAGAAAGACTGCAGAGCCCTACAAACGTGGCTGCCCCTTTCATGAGCAACAACAAAAAAAGAATTTGCGCCCTTCTCCATTTTTTCACTGCGAGCGTACAAATGCACCTCCATACCGCCCGGCTTCGCCCCATTTTGCTGGGTCAGGATTCTCCTGGCAACCCGTGGCAACCCGTTCCAGATTTGGAACCCCTGCGCTTCGGCAACCCGACCAACCCGTTGCAACTCGAGCAACCCGAAACCCGTTATTTACCTTACTCTATTATACCATAGAAAAATAGGGATACGACACGTTGCTCTTGATTTGGTTGTGACTGTTGCTATTCCTTTCTTGTTTGTGGTGATGCAACTGCACACTTTTTTTGCGCACCAAAAGCCGCGTGTTGTTCATCGTATCGTATCTTGTTCTTGACAATGTTTTCAATCGACGACTTTCCATTGCCACTCGAGGCTTTATGATGCAGCATCATCCCTCGAGATTAGAGCTTCATCCCTCTTGAAAACCGAGTTGTCTGTGAGAAACAAGCAAGACTCTGCGACAACGACATCATCGCGTTTCCTAGTGCTGCGCCTGCTACTCCCCAGAACCCTCATCACCACTACGTCTACGAAAAACGATGGTGAATAAGACGGGGTCCTCCATCAACAAAAGGGTTTTTGAGGTCGTACATCTCCGGTCGTTGATGGGCTAAGAGGACACATCGACATGTCAGACACGGTGACAACCTCCATCAAGAACAAGAGGGTTTTTCAGGTTGTAATGGACAATTTGAGGGTTCTACTTGACGTTGACACGACGAAAAGTGAATGAAATTAGAAAAATATCAACATACAACTAGTCATTCTTGTCAGAAGAAGGAGAAGCGCTCATCAGCATTATCTTCATACATATGCAATTTAAAGTGTCGAGCTCTATAGGGCGTATAGAGCTCGGCAAATCCAGAAAGACTACTTCCTTGTAGTCAAACAAGATCATTGAATGTAGTGCATCTACGTTGTAGTAGCAGTGGTCGTGTATGAGGAGCTGTGCTGGACTCTTGCTCCTCATCTACACCGAGCTTTTTCTTCTTGTAAGCCAGATATATATAAAAACGATTCTTTGATGATCATTTTTGTTCAACATATAAAATGCATCCACTGCTAGAAAGATTGTTTTCTGTTCTTGTACCAACATCATTAAAAGATATATGTGCGCAGGCGTCACACGAGGTATTACAGCTAAGTTGTAAGATGTTTGCTTCGGTTAAGTTTAAGAACAACAAGAAGACAAATCGTAGTACTAATCGGTTTATTTTCACTATAAGATATCGACATATGGATGCTACATCATCAACAACTTTCGTCTCAAGTATTCAAGTATATCGGTCGTTGTATCGTCTCGAACGCCTGTTGCTTTCCTTTTTCGTTGTAAACAACACAAGGATGTTGAGAGACATCAACAAAATTTGTGTTGACATTAACAACAATACACACCGCACCAGATTCAGAGGATTCACAAACAAACTTCGTCTTCGTTGTATGTTGAACTGAAAATTCCTATCATTAGTTTTTGTTTAATACAGTTGCACCTTCATCTACCTAGCAGCTAAGACCATCAATTTCAATACTACGTGCTTCTATATCGTATTTTTGTTGTAGTATTTGCCGCTATTTTGTTCAGGAAAACCACATCGCAGAAGATGATCTATATCCAACATCTAAGCAAGCATTATTTTCCGCACTTGACACAATTTTTCAGAAACAAAAATCGAATATCTAAGTGCACAGTTCTTGGTATCATGGAGCGACTAAATCTTTCCATTTCTTCTTGTTCCTCGGCACACCCTGCACTCGGAGCTCCTGCCGTAATAATGATGTGGTTCTTCTTTTTTTATGTATTTCCATCTTTATAAGTACATCATTATCCATCCATGTTCCCAGGAATTCGTCAGGAAAACGAACGCGCTAAGTGCTGATCTTTTAGATCTACGATACAAGTACAACAGCACTACAACAGCATTTCTATGTACTAGACATTCGTATCCATATTAAGCATAATGTCGTAGTCATAATATATTTCATCTTCTTCTAGTGGTCCTACATCTTCTAGAAGAATCAATCATGATCATGATCAGTATCTTTATTTTCCGACGATCGCAACCACGAATAAGGTCAATTATTAGAACAACAGGCGGCATCTTTAACTCCAAAGCAGTATTTTCTTATTCTTGTTCTTTTTGTAAGAAAAAAGTCAACAGCATAGTCGTCGAAGCGCCATCCGTAGAAGCCTCCACCAGTTGAAGAGTCAAGATCTCCTAACCAGCATAAGTAAGAATAAAAACAAAAAGCACGCCCACGCGAGCACACATTTGTGATAATCGTAGAAGTAAGTAAGTAGTTCTTGTCGCGCATGGATACTCTTCGTAGCACAATATAATTCACTCTTCCCGGATGAACGACCACGAAGAACCTGAAGAAGGGAAGATTTGTTTCATCTGTGTGCTGGAGAATACAACAAGAAGGGTGTGAAGAATACCTTGTTGAGACTCATCTTGTACAAGAAACATCTTCGAGGAAAAAAGATTGGAAGTCTAAGTACGTCGCCTTTCCGAGCGTATCTGTTTAACTTGTCCTCGGAGCAGCACCACGCTCTTCGTTTTGTTCTTCATCGGTATTACCTGTGAGCAGTAAAATTAGCGTTGTTGACATCTCGCGTAGATGATATTACAGCAGCATGATGATTTTCATTCCAATAATCTTGTGATCCTTAGATAGCCAAAAACCTTATTTTACACGAGATGAAAAGAATCCTTTTATTACAGGACAGAGACTTATTCCAAAAAATTGGCATATTAATTTGTGCTCTCAACAGCATTCAGTGCCAGAACAAGCATTATAAGTACTACAAATTAGTAGAATCACCATCTCCATCTTTCCCAGCAGCATCTGCGCCGGAGGCCAGCACAGTCTCCACGTCAGAAAGCAGAGACAAACTATCATGAGGAGCAGTAGGCCCAGGATGAGTAGACACTGATGCTGGACCGCCAACATCAGCTTCTGGAAATTGTTGCCGCTTTGCTTGGTCAAGATATGTGCTTACCATAGAAGGAGTACTACTGCTAGGAGTTGTACTGCTGCTAGGAGCACTGTTGCCGGTCCCTCTACTACTCCCTCTACTAGTCATGCCGCCACTAAGACAAGCAGCTGTAGTTGTACTGGCACTAGATCTAGTACCCCTACCCCCGACATGCACTTGCTGCATGTCAGGCGTTCTACCGCTACTACCTTCGCTAACAAACGGTGCAGGTGGAGGCGTCGGCTGAAAACCAGGCGTCCTTTGCAGTGCTAAAGCAGGTGGGGACAGCGAGGGGCCCAGAGGTGGTGACTGCACTAGAACATGACTACGGTGCGGCTGCTGTTGTTGCGCTACAATTAGAAGAGAGTGAAAGGGTGGGGAAAGTAATAGTAGTACGGGAAAGATGAGCACGCACGAGCCGGTGTGGACACGAAGATGAGGTAAATCAATTCAATGATCAGTTTCATCAGTCAGAGTCAACCAGCTGTGATAAGGATAGCAGGCACAGGCTGCAGGTGCAGCATTCTTTCGAATATGTGCTGATGTGACAACGTAGTCATAGTAATTTGATGATTTATAATATTCCGTGTAGTTGCCTCCATACTTCATCTTGAGTTGAAGATGATTTATTCCACCTTGTTGCCATACTACTTGTTGCTGATTTGTTGCTTGTTGCTGTCTTCGGGGAACCACTTGTAAGCGGTTTGTTCTTTGTCGTGGTACCCGTTGAACTCTTTGTCCACGTGGAACCAATGCTGTTGCTTTACCAAAGGCCACTTCGTCGTCGGCATCGGAGTAGGGATTAGAGCTCCGATGACTTTTCTTGGAAGATCAAGATGAGTTGATGTTTGTTTTTATTCACTTCATCTTCTGATTCTTGCGTAGCTTCCGAGTACGTTCTTGAGTACTGTTGCATTTTTTTAGTTGTTATCAGATTGCTACAACAGTAGCAGTCCTCGTCGTCGATATGTTATAAGTAGAAGACCATACACCAAGTGCTCGTAACTAAAGTTTCCATCTGGTCTGGTAATGGAAAGAAACCCCCAGGCGGCGCGTCTGGTGCAAACGAAGAAAACTCTGGTCCCACCTGGTCTTGTTGTTGCCCCGAGGAAAAGAGGTCAGAAGATTAGAAGTGGAAAGACAGACTCAGCGAAGTGGAGTTTTCGACTTCGACCAACATTTCCTTCAAAACAAACTGACGTAAATGGTGTCAACCCTTAAAGAACGTAACTTAGCGCCTGAGCGTTCTTCAGGCTATTTGCATCCTGATCGCTAAACGGCGGAACATCAACGTTATCATCAGTTGCGCCAAAGCGAAAGACTCCGCCATCTCGTCCTTCAGATAATTGAACACCTGGGACCTCAGGAAATAGTAGACCACTAGCAGATCCTCCTGTGTAGGGAGTGGGAGGTAAGGGCGGGATGCCGGAAGATGAAAGTAGAGGAGAGGAAGAAGAAGATGCACTACTAGTAGCTGCTAGTCCTGAAGATGTACTGAATGTTGAAGCTCCTACAGATGTTGACGTCCTTTTATGCCCACTGCGAGCAGTACGCGACTGGCGGGTTGACGAGGACTTACTACTATGGAAAGCTGCAGTAAACAGTCCTGGGGAAAGTGGCTCTGAAAGCAAGGCTGTAGGCGATGGAGACGGAGAGGGAGACGGAGGTACCATTTGTTCCTCGTGTTGTAATGGTGTTCGCTCATGTTGTAATGGCGAAGAGCGTGGAGTTGAGGCTGGTGCTGGTGGAACGTCTGGTGATCGCGCCGCAGGGACAGGACGAGGAGTCACAAGAAGTGTATTCTCCATGTGCATGTTGACCACTTCTTGATGAGCGTCCTCTGCTTCTGCACTACCACTAGCACTATTTAATGCACCCAGTGGCGACGAATTCCTTGAAAATGCTCCTGCCGGAACTGGTGCCCCTCCTCTAGTAGGGATTATTAGTTGTTCAGGTGAAGCTGGTCTCGAGGATGGTGGCGCAAATCTATGCATGCTTTTGGCACTACTTCTTCTACCGCTTCCGGAAGATGAGTTGGGGTGCATGACATGTTGCCGTTTCGTATGTCCTGAACCGGACGACCCACCTCCTATGGATCCCGTTCGATTACGCACTACACCGAATCCGACACCTCCAACACTGGGACTAGGAGTAGGACTGGCGGTAGTAGGTGGTTGTTGAACCAGTTGAACTTGGGGTTTCTGACCCTCTTGCTGATCAGCGGGGTGCTGAGATTGTGTTTGGGTACAACTCTGAGCTTGACCAAAAGATGCGCCGCCATCTCCTTGTATATACTCGCTTCCAGTACCGCGAGGAGTCGGGCTCGACGCAGCAGAGCTAGGAGCTTCAGGTGAGTTCGGTCGCGAAGAAGGCACTGATCTTGCGTGATAGATTGAGACCTGTGGCGCCCGACCTCGCGGGGTAGCCAAAGCACCGTGAAACTCCCTACCTGTAGCGGCGTTCGTGGGACTTGTAGGGGCTGATATCGGCGAAGCAGCATTATCAGCAGGAGCAGCGGCGAGAGTACTATGTTGACTAGCTGTAGAGGCATTAGCGGCCGCAGTACCACTGCCGGGGGTAGCGATATTTTCAGCACTACTGCTTCCTCTAAATGAGGACTGTACTACGACACTCGAAAAAGCATCTCTGGCATCTTCTTCTTTTTCTTTCGCGACGACATGGCCTTGTTCTCGAAGCGGAATCAGAGGCTCTCCCACAATCACCTCAGCATCAGGAATGTCAGACATCGAAAAGGGCTGTGCACTTACGGGCATCTCGGGACTGATGATTAGAAAAGGCTCTTTCAGATGAAATTGGTCATTATATACAAACATAGGAAAAAACCAGTGTTGAAGTTTTTATCAGACGAAACTTTTTCTACGGAAGAACTTTATCAGACAAAACATCAAAATGAAAATTGTTTCCTCCATAACGTCAATGACAGTAGTTCTGTTTGTGAGCTCGACGCAGACGACGAGATACTCGATACTGAATGCGAAGAATAGGTTAACGGTATCTGCCCAGCAGGATCACTCCCGGTACCATTAGACTGCAAGACTGTCGCAGTGGGAATTTCATCGTCATCATCCTCCGCCGCATGTTGTGGTGTACTCGTGTACTGTACTGTGTCGTGTCGTGCAGCTTCCTCTGGGTGTTGCTGTCCATGGGGAGCAGTGGAGGTCTCCGACGTACTCGTAGCAACTATAGCAGATGAGCCAAGACTAGCGATGTTGAAGCGACCTTGGTTATTATTTGTTCCTCCTAATGCAGATGTGCCTGATGCTGGTCTAGAGCTAGAGGGCTCTATATGCTGTTCAACCGTCTTTTTGTTATTCACTACAAGGACTTGAGCTGTCGATAGACAGTCATTCTCATCGTCTTCTAAGAGTCCATCTTCTGCCTCTGGTGTACTTGGTGGTGCTTTCTGTCCGCCGGCGTCCTGTAGGAGTATGAATTTTCCTTTGATAAATTGAAATTCATCTCCATCTTATATATAATTGTTTCGAAGAACATCAAACGTCAACCTCAAGAAAATAGTAAACAAGAACGTCCAATAAGATCACAATGTGTAAACTATGTGGTACGTGCTGTGAGCTTGGTGCTGGGGGACACTGTGGTGCGCCGTGAGGCTGAAGATGTTGCGGTCCTGCGGAAAATTGTGGTGCGGTATTCGGGGCCTGAAGAGCTCCAGAAGATCTTGCTGTACCAGAGAAAAAAGTACTAGAGCCTCTGCTATTATTACCGTCCACACCCGATGTGCCACCAGGTAATCGTGGAAGACCAGCTGATGATGCGCCAGAAGTAGTTGGGGACGAAGGGCTGTCTCCTCCAATGATCGAAGTAGCTGAAAATGTAGATGCGCCACTATGTAGTTTTTTTGGCTCAACATCTGGCGCTGACCTTTGTCGTTGCATTTTCCCTCTGGACGTGGGCATCGCTAATGCACTGGAGGATGGTAGAAGTGGAGGACTGCCACTGCTAGAGCTCGAAGGGTCTGGCCCTAGAGGGGAACGACGACGGAGCCCACCAGGAAGCACGCTGCCTGTCGAAGACGAGTCGTGTGCTTTGACTACACCACTCGAAGCCGCAGAGCTGACTACACTAGAATTAGAGCGCACACTTATCCGTCTTGAGATGCATCCTGATGCGTCTTTCCCCTTATGGGACAGCTTCAGGATGCTTCCGAAGATGGACCACTAGGGGAAGCCGTAATAGAAGCTGCAGACCCAGATGAAGCAGATTGTATGTTGGCTGGAGCTGTAACAGGAAGAGCCGTGGTGATGATGAAGAACCACGTGAAATTCATGAGCTAAGCTTAAGGTAAAAAAGAGTTATTTTAATTTTACTAGGTTGGACTAGACCTAGGGATAAGGTAAGAAAGAGTTAGTTTTAGGTTAGACCGTCCGTGTTTAGCAAACATACAAGATACCAGCACTCCCCATCGGCTTCACCGCATTATCCGCTTGACCAACGCCGTCCTGGAGCAACGTCGATCCGGCGGCGGCCTGGCGGTATTGCGGCGCGAGTAAACTCGACTGCTCCGGGGGTTTGCCTGACAATGTTGTCACACATAGATGCTCGTTACCTTGCACAGCTGAAGGAGACACTTGTTTGCCGGAAGACGCAGCTGCTCCAGTAGCCCTTTCCACGACTCCTGTTCCACCTGTTGTAGTTCCACTGGCAACGCTCGATGTTGAGCTATTCTTAGACCAAAAGGAAAATTCATCTTTTTCTTGGAGCTTCATCAAAATTTTGAAGAGAATCTATTTCTATCAGAGGGGAACAATAGTACTCACTCATACTCATAGTACTCTTGCTCAGGGATGACGAATCGAAAGATGACTTATCTGCAGCCTTAATACTCGTGCTTGAAAAAGGAGAAGCCCCTAGTGTTTGCTGTGCAGGAGTTGACGCCCCCCTGGGACCAGATTGTCCCACAGCATGTTGTTGTTGTTGACCTCCTGGTGCCATTGAGGATAAACTGGATGAGGATCCACTAGCACTGCTGCTTCCACATCCACCTACTCCACTCTTCAAGCTGCTATGCTGACTGCTTGATGAACTACAAGTTGTAGCATGTTTTAGATCTTCCCGGAATCCATCTCGACAGTCATCGATCTTGGCTCTGTTTTTCCCTTAGAGGTGGAGTGTCCCAAGATGCTTCTGAAGATGGATTCCCGGAGACTTAAATGTTGTTGTTGATAAGGAACTGAAGCGGACCCACCCAGAAGGCTCGCTCCACCTACGCATCCACCTTGTTCTGCGGAGAGGTGCGGTCCACGTGCAGTGCCTTGCTCAGTCGCATGAGGATCATCAAGTCGCGGCCCACGTGGCGTCCTAGATGAATGTCCTCCAGAACCTTGATGCCCACCTTCCCGTCGATCTCGAGACCGAGAGGCACTAGTGGGATTAGATGAATACGACCTCCTAGTTACGCCCTGCTCATTTTTATCTTACATACTGGAAAAAAATGTGGTAGGTCGTCCAATTCTATTTCGATGCAGCTGATCGAAATCTTCATGAACTACAACAATCGATCTAATGACAGAACGGCTTTGCACGTTTCAATCTCATGGAAGCCTTAACAATGCCACTTGTTCTGATTCGGTGTTGATATACCCACCCTGGTGGTAGAGGGATGAGCAGCAATTTGACGTCGTGGCGAAGCCATTCGTGAAGCGTTGCGTTGTCGATTGCCTCGTTATCACTCATAACCAGCATCGTGAGACCAGGTTCCCCTGGAGAATTCGTGGACTCCCAGAATTGTACTTGTAAGTGTTGCGGATCGCCTAGTCCCAATTCTCTCGCAAGTTCTAACTTCAACTCTCCGACCTGATAAATATGGTGATGGTGTTGATTATGAGTAACAATCAGAGAAATCCATCGATCCTCAGATAGAATTCAAGACTTTTTTGCACCATGCTCATCAAAAGCAACGAACTAAAGCTATCCTATACGGTGCGTCACCAATACAGCATTTGTATGGCAAGTATGGCAAAACAAGGCCCACGAAGAAGAAACACAAAGAGCAACCCACGACACTCACACACACACGACACATAATATCAATTTATAAAGAACAAAGAAGCGACGGGGGTGGGAGTGCAAACTTCCCCGCCGCTATCTTCAGTTGCATGCAAACCTGCCCCATAAGCCTGAGCCTTCCCGTTTTCATGGCAGACTCACTGGCCAACTGCAACTTCTCACTGGCGCGCGCCCGCGTGCGTCTTCTACAAGACAACGAAAGGACACCAGCCACAAGCACAAGACCAAGAGGCGGCCGGCGGAGAAATAAAACGAGAGAAAAGCCCACAAACCTCAGTCACCACCCGAGGGGCTCCGGCCCCTCTGTGTGTGTCGGCGACGGCTAACGCCTGCGTGCAGGGTGGCACAGGCTGCAGCGCGCCGCGCGTTTGTTTCTTTCATCCTCCTTCTTTCGGCGCAGGTGCTGCGCGATCACGTTGGCCAACCAGTCCCCTGGACGCTGCAGCGGGGACAAGCTGGAAGATCAAACCGCGAGAGGCCGCGCGGTTTGGTTTGCGCTTTCGGTCAACACCGAGCCCGCTGCCCTGCTGTAGTGTAGCTGTAGCCCGTCAGCCCCAGCCTGCAGCCTAATCCCCGACAGAAGCAGTGCGAAGCTGGCGCACCCTGCGCCCGCGCCTCCTTGCGCTTGGTCTGTGCTTGCAACAAGCTCGAAGAAAGACACCAGCGGCGGCGGGCTAGCATGCGAAAAAGCACCACCAGCACCAGCATCGACCCCGCCCCGAGTATGTAAGCCGGCCACGCGGCCCAGTGGTAAGGCCTGCCTAACGCGAGGCCCTTCCTATGCTGTTGCATCCAACTACGCGCGACGCGTCAGGCGAGTAATAGTTTGCAAACCACCAAGAAGCATCGCCGAAGTCTGCATCCCCAAGAATGGAAGCGCGGCACGAGCGTCCTAGGCCTACTCTCCACTCCTTTCACCGCCGGGAACAAGCTTGCTATAGCGTCTGCCATCATAACGAGCGAGGCCAAGTGCTGCCCTCCCCGCGCTTACGCTCTCGCACATTCAATGAGCCCACCGGCCCGCCTGGCCTGGCGCTGGTCGGCATGGATTCAGACGGGGCGCGCGGCTCCCTCACCCAACCCGGGGCCCCTCCCTCCGGGCCTCCGTCAATTCGCCGCCCAGGTCCCTCTTTCCGTGCGTGGTCGTTCCAGTACGGCTACAGAACTCCACAGCTCGAGGCATTCCCGGAGGGGGAGGCCTTTGAGGAGCTTGAACGCTCTGCGAGTAGCACACTACAAAGTAGAACGCTTGGCGGGCCGTCGCGTCGCCTGGGCCGCGACTGTGGTGGTTAGAATATTTAACAGATTGGACTTCACCACCAGGCCCATTCTCCATTACAGTCTGTGGGGCAATGTTTGTAGAGTAGAGAGCGTCCCCGCCAGCAGCAGGCGCGCTAGCTATCATGTTGCTGGCTCGGGTCCCTTGCCTCGCGTCGGTTTTGGTGTGCCAATTTGCGACTTTCCCATCTGTGTCCAATCCGGCAGCCACGTTGTGCGAAACAGTGGCGGCCGCCGCCATTGTTCTGCTCGCCGCGATGGCAGCTTGCACCTGGACGATTGGCGCACTCGTTGGAAGCGTGGCCCCCGGGACTGCGATAGCCTGCCCTCTTTCCATTGGCACTATGTTGCTCTGACCGTAAAACTCACTGGCTGCTGCTGGGGTCCAAGCCTGCCCAGCCACGTAAGCACTCCCTGTGCTCAGTCCATGCAAGGACCTGCAAACAAGCAGCGCACTCTTGTATTGGTGTGGGGACAGGTTCCCAATAGTGCCCCCTTCACAATGAAACAGCGAAGCCGCTGTAGGCGGTCTGGCGCGTGTAGTCGCAGACGCCGAGACTTCCGAAAGCTTGAGCTTGCCACCCGGCTCCTCAAGTGAGTCAGTGGACCCGCCTAAGGCGGCGCATTGTACTGCGTAGCCCACACCACGGCGCCGGCTTCAGTTGTGCACCCAAATGAGGCGCCGCCTTTGCACGGCAGCCAAGCCATAGACGTCGCAGCCCGAAGGGATGTCGAAGCTTGGCCGCCTTTTGGAATATTTGGGCGACTAAAATATGCAACAAGCAGCCGCGCAGCGGGAAAGCCGGAGGCAGCTTCCAGAAAAAGAAAACCAAGCCCGGCCGCGCGGATCCTGCACCGCGCCCGCGAGAATGCAAAACGCCCGAGGCACGCGAGCCACCACCGCGCAACACACACCAGCGAGATTATTCGGCGGCGGCTTTGAATGTATGGGGCAGGCTTCAATGGACTACGCACTCAAAGAAAGAGGGGCGCGAGCGAGACTGGGTCCTGGGAGCAGGCATAAAATTAATAATAGATTTGTTGGAAGGGCTACACGCTAGAGGTAAAAACGAGCCGGCTGCTTTATTTAGTGCTTTGAGCGCCGCTGGACCTAAACCTCAACCCTATAAAAAGGGAAGAAGCCAATCTAGATTTGCAGCAGAGCACACCTCAACACAATGGGGAAAATTTGTACACAATCAAAGAAACTGCCTGTGTAAATATTAAGCTTCTCCAACTCACTCGACCGCTTCCCTCGTTTTCTGCTTTCATCCCTTCATGAGATTACAAGAAGCGGTAGACTTATCGGCCCATGATCGCCAAGGCGGGTTGATCCTGGATGCCTAAGGTAAGAAAGCCAGAATGGTTGCAGCTAAGGGCCCTACTTCCTTCACCGTGTTCGTATACGTATGCCGCAGCTCCTCACGATGAGAGAGTCTGGGATGGCGAAGATCAGACGAGTTTAACGCAACTACTGCGCTAAGGAAACGACGAGCGCGTGCGTCTGTCTGAGTCGGACGGGAAAGGAGCTACCAGCGGGCTCTGGTCTGTAGCGCGAGCATATGCAGAAAAGTCTGCGCTTTCCTCCAGCGCATCTTGGATGTTTGTCGGTACCACTCTCCTGAAATGGTCGAGCTTTTCGATGCGGGAGCTTCTTTCCGATAAAGCGAGCGCCTTTTTCACTCTTATGCACTCGCTCGCGATGTTCTCTAGCGTTAAGGCTCCAAGCATAGGAGGAGGAGCGTTAGCAGCTGCCGGCGCTGTAAAAGCAGTGTGCCACGCCTTTAAGGGGCTACTCTCTGCAATTACGAATGGCACAGCCATGATTGTTTGCCGTATCAGTAACGCAGTTGCAACAGCAGTTGGAAGCGCTTGCTTTTCCATTGCGTCTTGTCTCTTCACACCCGTTAGAGTTCTCCCCATAGACAACTCGGGGGAGTGCGACAAAGTTTGATTATCTTTGTAGCTGCTTGTTAACGAGCTGATGACTTCGCGAGCTGTTAACTTTTCTACAGCCACCTTGTTGAGGAGAAGCGCAGTCGACAGAAGCCGAATCTTGTCCAAGCCGCTTGCGATTTCCATGCCGGTGGGTCCCTTGACCTTCAGACGAGAGAATATGCTATCGACATCCGTTAAATCCACGCTCGGATGTACAATGAAAATATCTGTCGGATTGTGAGCCGACTGGTATCGAGTTCGAGCTGTCGTCTCGTCCTGCAGGAGGCACGTGCGGCTTACATAAAATTAATAATAGAGAGATATTATACCGTCGAAAATGGCTGCAGCCTCTCCATGTTGACCTCGCGCGGATGTTCCCGCTGTGCATGATCCTCCCTCGTCGGCCAAGTAACTTGGAATCGACCACCTGAAGGTCCACAATAAGTGGGATCACGATAAGTACCCACTACTCAGTTGCATCTTCATATTGAACGATTACAATAAGAACAAATTTTTTCCCTACTCTTCTAGAATTAAACTTCTAATCGTCGCATCTATCTTCGCCAAAATGTCGTCAAATACCTCCTCGAGTAAGTTGACTTCGCGGCGCCTGAGAAACACCCGGTTGCGGAGTTGTGTTACTCGATCTTGAGCTGCCTCCCGTAGGACTTCTGGTTGTTCGGGATGAGGTACTTTGCAAAAAGTTACTCAATACCGCAGTCGCAGTCCTAGGTGGAACCAACCTTCTTGATGACGCACGAATATTGTATTAGAGGATGAAGACGGGCTACGGCTAGTTTTACTTCTCTAATCAAGTTTGAAGTTTCTGTTTGTTAGTTGATTTGCATGTCGTGGCTTATGTTAGAAAACATTCACCTTCAAACATTGCACTTACTCTTACTAGCATTTTCAATCCATCCATAACGATCCCATGTTTGACACATCAGGTCACGGCCTTGGGAAATAGGTTTATTCGCTGCACGCCAGCAAGCTGGCGCAATCATCACAGCCCAAACCCACATCGCGCCACAAAACACTATTGGTGTTGGTGTAAAGGGACCTGACAAATGAAGATGGAGGAATGCGATTAAAAGTGAACAATAAGGCGAGTAACATGAAGATAAGCATGTGCATGGATTGCGACACGATCGTGAAGTCTTCATCTTAAATATCTATTACATTCGCTTTTGCAGCCACTGCCACATTCAATAAGCAAACAGCAAAATCTATAAGTACCGCACTTCGCCCATTCTTGAGCCCAATAGCGGGGTCCGTTTGGCTTGAGACAGCTGATTTGCTCTGCTAGATTGGACTCGTCTGACGCCGATGAGGCTTTTCCTGACCCTTCCATCGAGGAAGTAGGACCAGAATCGGTACGAGACCCAGGGCCACTCCTTGCCTGATCTGGTATTGACAGTTGTGACATCTGAGCAGTGAGTTGATCCACGTTTGTATCTACAAACGCTGAAGAGGCATCTACAAACGCTGAAGAGGGAAAGCCACGTGCTGACATCTTGTTCCGTGAAGTGCCCACCTCCCTGTCCCTTGTATCACCACGAACAGGAGGAACACCATCAACTACGTCATGATCTACTTCGAATGCACTGGTCACATCTTCTGCTTCATCGGACGTAGCCAATCCGCTTTTTTGCAGAGCCCAAGCGACTTTGCGACGCAGTGCACTGATCCAACTGCCTGCATGAAGAGGCATAGCGCATGACGCCAGCGGTGGTATGTCCATGATTTCCATCGGGACGCTTGTTGCATCATCGTGATGATCTGCATGTAGTAGCGATTGAATTCCTTCTTGTCCTTCTAATTGAAGATCGAGATTAGCTAATACATCTACGTCAACTGAACTACGTCCTCCCATCTTCTCCGCCTCTTCCTCGTCATCAGCGGATGAACCATCTTCAGAAGTGCCGCGATTCGTAAACGCATTTCCTCCTAGCAGTTCCTGCGTGAAATAGTGATAATACCCCTGGACTAACTGAACGACAATCCAGCGACTCTGCTCAGCTATTTCCTGGAGCTCTTCTTTTTCTAGAGGCCGCGAGGAAGACGCACCGCGAGCATGATCGTGGTCGCTAGGTGAAGATGCGTCTCCTGATGCGTCAACCTCTTTTTCTTCACGACTTGGGATAGGTTTTAGTCCAGTTTCTACTCCTGCTCTTGCCCCTGAGAAGTCATCCTCGGCGTCGACCATCGTGCTACCTTCGGTGTCCTGCTGATGAGTGCTGCACACGCCCTCCGCTGCCTCCATATCGAAATCACTACTGGATCCGCGCTCCCACCTAGTTGTACCTCCCAAAGACGAAAACAGCAAGGTCGTTTCAAATTGCGGCACTTCGCGGTCGCCTACATTGTGGTACATCACTGCTTGCAACGCTGTAAAAACTGACCACATCGCGAGCATGCAATGAAATTTGCGCGTGCGAATGACCAATGAGGTGGAGGAAGTCGGGGTTGCAGGTGTGGTTCTTATGGTGCTAGAAGAAGTGGGACCGGTTACATCCTCGACGCCAACACTAGAAGCCATTATCGTCGTGTGACCGTTAATTATATCGGCTTTCCAATAATTGTGCCTGTTGTACTTACGCAAACAGGATACGCCTACGCCATTCGTTCCTCCTGCAGCACCCACACTTGAAGATGATAGAGATGAAACTTGACCTCGAGATGACCTCCTCTTAGTCCGGTTAGAAACAGTGGTACAGGAACCAAGTGAAGATCCTTTACTAGAACAAGAGGCAGGTACTGTACCGTTAGTGCCATTCTTGAACGACCTACAAGAACCCGACCCACCCATTGCCGAAGACGAGAGCAAGGCTGAAGCTAGATGCATTTGCTCAGCACCGCATCCTGAAGATGTAGTTCTTGAGGTACCAGAACCAGCAGCCACCTCGTCCTGTCCTTGTTCATCGATTTGCATCGTATCCCCGGGACAAGTGTCGCCAGGACGCGGAAGCTCCCCAACCATATTCTGCTCGACATCTGCATCAACATTTTTATTTGCACCAGATTGATCGCAGCTACTGGGTAAAAAATCTCCCCGGCGAAGCAGACCACTTGTAGGAACAGCTAAGCCCTCTGCGCCCGCAGTGCTCCCATCCTCGGCATCCTTCACTGTACCACTACTCAACAGACTGGCAGCACGTTGCCTCGGACCATACATTCTTGGTGGAGATGAGGGTCGTCGCCCAAGAGGTGGCTGCCCTTCCGATGAGGATCGGGAGAACATTGAGAGTGACCCGCCACCTTCGGAATTGCCGGACAGCTGCCTCTCTAAGCGACTACTCCCCTGCGCGCTCTCAGAGCCATCTAATAGCGGAAAGCGAGGGGAATTCACGGATGATGGCGACGTGTCGCAATTCCCCCTGCCACAGTGCTGCTCTTGAGCAGGTTGACGGCCGGACTTCGTGCGGCGGGATGATAACGAGTCTTGCGACACATCATCACCTCCAGTTGTCGTCGACTTCCTCTCAGCACGTCGTGATCCTCTAGTACCACGTCTCTCGTTGCTACTAGCGCGTCGGCTGCTACGGTCTACTGAGACTGACAGGACAGCAACTGGTGGACACACACGCGCAAAGAGGGAAGACGTCAACATGCCAGGAGACCGACCACGAACAACATTGCTCGCGCTGTCCGATTGAGGAGGCCCACTAGCGGCGCCTGTATTAGAGGTAGGTTTTTGGTGCTCGCGGGTTCCCCCGCTTGTTATGCCTTTCTCATCCTAAGGGAGAGAGGCATAAAAAGCGGTAAGAAAAGCACCCTTAACCTACCCTTAACTGTACCACCACTAACAACTGTTCCACCAGCTGCTACCGGAGGACAAGATTTGGATTCAACTCTACTCCCAATTCTCTTGTTTGTCTGTAGTTCTTGGTCTGTGCCATCGCGGCCGACTTCCTCTTCGTCTCCAACTACGTGTACAACAGCTTCACCAGGTCGTACTTGCCCATCTTCACCAGGCACATCATGCACTCGTCCAGCAGAGTGACCATTGATATCATACGTTTTTGGCCTCGGATGGGCGAAACCGGTGGCCGGTTCCTGATTCATTTGGGCCATTCTCAGAGCAGCTATAGCTTCGGCTTTGTCGCTACCTAGCAATGATGCGCAGACAGAAAGCACATTGTAGGGAGAACCAAGAGAAGATGTGCCATTTCCGCGATCGTCTCCTCCTGAGGCACTTGAGGTTAGGATATTAGAAGCAACAAGGAAGGACGCTCGAACTCGATACACCACATGCTTTCAATATCAGGTGTAATCGACATCCTCCAAAAATGAAAGAATCATTTTGTCATGATCCTCATCATTTTTTTACGAGAAGGAGAAGGCCGAACAACAAAAACAAGGAATCCATAAGATCTCCCTGTCGTGTTCCAAGGTCTACATCGAAACCGTCGTTGCTGTCCCACGAGGCTGCGGCTGGAGGCAGTTGATCGAGGCCATCCAAGAAAGCCGCGTTTGCGTCGTCAACGGGAGCATTAAACGTCGGTCCCCCGATTCTGCGTTGGCCTTGTGGCACGTCTCCATCATCGCGACCCAACAAATAGGAGGGTGTTGGTGTGTCTTCTGTCAGTCGATTGGCTCTATCCTCAAAAATCGCTTGAGGACCTTGAGGACGTCTAGTGCTTCCTTGATGTTGCTCAGGAAGACGAGGGCCTGAAGATGGTGACGGAACAGTGTTAGCAACGGCTAATGCTGTTGCACGGACAGGTGTCCGCTCTTCAACATGATCACCAGCACCTTGTAGTGGCACTGACGTTGTGGCTTCGACAAACTGCTCCCTTCCTATGTGGTAGTTGTGGTCTAGGCTAGTACTGACATAGGGCGTTGAGGTGAACTCAAGAGCAGGTGAAGTAGGTGCTGAAAGAGCTCCTGGCGGTCCTTGATTTTGATAACTCCTTGTTACGCTCACACGGATACCAACATGATCTTCTATTGGAGTAGAAGAAATAGTTGGAGTAGCTCCTGCAGCGTTGAAATAAGTTGCAGTTGCAGACGCAGCTCTACTAGTACTCTCAGCCTCTACGGCTGCTGCTTCCGAAGAGAGTACACCTTCTGAAGATTCTCCTGTTCGTCGTGCAGCACTGCTGTCGTGCGGATCTACTATGATTGGCGGTGATTCACTACTCGATGCTTCCGCAGGTGCCTTCGCAAGGACTCCTAGCATGCTCGCATGTTGAGCCAAATTCAGAATCAGACCGCTGAACAACGTAGAAGCAGCGGAAGCGCCAGAGCACAAGAGTAGAAATCGTGAAGTTGGTCTTGCTCGTTCTCGTTCTTGTGTCTCTTTATTGCTATAAGATGAGGCACAGGTAGTCGATGTTGATGACCTTCTCCTACTAAAGATCATCGATGAAGATGGAAGCCGCCACCACCTCTTCTCTATTGCTTCTCTGCGCTTGTTTTCGGTCTTCGTCTTGCCACGACAACGACTTATCCTTGATGAGTGTTTGTTCCTCACGGGCGCTTTGCCCCGAGCCTCCATTTTCTCTAGATTATGTACTACGATGTTCTTGTTGATATTGCTGTCTTGATGAAGTTGAAGATTAAGATTCTCAGCCGCTAAACAAGCTATCTTTGCATCTTCACTACCCGTAAGATCGCATTCTTTGCTAAGCTTCTGCTTATGGGGCGGTTTTGTGCCGCGAGTTGAGAAGCGCGCGCCTATCTTGTTGACAACATCAAAAGAGACTTCTGAAACGCTCGGCGTTCGAAGCGCTGCCCACGAAGGCCATCTGCGTTTCTCCTGTCCCCGTGCCGCGTCTAAAAGCGACGCCATCTTTTTCCTAATGATCCTCTCGACCGATCCCGCTGATGCCATAATTCGATTTATTGCAGATGCAGATGATCTTTTGCCTCCCTGCAGAAGCAGAACTACTTTTTTCCCATAGTACCCGTTTGCAAGCGTAGTTTTTTTTACCTTTTCAAAACCCTTTCGTACCCATAATATCTTCAGCCGAGATGACGCACCAGCATCAAGAAGATGTTGTTCTTGTTGACCGGTATCACGCTGACCTGTGTCAGTCCAAAATCTAAATTTGATGTTTTTGCTGCTTTCTTCAACTGCTGTAGTGGAACGGAAAACTCCCTCTTTGTGAGGATCTTGTTCTAGATCCGGCTCGAATTCATCTAATTCGGCAGAAGCAGCAGTTCTAGTTGAGAAACTTGTACTTGATGAGTGGTTCTTGTTGTACTTCTTCTCCTTGTTTAGCTTTAGGCTAGTAGTTGTATCGATAATATTTCCACCACCTCCAGCATGATCTTCTTGATCTTCAACATCACCTGTACTGTTCTCTGCAACAAGGTCGTCAAGATGAAAACGATACGGACTATCAGAGGATGACGCTGCGCCAATGCCCACTCTGACGGCCGTTGACATCATGGAGGAACCTCCTCGCCCAAGATGCTAGATTCACTGAAACGCGAACGAAAACGACGGTCCCATGAGTTTTTTGTTGTTGAATATAGATGCTGAACCTTCAAGAACGATTCATGTTCGTCATCAAGAATTACGCGATAGTGGATTTCAGAAAATATCTCCATATGATCGAAAAATTAACAGTTATACAGAGTAGAACAGAAAAGATTCATGCAGTAAGATTGTTTCGTCCAAAATTATGCAAGAACATCAGAAACATTCATGACCATCCATGATGCTGGCATCGAACTAGTAGAGCGACGAACTAAAAGTGCATTGGAGGACGTGCCGATGATTATGCGTCTTTTCCTTTTCACCTAAACACGACAAAATATCTCTACGAACGTATTTATTTTAACAAAACTGTCCTGGAACAACAGCTGCCGACTAGAAACAGCTTACATGCAATGTTCCTCCATGATCATCATGTCACACTACATTTATTCTTCGAAATGAAACTACCAGGACGACAAACAAGTAGTCCTCCAGCTATCACCCTGTTACGCCAAATCAAATGATTCAACACAATATTGTTCAAAAGAAGTTCTTGTAAGATTAACACTTGTTGCTTGTTCGCCTTCGTTCGTAAGTAGATGTTGTACTTGTACTAAGAATACCTAAATATTTTCGTCACCTTACATTTCTCATAGCACTTCTTGTAGACCCGCAGTGGTCACCTGCAATGTTGGAGACATGGTTTGTAGGATGAACGTGAACGTGTAAGTAAGCATAATGGGCTCCTGCTTGTAGTTGTTACACCTGTTTACACCACAAGAGCAACACCAGGAGTCGTACTTAACTGCGTCCCAGACCCAGCATCAGGAACCAACTGCAGTACTTTGTTTACCGAGCATGAGTACGTCTCTTTCGCTTGCTGAGTGTAGATGAAAACGCGTTTCTACGACCCACGGCCACGACTAGTCGTGAACATCTCCAAGAACGAAGGTCAAGCGAAAGTAAGAATCAGTGGTGAAAGTAGAAGAACACGACTTCATCTAGGTAGTACTTCTCGTTCTCTTCAACAGTCGAGAAGAGAGTAAGTTGTTGGCTCATCTGCATGACGATAACCTCCAGAAAAACCTTCTACTTCTTACCAAAAGGATGCGGAAGAACAAGTATAAAAAAAAGTGTGTGAAGATCTTCGGTTGAAAAAGTGAAACTAAGAGTCGCGGCAAAATATTTTTGCATCTTCTTGAAGGTATGAATGCATTTACATCAATTGATAATTTCAGGACGAGGTTCATTTTTTTTGATATAATCATCATGATGCATCTCTGCTAGCCATTCTCAGCTACTCTCTACATGTTGCGATATCCACCGGATCATGCCAGGACGACAACAAACTGGGATAGTCTGGATAAGTAGGATACTCGCCTTAGCCTTGGCCTTGCTAAATGTTGATACTTTAATTAGTTATAACCAAAACATCTCCAACTCCACCATCCACATTGCGCGTCGACCTCGTCCCGTTATCACCTTTATCATCCTGCTAAGAGAAAGAGTCTAGTGCTATTTTTCTTCATCATCGCTTGATTCAATTGCAGGGAGCTTACCGTGCAGGCCTAGTCGCTTCCGGTTTGCCCGCATCTGCTCTGAGTGGGCCGTCCACAAAACTCTATCCCGTTTTGCGACCCTGGTCTGCCGTCAGGATGAAAGCAAAACGCATATAGGAAAGAGTTCTATAAGGTAGTGGTCAATTAGTACATGAGGCCCTAAATATAATGCAGGATGAAAGCAAAATGTGAAAGTAGTACGTTATTAACGGCGACCAATTGAATTCTTATTTGAGGAGAAGCACTAGCACTCGGGTGTTGTACTACTAGATGTAGACAGGAGGTGATCTGTATTAGAGGAGATATAGAGCAGGACAGTAGAAGATGTACTTAGTACAGCTACAGTGATTGATTGATTGATTGATTGATTGATTGATTGAGTGTACAAATCATACATTTACATGTCTAGCTCTAGAAAATACACCTAGGCTATGAGGGAAAAAGAAACCGGAAGATCCTGTTGAAAAATCTTCGAAAAGTTAGAGGTAGGTTTTTGGTGCTTGCTTACCCCGCTTTTTATGCCTTTCTCCCTTAGGAGAGGCATAAAAAGCGGTAAGAAAAGCACCTTTAACCTACCCTTAAAAAAGTGTTCATGTCAAGTTCAAGCTCAGGGTATCCCCGTCTCTCGCCCCAGACCTCGGTCTACGTTTTTTTTTTTTTTTTGCGTTAGGACTATATGGTCTGAGGGATGTTCATCCTCCTGCCAACATAACTGCTTATGACTTTTGAAGCTCTCCAAGGCGTTTTTTTTTGTTTCTAGCTCTTCCTTGGTCGGCGGCTTTCGTCTCACTTCATTCGTGTCAGATACATCTCTGAGACGGCTCCTTGTATAGAATCCTGACCAGTTTCCATGCAAATTAGAGATCATCATGATCATGGAAAAATAACTTTTTGTTTTTACAGTTTATAAATATATTGTAGTTCTTTTCGACCTTTTAGTTCTCGCTAGAGACTGGGTTAGTCTCTTTTAGTTCCTCTCTCGGAGGACTTGAAGTAGGAGGTCGAGCTCGAGGTGTTTTAATTATTCATACATAAATATAAAGACTTCAATTACTTCTGCGACTCCTATAATACTGGTGGAGCCAAGCTAACTAGGAAAAGAAAAAGGAAGGATAGTAGGTAAAAGATATATAGCCGTACAGAATTATTAGTAATGGCCATGCTAAATAGGATCCTATAAATATAATAATTATGTTTTCATCACTTTCAACATAACGAAGGAGAAGTATGTCGTGGGATCAAAAAGCGTGGGGTCCCGGAGACGTTTCCGGGTTTCTTCATCTACTGGCTTCGGCCTGAACCTCACGCCATGCAAAGAGCCACCATCAGCTTCCACTAGTGGCGATGGCTTTCCCTTGATAGCCTTAATGGAATCTGTGGCATTCCTGAATCCTGGCCCTCTTCCTGCCGATATGATATGTGGTGGCAGTTGTGGACCTATTATTGCTTCTGGCTCTTGTTCCGCTGACGGCGACGTCGAGATGATACCACTACTACTAGACTTAGAGCTACACGACCGTCGCATCCCTGAGGCCATCCTTGGACGCATTTTCTTCTTGAAAAGGGCCCCCAAGGATGATGCTGAGGATTTATTGTGGGCTGCCTTAATAGACGCCGGCGCTCCTGCTGCTGCTGCTGCTATCTCCTCTTGTTCGTTTTTACAACTACTTTTAGCTCCACTTCTCTTTTCGGGGTCACCCTCAGCTGCTATTACTACCTCAGTGGTGAAGTAGATATTTTCTTTGACCGTCAACTTGCCAGCTTTTCGTAATGTGGCCGCATCTTCGCCCTTTTTGTTTGACATTAGATGAGACAACTAGAACTACGTTGAGTTGAGGTTTACCACACAACTAGAACTACGTTAAGTATGATTGCGTTATTAACCTCAACGTTGTCAACAGATAGAGACAACGTTGAGGTTAATAACGCAATCATAGGTTAGGTTAGGTTAGGTTGTGAATCCTTCACAGCGAGCCTCACAGGCACCTGCTCGCCTCCGAGGATGTTGGGTGACCTAGGTAAGGTCAGCGTAAAGAACCGAGGCGGTGACTTGAGTAAAGTCGTGCCATTGAGTAAAGACCGATGTCCGCTATGGATCTTGCCACTCCACTCTGTGACCGACAACTGTTTTGACTTTTTTCAGTTTCGTTCTTCTCGGCAACTTTTTCCCCGCCGTCGTATGATTGCGTTATTAACCTCAACGTTGTCAACAGATAGAGACAACGTTGAGGTTAATAACGCAATCATACTTATATATGTACCAGGGAGGGAGGCCCCCCCCCCCTGTGGATGGATCTGGGGTGGACCACGCCAGAGGGGTCCAGCCTGGCCACCTTCGCGCGGTCTGTATGGTTGGCCACATGCAGCACGCCAAGGGGGTGGGTCCCGCCTTGCCTCCTCTGGCGGGTACCGCAACACGCCAGAGGGCGCCAGCCTTGCCAGGCCTGTAGGGGACACGCAACAAGGCAGCGGGGCCCTGCCTTTGCCAGGTCTGTAGGGCACATGCAACAAGCCAGCGTATGATTGCGTTATTAACCTCAACGTTGTCAAGAGATAGAGACAACGTTGAGGTTAATAACGCAATCATACTTATATATAAATTATACGACCAATTATACTTTAGTGGCGTCAGTTCATTTGTACTTGATGTTGTACTCAACAGAAACAGTAACGTCGATAACCACATCATAAACACTTGAGTAGGATGAGATCCAAATACTCCTCCGGAGGTAGTCGGAGGAGCATACTCGTCGTGTCATCCTCGAGCCGGTTTCTCTTCGCGAACGCTCGCACATCAGCCTCATGCTCGGCTTGTGATAGCTCTGTGGTAGTCAGTGCGCGAATCAAATCAATCAGAGAAGTTGTGCTGTCAAAAAAAAAAATCCTGTGGTGAAGAACCGAAGAAGTGCTGCTACTCTTTTGGGTTTCAGTGCTGAAAAATCAAAAAGGAACAGAAAGATTAGTATGAGATGTAGTAGTAGTATTCAAGAAGATGCAAGGCGAACGGACTGAAAGGACTTAGACAAGGAGGGCAGTGAGCGAGTAAGTACGGAAATGAGATCTCCCAAAAAAAAAAAAGTATACCATGATCCGAATCGAGGCCTGCGGTCACCTCGGGACTACTGGGTTCATCTCGATCCTCCTCGAAGATTTCCTGTCCTTCCTCCTCGCCTTCTCCGCCACATTGAAGCTTCTTGTCCTCTGGTGGTGCTGGTGGGGCGGGTACTATTGTACTAGAAGAGGAACATGAAGAAGAAGTAACTTTTTGTTGTACTACAACAGAAGAAGATGAAGGAGTAGCTTTTTGTTGTACAACTGGAGTTGGAGCAGTGCGTATATTAGCTTCAGTGTCTATTCATCTCGGTCCCCCATCTGGACCCCTTTCCCGTGAAAGACAAGAGAAAAGGGTAGCAAGATGCTTAGAAAGATGGATAAAAGCTGACCATAAGTTGTATACAAGTGTTTATTTTAGGGTGTGCTGGACCCCAGGCAAGTTTCCTTCTCCTCTCTTCGCTTCGTTTTCTGAAGTGAGAAAATTGCTCCCTAAGTGGCCCTATAGTTATCTTTGGACCTCCTAATATTGAGATTCCGCTTGCGCCGGACACACCTGAGCCACCAGCTCCCGCAGCATTAGAGTCAAATCGCGCGATCGCGAAACAGTAACTTCCATCTTAAGATTGTAGCACATGCATCCTGGAGCACTTTCGTCCCCTCTGAAGTAAAGCCCGTCCTCCAGGATGGATGCATCCGAAGATGGATTAGGGAAAGCCGTAACAGCATGCGCATCGTCTGACGATGAAGATAGCAGATCTTCACCTATACTGGCGGTTCTGGCCTTCTTGTTCCCCTTGCTCCCCTGACCCTGCAAGAGCCGCTTCTGCAAAGCACTAGGCGCCATTGTGATCCTCGTCTGCTTCTAGTACTCTTATTTTCGTCCTTTCTTAGTAATATAATTTGACATTGACTAGTAAAATAAGGCTAAGAGTTTAGAACTAGCTCCTGAGAAGTAAATTAAGCTCTTTCTACTTACATTGGCTATCAAAAAGACTAATTGATTAGACTAAGGAGGTTCTTGTTGTAGAAGTTGGTGTAGATGCAGTGGTCGCGCTTGTTCTTCGCTTTGCCAACAACACTGATCAATTTAACAAGAAGTACTTATCCATTTATCATGCTTGATGCGTTAGTCACACGGTCCCAAAAGAGCAGGACACACTTCCGATGCTAATAATAGTGACTACCGTTTTATGGCGCTGATTTATGTTCCGTGATTGCAATCAATCGATGAAGCATCCTTTACATGACTTTCTTGTCCTTCGTAAAGCTGGGGATCGTTCTTCTAGTTTCTCATGATTGATCCATGACCGTAAGGAGGCAGACGTAATAAAATGAAAAAGAGGCCGCTAATAGTATCATGACATAAGGAAAGAATCTTCATGCCTTCATGAAAAGCTACGAGTACGACTGTTTCCATCGAGCTTGCAATGTCTTTCCACTTGAACACTGTTACGTCGAATCGTGTCGTCGCAAACGCAGTGCATCTTCTCAAATGGAAGATGTTACGCTCGTGTACTTCACGGCAGCCACGGTTTCGTCTAACAACATGTTCGCAAAAGCTTGAGTAAAAACATGACGGGACGAGATCAATTCGAGTTGGGTGCGTCAAAAGATGGTACGGGGGAGCATCCACTTTTGAACTGGTGTAGTGTAGAAGGATCGATCACATGAGAAAAAACGGATCTCATGACGTTCATGTTATTGCTTGCACATGAGGACTTCCACCCATGCAAGCATTCTGTAAAGAGGAACCTGCGTAAGGCCACACAAACAGGAAAAGCAAAACCTTCAAGAGTACGTGCTGGTGCTATGCGATCTTGTCTATCTTAACAATACACATCAAACCACAGGCACGATCACTTACTCGCAATCTGTTGCGGAGGAGGTTCTGCAAAGCGAATCGGCAATCTAAAGCTTTTTTGTGCCCTAATCTCTTCAGGCGACACGTACTCGTAAGCGAATCTCAACACTTGCTTACTCGGATCAGCGGGAGCCTGCGTGCTGAAGGCCAATAAAGCATTAGCAGCAGCAGCCGCAGCAGTCGTCGCTTGCCCTGAATACACTGATGTACCGGCTGCAGGCGGTGGACCTCCTCTAGTAGAAGTGGCGCTTTGCATGGTTTGCATGGTGTTCATGCTCATCATGCTATTGATGTTAGGATCATCCCCATGGATCCTGTCGTTCATCATCTGCTGTTGTTGTTCGTGTTGTTGATTTTGAGCATGTTCACCACCACGCCTTCGCTCTCTAGAGTCTGCTCTTCCGTGTCCGCCACGTCCTCTAGACCTACTGCGACGACCGCGACTATCGTCGCGTCGTCTACTGTCCCTACGACCTCGACTGCGGTCACGTCTATGATGCTGATCGGGTGCACGATGATGGTCACCTGGTGTGGAGTGAGGACGGAGAGGGTAGTCGTAGTGGTAGGTTCAAGATGAAGCTCCGATACCAAGGGCTGCGATAAGACAAAGTTGTGATAGATTGAAAGATTCTGAGATAGAATGTAGTTGTAGTTCATCAACTGCAGTATTTAAGCTACACAAGAATATGCATGCTAGCTACAAAAAAAATAAATCATAAAACCTGACATTCCCGCTGGCGGTAGCCCAGCCGCTTTCTTTGGCGCTGGTGCCAGACCCATCTCATTTGCAGATGAACCTCCCCGCATCCCTGGAAATCCCATTCCTGGCATTTGAGGAGGTGGTCCATTCAGTCCATTCAAACTCGCGGCTGTGCTACTAGGCAGCTCTCCAGCAGTAGAAAAGCTTCCACCTATTTTCCCTCCCGCTGTGGCTGCAGGAGGACCAAAACCTCCACGGCCTCTGCCAAGCGGAATGGCATTGGCGCTTGTCCCAGCACCACCAGACTTCTGTATTAATTTGATGTGAAGATGTTGATCATGTGTAGTTAAGGTGGTGTGTGATGAAACCAAAATCCGGTATCAGATTCGCTCTTTTCTACTTGAGAAGCTTGAGAATGATAAGAGATTTTGGCACCATATGTGTTGAAGATGTTGCACTAGTTATGGTAAGGAGCACGATAATATTCTTGTACTCGAAAGTTAATCTGGTGAGGACGAGGAGATATTTTTACAACGAAGAGGAATTGCAGCAAAATGTTGCAGAACAATACAATGAATGTCAATGATGTCTTAGACGAGGTAGGCTTTTGGTGTTCGTTTACCCCGTTCGTTATGCCTTTCCCCCTTCAGGAAGGCAAAACGAACGGTAACAAGAACACCTTTATTAGCCTATTATTCGATAAAGAACTGAAATAAGCAAGTAACTGATCAGAATATCCGAGATACTGAACAACGAAGAGTAGCCCGCTAGATCATGTCCAACATGATGTGACGTGGTAATAAAACTGGTGGAGCCAAGCTAACTAGGAAAAGAAAAACGTAATAAAGTACCGTATTCTTCCCTCCACCGGGACTTCTCGGCGCACCACCACTTGGGTGACTTCCACCGCCACCTCCTATTCCGTTCATGCTACTAGGTTGTCCAGCACCTCCCATTCCAGCTTAATATGACAGGAAAAAGTTGTGTACTCATCTTCCTCAGAAAATTTTCAGCCACTTTTCCACTTCTTCCATTCTGTTCTACAGAACCAGTGCCAGAAGCTATAGTTTCTTGAGTATATTGTTGGAAGGGCTAATTCTCTAGAGGTAAAAACTAACTGGTTGTTTTATGAGTATAATAGATTGATAAGTACACTTTTTTTTTCATACAGGTTGTCCTCCCATTCCTCCAGGTTGCCCACCTGGTTGTGGATTCATTCCGGTGCCCATCATTCCCGGTGGTAGCATCATCATTGGATTAGGATTCATCATCTGTGGCATTCCCATTCCTGGCATTCCCATTCCTGGAGGAAACGGCAGCCCAGGAAGTGGTGGCAGAAGGCCATTTGGGGGCATAGGCATCGGTGGTAAACTTAGCAGCGCTCACGACCATAATCCATCTCGAGGAACTCGAGGTCGTGCATCCTGAGGCAGCTTCTTTTCCCATTGAAAGTAAACGCCTCTGAGTGAGATCCTAGTACCGAAGATGGATTAGGGGTAGCTGCTGCCTTAATAAACCGGGTATCGATGTTGGAGGACCGAACGCTCCAGCACCAGGCATGTTGATTTTTGACGCGGCCATGTTGGGCATAGAAGTAGGTAAAGGTGGCATTCCTCCAGTTGTGGAGGAAGAAGCTCCTGTAGTATTAGAAGAAGAAATATTGGCAGCACTACTAGAGGCTGAAGAAGGTCCACTCATTCCTTTCCCAGCCAGAAGATCTCCTCCACTAGTAGCAACTCCTGAGGCACTGGGTGCAGGAGGTACAGGAAGACCGGGCAAGCTTGAAAAACTTTTCACTTTCTCCATCTCGTGTTCCACGATTCTCATAGCCTGCTTCTCAAAATCCGTTCCCTCTGCTTTCTCCATCAGCATATGCGGAGGAACGCCTTTGATGCCTGGTGTAGTTGTATTTGATAGCGATAGCCAATACCTCAAGTTACAAGTAGTTCATCTATAAGATTATTCATATTCAATTAATATAAGGTAGAGCAACACTACTGACCCTGTTCTTGAAGAGCTCGTAAAAGTTTGTTGTAGAAAAAAGTACCTATAATCATCATGCTTGGATTATTTCGATCGGGCAGCGCATTTGGTACTGCGTTCAGCCTCTGGTGGTGCACTTGCTCCATGTGGACCTGAGAATGCGGAAAGAAAGATGATCATGCGCAGTCATAGTAGACTAGCTCCGTACTAGAGCAAAAATTTAGACTAATAACGAACACTTTGTTTGTAGGGGGGACAGGAGGAAAAAAGGCCCATTTGCTCATGTCTTTCGGCCTAGATGATAAAGATAATGCATCAATTACATCTTCTATCTATGTTAGAGAAAAAAGCAAACAAAAACGAAAAAAATGATGACAGTCATAGAATTTTTACTACTAGAAATTATACCCCCAACGCCCCTGCCGAGTGTGCTTTCAACCCGCACATCGTACACCGGAAGTGTCGTTGTCGTTGGTACTGAATAAGCTGTTCCTCAGTGTCGAACTCCTTGTCATCATAAAAATTCCAGTACTTGAACCTCCTCTTCCCGTCAGGACCAATGTTAGGGTCCCCCTTCACCGTTTTCTTGCGGCCCATTTTGCGTCCTACTTAGGGTTCAAGTTGAACAACTTGAAGTTGAAGGTTTTCAGTATTATAAGAAGAGGCCTCGTTCTTCTACTTGATTGTGTTTGTGTGGCGATGCAGAAGTTAGCCGTCAAGGTGCTGTTGTTTGAGCGTGGCTAGCGTAATGATGTTGGAGTTCCTCTAGAAGTAGCGTCAGGAAACGAATTCGTAGCAGAGTGCACCAGTAAAGCTTGGACGAGAAGACGAGCAGAGGCAGACAGGCGACTGCATTTTCTTCAGTTTCAAACCGAATAATCCTAATACTTCTTATCTCAGAATAAAGGGATGAAAGTGAACGTCACGACGAGCACGAGGATTACTATTTATTCTCTGTAATATGATGTAAATACTTATTTACTACATCTACATGTACATGTACGACAAAGTCAACCACGTACACGTAGTACTGCTGCGGCCTGTTTGAAGTACACGTTGTACCTAGGATCGCTCAGGAGGTGTTCGTTATCGCGACCACCGATAGAAAATCTTACTGACGACTGTAGTGGGAGGATCGGGACCAAGACCATCACGGATGAGAGATGAGACTGTGATCATTGATGATGATTCTCCTGCTTGGACTCTTCGTCTTCACAACACCTGAAGTTGAACTATTAGTCGGACTATCATTTCTGAATTCGAAGACACTTTCCTCAACACAGGAGAAAGGCAAGGTAATTCACAATTCTTCGTTCTGCTATGAGGAGAGGACCGGGTAAAGGATTTTTGATGTTCTTATATAGTTATGAATGTGACGTCTGAAAAAAGACAAGAAAACTTTGCGTTTATTTAGCTTTTGTGATTCAGTTTCAGTATCAATGTTGGTGGTCTCCTTCGTTGAAGGGATGATCTTCCTTTCCGCATGAAGATGTTGATTTTTTTAGAAGATGTTTCAAGGTGTTCGTGTTGGAAGCAAGTTCTTGCTTGTTTTGGGGCAAGTATAATACAAAGAGACACAATTCAATGTAAGTATGAGGTTATTCAATTCGGACCGTAGTTTTTGATAAAAAGAAAGACACGAGACGAAGATCACTTCCAAGCATAGGTCATTGGGAGAAAGTCGCTTTTGTTGGTTTCAAAAGAGGGAGATGGTGATAGCGATTCAGATTGAGACCAGGATGAGTTGTCAAGAATAAAAGGTTTTTGTCTTTCAGACTCCTGACCACTTCTCGAGGATCGTTGCATCTTGTGTAGACCACATCCCGTGTTCCCTAAGACGAAACCAACATCCCGTGTTTTGGAACCAACTTTAAACTCTTCTAGTACGCCTGTGCTTCGTCTACGTATTGTTCCTCCTCGACGTATCGAAATTGATCAATGAACCTGCATGTTGTAGTTGTCGTGCTTACAGCGCCAAACCGAAAACTTGGATGATGACGTACATCGTCCTATTTTCCCATCTGAACGTGAGATTGCCGTCGGTGTTCTGCTCCCAGAAACGAGGAATGAAAGAACAGTCAGATGAGTATGCTGTGCTGAACGTGAATTATACATTTCAGTCAGGTAGTCGTTGCTCTGTCTGAAATCCTAGAAAAAATTAAGTGTTGTAGTAGCACCAACTACCCAAGACAAGTAAGCTCGTGCTGCTCACATCTTCTACATCTTCTAGGTCTACTTTCATCTTCTTGCCTCAATCATCTACAAAAAATAGTACTTCTTCACCTTCACATCAGTCTCTTCATAAAAGTGCTGCTCACATGAATCCCCGCCCCGTTCTTTTGCACGACTGTCGTAGACACGATGAATTTGAAGCCCTGGCTCATCTGTTGGAGTTTGTCCAACGTGTTGGTGTTAATCTCCTCAATCCAGCCTTGGACCAACTTTGGATCGTATTCGATTTCATCACTGTTCGCTCGACCCAGGGGTTAGAGATTGCTGAGGAATCCTCTTGAGGATAAGGTGATGGTTGTAGTTCTTCTAGGCTAGGATTGGGATGGTGGTGGATGGGTAGGCGGATGAGTAGGTGGATGGGTAGGCGGATGGGTAGGCGGATGAGTAGGTGGATGGGTAGGTGGATGGGTAGGTGGATGGGCATGGAAAAGGATGGTGATGGTAGTTTCATTTAGTTTCAGGCCGCTAGAAAAAAATACTGTTGTTCCTTCATTCATATTCGCAATTCGTGTTGTTGATTGTGAAGTCATACTAGGGATTCGAAAACAAAAAGGATGGATTCGATAAAAAAAATGCGACAAGTTTCGACTTTCATCTACGCACTACAACCAAGTAACAAGCCTGCATTTTTTGGTTTACCAAGCAGAACGAAGCAGGATACGCAGAAACAAACTCCTTGGAAGTCTTCTCATAACCTACTGTCCGGCTGACTGCAGCTTTTACAATCGTATTCGCTTCCTCCTTGAGCTGTGAAAAGCTCTGGATATCCTCTGCGGTCTCGCTACCTCGTGACTGCGACATCTTTTTGTGTTCCTAGTACGTGTACGAAGAAGATTGATAATTCTTCTAGCGCAATTCTAGACCTCCTAAGCTAGACCTCCTAACCCTAAGCAGAAATACGTTTAAGAATTCATTGGAGTATGGAATCAATATCAAAATCAGTGTACTTCCTCCAGTTCCAAATACAACGATAGCTATTTTTAGTGTGTATTTTTACCAACCATAGGAGAATGGGAAGAGAATCGGCTCCCTTTGTTCTCTACTACCTAGGTACAAACATGTAAGATTGCCAGAAACGCTTTCAAGATGAACAAAGACAAAGAGAGGCTATTCAAAAATATGTATATGCACGATAACGATTTATAAATAATATAAATATGTATTAATACCTGAAAGGAGTATTTCTGTTTTGTACTGTGTACTTGTGCAAGGAGGTTACGTGCGACCAAAATCAAAAATGCTTAGACTTCGTTTGATAAAATGATTCTTGGAAAACCTATCAGATTCATTAAGAAAGCATGAATCACGACCACCTGAACCGCTAGAATAGGAATACTTACAATGAATCCGTTAGAAATAATAGAGCAATGCCCATCAAAAGCAGTCACAAGCAGTCTCGTGAGCTAAGTCCCTTCTATGCAATGCGGCAGCTAATTCCCTTCTCGTGGAACGATGGACATCGAGCTCGGTGAGAACACACTTCTACTTACAAAACTGTTTCGAAGCAGGTGAAGATAATCGCCGCTGCAGCTTATCTCAAATGTTCTTTATTATGTTGATAGCTCTCAGGCAAAATCTTCTGAAGATTGACAAGGTACTTTCCTTGTTGATGCTGAGGTTCTTGCGTTATATAGTTGCGTCGTGTTAGGAAGTATTTTTTTTCTCAAACCGAAATTCAATCTGTGCGCGCGCTTGCAAGTAGTGCTTGACATCAAGATCGCATATGGTCGTTATGGGTAAGGGTAAACTTTCATCGGTTGCGCTGGCGCTCATTGTCGTTGAAAAAAATCAAATCTTCTTGACGAGAGTCGCACAAAGCAGAACCAGGAGCAAAACTAATGATAGACGTAGAAGGTCATGCGAGTTTTAGATTGTTGTGCAATCTTTCCCTTTCGGTCACAAAAAAACAAAAACACGTAAATATGTTTCGGCTGCGTAGACTGGGTAAAAATGTCAAGCAACTATCTCCTCGTTGTGGGAATCACCATATGACTTGCTAAAAATGTACGAAAGGGAAGGAAAAGGATAACAAGGGATAAATCGGCGGGGGTACACCCAGACGGAATGGGGAGAAAAGGGGACGAAGGGGAAGGTTCACAATCCTAGACAAAATGCAAATTTGCTGCGCATACCATCTCAGAATCTTCCCATTCTGAAGGAATTTCTCCCCAGCACTTGGTGTTGAGGCTGGCAGTCTGATTTTTCGAGCTGTCACCCAATGATGACTCTCGCCCAATCGCAGCTGCACAAGAGGTCGAGCCACCACCCGCCTCAGCTGCATTTTCAGCAATAGACGCTACAGCATTCGGATCTGAGTCTGCAGTTAAAAGTTGAGGTGGAGGTTCATCGAGTGGAGGTGAGCCATTTTGGACAACTCGCTCTTCTGGTGACCTTGTTGCGTTGGAGGTGACGCTACTAGTACTACCAATCGTTGGCGTGCCTCGATGAGCGACTTGCTGCCCGATGCGTGATCGTGACAACTCGCGGTTTTTCAGAACGGGAAATTAGAGAGAACTACTTTGATAAGGGGACTTTGAAGAAGAAAACATGATTTTGCGAGATGATGACTAACAATAAACACGCTGTCCAGGTACTAGAGGTACAAGTAGTAGATAGTTTATGAAAGAACCAAGTGCACTCACACTCAGAAGAAGTGGCTATTTTCCTGCTTAAATCCTAGCCAATTTCTTGAGTGTGAGTGCACTTTTTCGCTTCATATAGTTCTCAAGAACAAGAATAGAGTGACTAAATAGAAGTCTTCGACTTCGTCTACATCAATCGTCCATAAAAATGCCTCCCCGCTTCCACTATACTCGGAAAGTCGCCTCCTTCGCCAACCGTAACGACTTCTGTGAACTCCTGGATCCGTTTCTCGACTGCTGCGTATAACTCTGGCCTCAATTCCTGCCGCTTCGGATACACACCCGCTTCGTCCCATTTTTTGGACTGGGCGACAAAGTTGGACATGATTTAGAGCTTTTTACCGAGGTTCAACTCGAAGCTTGTCTCTGACCCGTTTTCCTCTTGAAAAAGAGGCTAAAGATGCAGCTTCGCAGGAGGATGTTGAATTACAGCAAACCTTAAAGGAAGTTCCTACACAACAAGCGGGCGACTGTTCTCAGTGCGCTGTTTGGGATCATCCATCTAGGAAGCTGGAAATCAGCCTCTGTGGCAGCTTTCACGACAAAACCCTTCTGAATTTTTGGTTTGTTATTGTGTTCCTTTTCTCCTGTTGTTCCTGGTTTACTACTACTCGAAGCAGCGGCAGAAGGAGAAGGAGCAGGAGTCTCGTGGATCTCGACTGGATAAGCCATGAAGCCAAGCATGCGGGCGAAAACCTGGTTGTTCTTGTGTGGTAGCTGTAGTGCAAGAAAGCTCTTCATGTTCAATTTCAAGAGAAGTGCCAACTTCTGCTTTGGAGCCTTTGTCTTGATTTGCCATCTTCACCATGAGGTAGTTACATAATCTAAACATCATCATGGCCAGCTGATAAACAAGTACCCTCGTCGGTCCTCTCCTAGGAGGATCGGGGATGGTGAAACCACGCCAATTTGAGTCATCTGGCGAGCACTCGGTGATCATCAATGCCTTCACGCCGTGAGGGAGCGCCAAAGACGCGTTCCCTTTACTAGAACTCAACATATCAAAGCAAAGTCGTTGGTGAAAGCATTCGAAACCTGGAGTTGTCGGAGGAGCATGAGGTAGGAGTGCAGGCCAAAATGGTAGAGGACGTGACATCATAGTACTAGAGGACAAAATAGTAGAGAAATAATGCGACATGTGAGCATCTTCTACTAGTGAGGACGTTGAATCTTCATCTTTATACCAGAATGCAATGGCAACACCGGAAGTTTGCACTTTGATCTCCACAAAAGATCTGCGTAACCCGCAAACTCTTGGCAAATCTCCGATTCTCGCAGAAAGGGGACCCAAGTGTGGAGTAAGTCTATCTCAGCTACGAAAGCAGCAGCATGGAAGAGGTCTACAGGAAAGATGCCAATGTCCACGAAAATTTTCATGAACCCGTCCGGAAAGATGTTTATGCGAACATCGAAGACTGTGTCGTCGTATTCGTATGCACATTAGAAGAGGAGAAAAGTTCTTTAGGAGTCAGCTATAAAGTACTTAGGAGAGGAGAAAAGTAAGGACTTGGATCCGCCGCATCATCTTCATCAAATATCAGAGTTCAAGATACTAACAACATTACATTCATTCATTCATTCGAACCACGTAGCAACTACGTATAGCTGCCTGGTTCCGTTGTGACCCGAGTAGAGTCACGGCAGCTACTTAGGACCGACTGCTTAACGACGTGAGTAACGTCTCAACACATTAACTTACAAGCAATCAAAGGAGTAGGTCTTCGAAGCAGGAGTTTTAGATTTATTTAGATTTATTGGTGTCACATGTTTAGATACTTAGACTTATAATTGGTGTCACATGTATTTAGACTTATTGAACATTGGCCACATGTTTAGTTATACGTAGCAAATAACTTTTTGAAGTGTAGTTGTGGCCTCATAATGAAAGCTCACATGATCGGCCGCGTCATCTTCGTCAAATATCAGCTGTATCCCTTCCCGCAGCTTTCTCAATCCGTACCCGCACGCTCCAAGCTGTGGCAGCTGCCGTACTTGCCGTTTAGCGTTTCTGGACACCTCCTTATCCGCCAAAAACTCTTTTGCTCTAAAATGTGCCTCTGGGATGCGCAGACATGCAAGAAGCTCAGCGATTTCCTGCACAGTGGTGGCTTCTGCAAGAGAGATTTCTCTTTTGTCTCGACCCTTCTCTTTGGGTTCCCTTGAACTAGATCCTTTGTTAGGGCTACCCCAGTCGCATCTCTGGTAGCACCCTTCCCGCCTCTATTTTCCCTTCGGAAAATACCCCAGGATGATGCTGACCGATGAGGAGGCAGTGTGGGTAGTTATCTTAACTTTGTTTTCTTTGGATGCAGAAGGCGAGCTGAGGAGTTCCTGAGTGCTAGCGATAGACGCTGCCGCCTCTCCTCCTGACGCGTCTCCGCCTGCGTGACTAGGATCTCCCTTTCCGCCTCCTGCTCCTGCTGCTGTTCCTGTTCTCTCACTTCCCGAAGATACTGATTGCCCTTTATGATCTTGGTTGATGTCTTTGTCCTGCTTATAATCCTTAACTTGTTCCCTAGTCGTTGTTGCATCCTTCTCCTCGACTGTCGGTGACGAGAAGCCGCCATCTTCATCCGTCTGAAGCGAGTCACGTCCTCCAGCTCCAACCAGATCATCGATCTCTGATTCATAGCTGAGTTTTCGTTTTCGTTGAGGTGGTCCCCGTCTAGCTGACCGAGACCCTCGACCGCAACAGACACAACATGCGGGCATTGGGTCAACATCGACGTCGTCAAAGATGATAGTAGTGGAGGTTGTGGAAGAAGATATTATTGATATTATTGATGCAACGAACAAACGGTAGATGAAGTGGAAGTAGAGAAAGACAGTGACATTGACAAAAAGGAGAATATTTTATTACGAAAAACGTTTGGATCGTCGAAGGTAATTCCAAGGAGATGTAAAAAGTGTAACAAGGCTAAAATTTTAAAGTATATTATGAAGAACAAGAAGTTGTTCACCTAGTCCTGGTACCTAGTTCTTCCGTGCTCTCATCTCATTCTGTGTTTCAACTTCAAGTTTGCCTTCCAATAGGTGTTGCCTATTCAACTGATTTCCCTTTTTGGATATTCTTATTCAACATATTTAACTTATTTATATTTCCTTTTTGAAGGTTACCATAATTACTACTCATGTGCAATAGATTTCATCCTGCTCCTCCTCTGAGAGTCCTCCCTCGATGCTCACACAGGAACAACACCGCCATCAGTATAGCCGTACATGCAAAAAACATGAAGACTTTTGAAAAAACCTTTCCAATCTGATTGATGAATCGTTAGATGAGATGGTGCCAAAAATTTCAAGAGAGGAAAAGGGTTCTAGGTTTTTGGAGTGGTACTGTCCTGTACTATTCAAGAACAGCTCTCTTGCTCATTGCGATTGCGTTAACAATGAAGATATGAAGAGGAAGGTGAGACACCTAACAGCGGAACCACTCAGACTGTGGAAGCATCAAGCATGCATCCTATCAATGTGGCAGCGTAGAGATATCAAGAACATAGTCGAGAAGAGGGTGACAAAAAAACATATTAAGGTCATGATCATTTACTTGCTTCTCCACAACTCAGAGATCTAAGTACTATTCCCCCTCCATCATCAAGCTATTCATGACCCTCGGCATATGTCCGTTCCATTTTTTCAGCAACGGGATACACCTTGACAACCACAGTTCAGGCCCAAAGCCTAGGTCTGCTAACTGCAACAACTGCGCACCCCACTTCTGTGCCAAAGCTGCGTCTTCCTGAGGGTCGTTGGTATTGCCCTCACTTGCTCGCAAAAGGTGAAAGATTGCTACGGTGTCGATCTTTTCCTTTTGTTGTCCGGTAGATGATCCAGTCCCAGTGGCATCAGCTTGAGCTGCAAGGTCGTTGTTATTTGTACCTCCTAGTCCTGAAGATCCGCCGTCTGCCTGTAAACCACCACTAGTAGAAGCAGACGACGATGCCGAGGACATGTCAACGTCCTCAACGACCTTTTGCGTGTCAATTTGAGCGAAAGCCTGCTCCCCCGCGTCTCTCCAGGCAGTCGGGAGTCGTGGAACGGTCGGTCGTTCTTCTTGCTGCTCTGTTGGGGATGAAGTTTTGCTGGAGGGATTAGCTGCAACATTGCCAGTAGAAGATGTTGAAGCTCCTGGTGGTCCTGCTGGGTTGGTAGTGGCTTCAGTTCCTCCAGTACTTTCTTCAGTCGTCTCCGCTGCTCCCATCTGCTTCCAGAACAATTGTTCTCTTCTACCGTTTAGCCCCAATTTACTCAGAGTCTCATCCAACTCCTTGTCCTTACCGAACACGCGTCGATGCCCTGGCCAGGACTGGACTAGTTCAAACGGCAAAGCAGGATTCGACGCCGTCCATGTGAACTCCATCGTTATTTCGGTATTCTCCAACCACTGAAAAACTCGAGACAGAGTTGCTGTTTCTGGATTACTAAAGGTTCGACTTACCGTTTTCCCATTTGGTAATTTGACTTGGATGTCGACTGTTCTAGTTGTATTAGATGGGGTTGACGTTGAAGTGGATGAACTTGAAGTTGAGTTCTGTTCTTCATCCCACTTCCTTCTCCTCGCCCTTTCCTCATCTGCTGCTGCAGCACGCTTCTCCACCGCCAAGGCTCGTTCTTTCGCCAAGCGTTCAGCTCGTTCCGCTCTGATCTTCGCCAACTTTTCCTCAAATTCTACTTGCTCACTCGGTAAAACATCGATCTCCATCTCCGTATCTAGAAGTAAAAGTGCCTCATCCGGCTCCAACAGCTTGGCTTGCAAGAAGTAAGTGCGGCCTTCATGTCTCACAGGAATAATGTCCCCTTCACTTAAGCACGTGTGAAACCGAAGCTGCGTCTCCAGCACAGCTTTTAGATTGATGTCTACTACCTCTTGGTCGTTGTTTTCCCCAAAAAAACCGCCTCCCTTCGGCTGAAAAACGCAGCGACAGCGGTTGTGGCGGAAGAGACGGACGAAACGGATTTTGACTTTCTCCACTCTAGCGGACTCGTGTTTGCCACCTTTGTGTCGATCGTGCGCCAGTGAAAAAAGCACTTTTGGCCCAAAACGGACAGTGCCTTCGTCAGCAGTAAACTCTGCTACACCACAGTGGGTACGCGCTTGCTCTCTACTACCTGGAAGAAATGAATTTTCCTGCTGCTGTTGTTGTTGATCTGCAGCGAGTGAAGATGAAGAGGAAGATGTTGCTGCGGATTCACCTACCATGTCCACATCGCCATCTCCCACTACTTCCAGCTCGAAGGTCAAAACTCCGCTATTCTCAAACACCTTTTGCTCTTCCAGACTAGCAAAAACAGACTGAGGGAGCACTAATTTGTCGTCTCCTCTGCTGTCTGGCACCACTAAAAACTCTCTTTCAAAGAAGACGCCTCCCGTGCGATACAACCGCTCCTCACGTTCCTCCTCTGCTAGCCGTTTCTGTCTCAAAAACTCCACTTCCTTGGCTTCGCGTTGAGCAGCCATTTCTTTAGCCTTTGCATCATCCTGTTGCTGTTTGAGCAAGCGTTTCCTTGCTTCTTTGCGGCGCTCATCCGCTTGCTTTTTCTGCCGATCAGCTGCGGCGTCGAACATTTTGTTTATAATCTGGGTCTATTTTTATTAACGATGAACAACTACCAAAGTGAAACTAAAAATCAAATTAATACAAATCACAATGGTGCTCTAGTTCTAGATCTAGATCTACTACTACTTGTGCAGCACTTTATAACTAGTCAGGCACTCCCTGTTGCGTCTTTCTTCAGTGGATATATGCCCAGCATCGTCCTCAAAGAACGAGTACGTCTATTACAACTATTTCATTCATTTCATTTTTTGTACTACTTTTCAGTTTTGGGCCGATACTCACATCAACACGCGTGTTCACACAATTCGGATTCCCTTTAACTGGGATGCATCGGAAACGGAAGAGATACCATATTAGAAGTTGCTGCGCAGCGTGAACGTGCTGCGCAAGAGCCACCTGGCTGCTTGCATCAATTTTAAATTTCATTCATGATTACAATAGCAACATTGTAACCTTGTCAAAGTGCCTCCAGTCTGATGGATAATATACCTCGAATATTTTCGAAAATTAATAGACAGCAACAGGACATCACCATCACCAACAACAATTACTCACCACGTTCCAAGATCTCGCGGTTGTCTATCATTCATTTTATTGCACCGGAATCGGAATTCCCAATTGTCGAAAGCCATCCCTTAGAACTAGCAGAAAATTCTCGCAGTCCGCTGGAAAGATCTTACCAATCGTGCCTATACGGAAAGAGTCGGCCTTCGCTAGCTTGCCAGGGTAAATAACGAAACCGCGCTGCGCTAGGAAATCATAGAGAAACTGGAAATCCCAGTTTTTGTGTTCGGGACTCAGGACCGTTGTGATAATGAATCCACGGTGAGGGTCCTGCACATAAAAACGAAGCCCCATGCTTTCGAGCCTGATATTAATACCATAGTTGTGGAGCCGACCTAACTAATGAAGATGTTGGAACATTCCTAGTATGACAAGGAAAGGATTGGAGTATGTTCTATTGCTATTGATTCAGGAACTTTCATCAGACTCGACTGCTCCGGGAAGCTGGCAATGTTGTCTATAATTCAAGCAAGTACCACCCTCCGGCCTACAGATAGATACTTCTACAAGTGTTAGTACCAGTACACATCAAAGTAGAAAAGCTGTATTAAATCATACCCTTGTTTGATCACTTCGTAGTTCTGCTTGTAGCGTCCACCGCGACCTTTCCATCCTCCCTCTGCATTCCACTCGAGAAGCGCCTGATGATAAGCGAGAATCGCCTGCGTCGGAGGCGTAAATCGGAATTGCATTACTCCCGATGTTAGTGCTGTTTGGGTAGATGAAGTTACAGATACGCATTATCGATCTCCTCGTCGGAGGTCTAAAAATGGGTAACCTCATCGTCCTCCTGGTCATGATGTACTACGTACTAGTGCTTAAGTTACTGCTACCCCACCAGCTGTTTGATGATTTCCTGGACCATGATCACTTGTACAATGAATTCTAAGAAATAACAAATTAGAATTACCAGATCTAAGCTATCACAAAAATGAGTAGTACCTTTTGCTTGGCCGTAGAGGTCTAGAGCTAGTGATTTTGGCTTCTTCCCGCTCAAAGTCTCCATTGCAGCCTTTTCGTAGACACAGAAAGCGAAACCCGGAACGCCCTCCACGCATTTGTTCGCACTGGATTAGAGATAGAAACTCTACTCATCTAGACTATACAGGGGAAAACTCGGGTGTCAAGATGCTGAGTAAGAAGATGAATAAAAGCCGACCATACCTGGATATCAGATATTTCACGCATCTATGCTTGTCACTCAGATCGACCTCGTACGCGCCGAAGGCAGACATGCTGTCCACAATCGCATGTAGATGCGGAAACTTTCGTTGTAACATCTCACAGATCGCCGTTAAAGGATTGATCACGCCAGCCGTTGTCTCGTGATGAATGAAACTAACATGCGTGAAGGTTCCGCCATCTGGGAGGTCTAATCGGCGCTCCAAATCTTCGGCACTCACAGCTTGATCATCAGGATAATCGATCGACTCGTAGGCTAGATTCAGAGTATCACAGATCTGCTTCTGTCGGACACCATAAGCCCCATTGTTCAGGATGAGGACTTTGGGAACGTTGGCTCCGGACGAGGGACGTTAGAGCGGAAAGGGCTTAGGATTTTGTTCTTTCTCACTTCTCCGCCTGCGACCTCCGCTCATAGTAAAAGTTGCAAAGCATGATAAGCAACATCTGCACAAGATCCACTTCTTCATGGGTTCATCCCTTCCAGCCCTTCTCTCATGTGACGAAAAGTATGAGTCTGACTATGTTCATCAATTAATACTAGCCACGATCCTTAACTTTTCTCCGGTGCCAATACGCTTCCCAAGACTGATTCTATGGCGTGTGTCCCCGCACCCTGAATTAAGACACAGTCGTGAGTCGCTGCGCCCCCTTGTGCTCCCGCGACAAGCATAGCTCGAACTTCGTGCATCTTCTTCAGGAAATAAGGATCACGAGACCCTACGTCTTGTAAAAGAGCATTTTTTACCGCTGTGGAAGTGGTCAAGGGTCCTGGCGTGAAGAGGAGGGGACTGGTGCTGCTGAAAGCACGACGAGAGGAGGTAGATGTTGTTGTCGTCCTGTTCTTGTGTATCCTCGTTCTTGTCGACGATGAAAATGTTCGTGCTGAAGATGTTCGTGCTAAAGAAGATACTCCAACTGCAGCAACACTGCAGAATACATCTGTTGTACCAAGCCTGTTGTAGCTGCACCTTCTGGAAATACTAGTTCTTGACGAACTAGATGTTGACGCTGTAAAAGTAGCTTGTAGTGGTGGTCCTCCGACGATTGAGGCAGAACAAGAGGACGCGGTCCTCGAGAAGGCAAGACTACCAGCGGATCGCATCTTTATTACTAATACTACTCGTTGACAGTTGAAGTTGCAATACAATACAATAAATCTCGCACAATAAGTACAGTGCAGACTGTCGCACCAAGTACAGTGCAGACGTAGCTTCTATCAATTTCAATTTCTGCAGCTCACGAGGTTAATATTCATAGTGTGAAGATGAAATGGAAACTTTTGTTCAGGAGCTACTTGCAACTCATAATTCGTGTTCGTCGTCTTGATTTCGACTGGAGATACCACAAGTAAACCGATCAACATGTTGAACATTAAAGTGTATAAGTACGACGAGATGCACGCAGATGACATGATCAACAGCTCACTTGTCGATCTGACACCATCTCTGCCGACATCTCAGCGGAAGAGGCAGCAACGGAACTACTGCTGCTACGTGTTGGCCGTAAGCGGTGTTGGCGAGTCACAGCGGTCGCCCAATGAGTTTTGATGAGTTTTGATGAGTTTGCAAGTATGCCGAGCAAAGACTGAGTCGTTTCAAGATTCATCTCATGAGCGTCCTCGTCTGTCTCCCAGCATCCAAGAGAAAGACGAAAGAGGACAAATCAGACGAGGAACAAGTGTTACGGTTTTTAAGATTAAGAAAGTCTAATACTCTCAGGAATAAAAATAACGCTTTTAGCCAAAGAATGTTTGAAATTGTGACTTATTTCTTTTGCTTGATCAGCAAGACGAATAACATAAACATACTTGAGCTTTGGATTACTTCAGCTACTAGCAGGAACTATTAGTATTACCTAAAATTCTACATCTACTGCAGCATTTTTTAAGGACAAGAGAAAAGTAGGCTCAGCTTCAACTTCTACGGGAGCATTTCTAGATCAGAATATGGAAGAAGAAGGTGAGTGCACCCAATACATCGAAACCGAATGGACGACAAAATCAACTTTTGAACGCTAAGAACTGTGACAATCATATTTTGTTTTTGACTACGGTTGGAAATCTATATATTTATAAGTATCACGACATGAATCAATCATGCCAAGACCAAGAAGAACAACAAGTCACACCATAATTACATGGAGGAAAAAACTTTACTTGTCACAAGGACAGCTTGTGCTGCTAGTACTTCTCACTACCGCACAATCGTCCGGAAGTGCAAAATACTCTATTTAAATACTATTAAAAATCCCCGAACACTCCCCGCCTTTAATGTGAACACTAAAGGACCCCTAAGACGCCTTTAATGTGAATGCTAAAGGACTCCCCTCCCCTTTAATGTGAACACTAAAGGACCCTTAGAGCGCCTTTAATATAAACACTAAAGGACCCTTAAGGCGCCTTTAATGTAAACACTAAAGGACCCCTAAGGCGCCTTTAAAGTAAACACTGAAGGCCTTCCATGTGAGCAGCAGGTGGCCTTGAGGAAGAACAAGAACAGCAAGAACAACAAGAACAACAAGAACAACAAGAACAACAAGAACAACAAGAACAGCAAGAACAACAACAGCAAGAACAACAACAGCAAGAACAACAACAGCAAAAACAAGGAGAACAACAACAGCAAGAACAACAACAACAACAACAAGAACAACAACAAGAACAGCAACAACAGCAGCAACAACAAGAGCAACAACAAGAGCAACAACAAGAGCAACAACAACAGCAACAACAACAACGACGGCAACAGCGACAGCAACAACGACAGCAACAACGACAGCAACAACGACAGCAACAGCAACAACGACAGCAACAGCAACAACGACAGCAACAGCAACAAAACAACAGCAGCAACAACAAAGCAGCAACAACAAAGCAGCAACAACAAAGCAACAGCAACAGAGCAACAGCAACAAAGAAAGCAGCAGCAACAAAGCAGCAGCAACAAAGCAACAGCAACAAAACAGCAGCGACAAAACAGCAGCAGCAAAACAGCAGCAGCAAAACAGCTGCAACAAAACAGCAGCGACAAAACAGCAGCAGCAAAACAGCAGCAACAAAACAGCAGCAACAAAACAGCAGCAACAAAACAGCAGCAACGACAGCAACAACAGCCACAACAGCCACAACAGCAACAACAACGACAACAGCGACAACAGCGACAACAGCGACAACAGCGACAACAGCAACAACAGCAACAACAGCAACAACAGCAACGACAGCAACAACAGCGACAACAGCGACAACAGCGACAACAGCAACAACAGCAGCAACAGCAACAACAGCAACAACAGCGACAACAGCGACAACAGCAACAACAGCAGCAACAGCAACAACAGCAACAACAGCGACAACAGCGACAACAGCAACAACAGCAACAACAGCAACAACAGCAACAACAGCAACAACAGCAACAACAGCAGCAGCAACAGCAGCAACAGCAGCAACAACGGCAACAACGGCAGCAACGGCAGCAACAGCAACAACAGCAGCAACGGCAGCAACGGCAGCAACGGCAACAACAGCAACAACAGCAACAACAGCAACAGCAGCAACAGCAGCAACAGCAGCAACAGCAGCAACAGCAGCAACAGCAGCAACAGCAGCAACAGCAGCAACAGCAGCAACAGCAGCAACAGCAGCAACAACAACAACAGCAGCAGCGTCCGCTTTTTTCGCTATCACTCAACAGCAACAGCCCCCGCTTTTTTTCGCTATCACCTTCAGAGCGCCCGCCCCGCGGGCCTCCTTTTTCATTCGTTCACTTGCTCGCTATCGTCCGGACACGGAGCCACGAACGGGACAGAGAGAGAGAAGAAGAGAAAAAACCACGAACACCAACAAGCCACGACAGACGAAGACAAGCGCAACGCCAGAAAACTTCCAGCGCCCGCGCACTCTTTGGGCTTGTTCGACGGTCATCCTTATGGCACTGCGCCGGGCTTTTTTGGATCTGTGGCGCGGATCTGCTCAGATTCTTGGCCTTGCGGGTAGGTTCCTTTGGCGGATCTTTCTCTGTCGATTTTCGGGGACTCGATCAGCCACTTCCTAGATTTCTCTCACAACTTGAGAACTGCGACGACCCTGACAACATCAAACCAGAAGCAGACACCTAGCGCCCGCCGGCGCAGGGCTGCTCGTTGCTACCGTCTTGGGAGCGGGGTCGTCCCGTTTTTCGCTATCATTTTCGCACGACCCTCGCGGGCTTGCCGCCGTTTTTTTCGCTACCACTTTCGGGGGGCCCCCCTCTTTTCGCTGCCTATAATTCGCGACGACCCTCGCGGGCCTCCGTTTTCCTTTGTTCTTGTTGTTCGCTATACTTCAGACACAAGGCCACGATCGAACAGAGAGGGAGAAAAGAAGAAAAAAACCACGAAAACCCGCGCCAGCCATGGCCAACGCGTTGGAGATGGCGCCCGCGGTGATGCGTGTCCCACTGCCCGCCGGCGCCTCTTGGTTGCTTGTTCTTACTATGGGAACGGGGCCCCCTTTTTTTCGCTATATTTTGCGGACGACCCTCGCGGGCCTCCGCGCCCCTTTGTTCTTGTTCTTCGCTATCGTTCGGACACAAGGCCACGAACGGGACAGAGAGACAGAAGAGAAGAAAAAAACCGCGGACACCCGCGCCAGCTATAGCCAACGCGTTGAAAATGGTGCCCGTGGTGGTGCGTGTTTAACTGCCCGCCGGCGCCTCCTGGTTGCTTACTCTTGTCACCATCTTGGGAACACGGCCCCCCATTTTTCGCTATAATTTGCGGACGACCCTCGCGGGCCTCCGCTTTGTTTCCTTTGTTCTTGTTGTTCGCTATGGTTCAGGCCCAAGGCCACGAACGGGACAAAGAGAGAGAAAAGAAGAAAAAAGCCACGAACACCCGCGCCAGCTGTGGCCAACGCGTTGAAGGTGGTGCCCGTGGTGGTGCGTGTTTCACTGCCCGCCGGCGCCTCTTGTTTGCTTGTTCTTACTATGGGAACGGGGTCCCCTTTTTTTCGCTATAATTTGCGGACGACCCTCGCGGGCCTCCGTTTTGCTTTGTTCTTGTTGTTCGCTATAGTTCGGACACGACAAGGCCACGAACGGGACAAAGAGACAGAAGAGAAGAAAAAAACCGCGAACACCCGCGCCAGCTATGGCCAACGCGTTGAAAATGGTGCCCGTGGTGGTGCGTGTTTAACTGCCCGCCGGCGCCTCCTGGTTGCTTACTCTTGTCACCATCTTGGGAACACGGCCCCCCTTTTTTCGCTATCATTTGCGGACGACCCTCGCGGGCCTCCGCTTTGTTTCCCTTGTTCTTGTTGTTCGCTATTGTTCGGACCCAAGGCCACGAACAGGACAAAGAGGGAGAAAAGAAGAAAAAGGCCACGAACACCCGCGCCAGCTATGGCCAACGCGTTGACGGTGGTGCCCGTGGTGGTGCGTGTTTCACTGCCCGCCGGCGCCTCCTCGTTGCTTGTTCTTACGTTACTATGGGAGTGAGGTCCGCGCCTTCGCTATAATTTGCGGGCGACCCTCGCGGGCCTCCGTGTTCCTTTGTTCTTGTTGTTCGCCAAAGTCCGGACACAAAGCCACGAACGGGACAGAGAGACAGAAGAGAAGAAAAAACCCGCGGACACCCGCGCCAGCTATGGCCAACGCGTTGAAAATGGTGCCCGTGGTGGTGCGTGTTTAACTGCCCGCCGGCGCCTCCTGGTTGCTTACTCTTGTCACCAACTTGGGAACACGGCCCCCCTCTTTTCGCTATCATTTGCGGACGACCCTCGCGGGCCTCCGCTTTGTTTCCCTTGTTCTTGTTGTTCGCTATGGTCCAGACCCAAGGCCACGAACGGGACAAAGAGGGAGAAAAGGAGAAAAAAGCCACGAACACCCGCGCCAGCTGTGGCCAACGCGTTGAAGATGGTGCCCGTGGTGGTGCGTGTTTCACTGCCCGCCGGCGCCTCTTGTTTGCTTGTTCTTTCTTACTATGGGAACGGGGCCCCCTTTTTTTCGCTATAATTTGCGGACGACCCTCGCGGGCCTCCGTTTTGCTTTGTTCTTGTTGTTCGCTAGAGTCCGGACACAAGGCCACGAACGGGACAAAGAGACGGAAGAGGAGAAAAAAACCGCGGACACCGGTGCCAGTGCTGCCACCTTCCTCTTGTATATAAAATCACCGCGCCCCCGCTCCCCTTTCCCGCGACGCGGAGGGGAGTGCGCGCCCCTCGGGCGCCCGTTTCACCTTGTGAAACCATTCACCCCCACCCACGTCCCTAAAGTATCCTTTTCCCTTCCTTAACGTCTCCCGGGGCACCCGGGCCCGGGGAGTTATCTTGTACTTCTATTGAATTACACCAGACTTGGAACAATTCGACAAAAGTGCAAAAGCATCTTTAGAAGCTTGTTACAAAAGCACAGGATTGCCTTCCGCATTGCCTTTGCCTACCTGGTTGCCCTTCTTCTGACCGTCCTCGACTTGTGCAGCTAGCGGTTTCTCAGGTAGAAAAACGCGCAGAAAAGGCGCATTGTGCCTGTCCCCTGAGTGTTAGATGAGCTCAGAGTCATGATGATGATGGATCATGTTGTTCTTAAAAAAACAGCCTTATGAATATGATGATTCATGAATTCTTGTGAGTAGAGTCTAGCTTTCTTACTGTTTGAGGTTTGAGGATGAGGAAGAGGAAAACAAGTGAAATAAATCTTTTGTCGAAAAGGAATTGATTTGCCTCATGGTGAGCCATAAATGTGGTACTCGAACGCAAAAGCAGTGGCCCGATCGGTGCTATGTGCATTCCATTCTTTTTTGACAATCGGGATTATCGTATTTCCCAGCTTGCTCTTCACGCGGACACCCGCAAACGGTCGAAAATTAGATGAGGGCTATATTAATCAGAAAAAGCTCGTCCTGTTAGCCTGCTCGTCAGATCTTAGAGCAGGACCATTTAGTACTTCTAGAAGATGAAAGAAGTATTAAGTAGCCTCGTAACCGACAAGAGAAGCAGTGTGCTGATAAGCAGTGGCCACCACACGGAACTTTGGTCCTCGTGGGGACCTAGAACTTTCGTTTTTCCTTTACAGCTCTTTTCGTCGTTATCGTCACCCGATGGACATGTACAGTAAAGAGGCTCCCTTGTTGCGTCGTCAGGCACTGCGATTTCGCAAGAGGAACCGGAGCCGGTTACTGGAGGAAGAATGTACGAGCCCAGTGTATGATTTGCGGTGAGCATGCAACTGTTAGAGCTCGCCCGCCTAATCCATCTCCAGGCGCATCCTTTTCCTGGGTGCCTTTTGTTCCCTTGCAAACCCTCTTCAGGATGGATGAGTGTCAAGTTCGATTAGAAAAAGAAGCCTTAAGACTGTCGTGGCCATCGCTCGTCTCCGGTTCTAGTCTTCGGGTGGTCTTCTTGCAGCAATAAAACGCGCAACAGAACTTAGAGGACGAGCATTTCTTCACAAGTACATCCATGATGGAAGGTGTTGAAGGGAGTAGTAATGAGGTGGACCGTGCTGGAAGACCAAAGGACGCAGTATCTTCTCAGACAAACAAAAAGGGATTAAGAATAAATGCTCGTTCAGTGATTACAAATAAGATGAACAATTTGAATTATAGATTTAGATCGATGCTCTGTAATTCTAATTAACATTGATTTGATTGAAGAGATGAGTCTGAATCTTTGAAGGTCCTATAGATTTACAGATATTAGAAGCCTTAAACTGTGTCGGTTCACCACCAATCGCTGTGACCGAGGGGTCCTCATCGATCTCATAGGCATAGCGAGAAGCGCCTTGTGCGTCAGTTTTCACACTGCAGACGCGATCTGCAGTGCATCCGACTTTTGATGTGAAGTCACAGAAGGTGAACAAGAATGCTGCCACAGGAATAAGCGGGATGTACCACAGCCAGAGACGATAGGTAAGCACAAACGAGTGCTTGACTGGCACCTTTTCGTTGACCGCCGTCAGCCCCTTTTCGTATGCACCTTTTGCATTAGAAGACGATCTCTAGTACTTTGTTGCTCTTTTGGTAGAACTAGAAGGACAAGCGCAATTCATTGTTATCGTATCAATTTTCAGATGAATCCCGCACTTCGACACAGGCTTAGGATCGATTCTGATAGATTTATCAACCTTCAAAAAAACACAGAGAAAAACCATTATACAAGAGCAAAAGCCCCAAGCTTAAGAGTTGACAACAAATGACATCTCTCACAAATAAAATCACAACAAGAACAAAATAAAGCCTCAATCTTAAGGGTGAGACCGCATTGGTACAACAGTTCATCGGCACTGTCTGTGTTTTTGAAGACCGGTGCTTCCCAGAAAAACCAAGCGCTTGTTCTATGCAGTTTGATATCCACTGGCCCTAAGCGCTTTCCATTTCCGGACATTTCTTGTAGTCTGACTGACTAGTAGACCAGTCTGACTGACTAGTAGACCAAGAAGAAGGACAAGCTGCGTCTATAGCAGAATGACTGACTAGTAGACCAAGAAGAAGGACAAGCTGCGTCTCTAGCAGAATCAATGGGAGGTGTTTCCTTGATGTAGACGTTTTTGTTTCAATACATTTTTTCATAGAGGAAGTACTACGCAGATCCTTTCTGTCATATCAGTCTAGTCGAGAAAAAATTTGCAAAGAAAAAAGCAATCGTTGCTTCAGTAGTTCTAGTTTCTTGTAGTTGTCCTCTGATACTTGACTTGTTGTTTCAGTTGTTCTCTCCAACCGTGCTATCCAAAAAGAAAAACTGACACTCAGAAAACATGTTCTACTTGGCTCACGCTTCTTCTTGGTGCACCAGCGAACTACAACTTAGTACCACAGATGCATGTCGAGGTATGAAAAGATGTTAGCCTCCTCTGAAGGTGTTGTTTTCTCAAGACCACGAGCATTGTCGTTTTCATCTTTGGAAGAGAGACACAATTATAAATCTTCATGTTCATCGTTGATGTTCATCACGTTGCTTGGCAGACCAATCAAAAATCAAACATCTAGCTGAAGTAGGTATAGACAACATTCACACGTCTATTTGTTCTGCCTATCATGGAGGAGGGACAGTAAGTATGCTATGTAAAAAGTATGATCTTCATGATATGATTGAATTTTGAGTAAAATGAAGCATCAAAGTCATGTTGTAGTAAGTTCTATGGTTTTTCATTGTCATCGTCAACTTCTACAACGTTGTCCGCGACATCATCCGCCAAAGCCGCGTGGTCTTCTGCAACGTGTTCTACATGAAGATGTAGTTCACCTGCTCCTTGTCCTTCACGACTCCCTTCCACGATAGCCTTGTTTCCCAATGCTGACGACAAATCGTCATCCACACTTGTTTCCTTGATGCTCTCCTCGACTGCAGCAGGGACACCAGAATTAGGAGGTTGAGCAGCTGCTAAACCCTTAGAACTACCACTGCTAGAGGATGCCGAAGATCCTGTTGTGGATCCTTGTTGACCCTTTCTCCTACCACAAGGAGCGGAACTCATATTCAGTTTTAGACCACTGGCATGATGTGGGTAGAAGTCCTTTCCACCTGCTCCTGCTCCCCAGGTGTTGTGATAGTTGTGGAATGGTGCACCATGATGTTGATGTTGACCTCCACCATGTACTTGATGATAATGGAAGTCTTTATCCTTACCTCCGGGACCTGGTCCTCCTCCCCAAGAGTTATAGTGCCAAGGAGGTGGTGGTCCGCCGTAGCCGTTGTATCCATGGTTGTGGTAACAATGATCATCAACATGATAATCCTTACCTCCTCCAGACCACCCAGGAGCGACCCAAAACCCGCCTTTTCCTGCCCATGGAGGTGGATGCCCGGCATAGGTGTGCCCGTTGCTGTACTGATGCCCGTTAGGAGGAAAGGGGCCCTTGTTGTAGTAGTTCATTCCGTTTGTTGGGCGACCATGGTTCATCATCATGTTGAAGTTGGTCCTAGTGTTTGAAGCTCCTGCTCCATTCATGGAAGAGCCATGACGCTGGCTATTGTTGTTATTCGCTGTGGTGCCTGAAGATGTCGGGGCTGCTTCTTCTGAGGTACCTACTTGTTCTTGAGCTCCATTTTTCGTCGACATCATGGTGTCACCAGATGAATCTTCATCTTCATTTTCAGCAGTATTAGTATGGTCCACCTGCTCTGGAGGGTCAGCTTTATTTGTGCCCTCGTCGTCATCGGCGTTCGATTTTCCAACTTCTTCACGACCAGTGTCCACGAGATTTGATTCCTCTCTTTCTTCCTTATCTTCTCCTTCAGGCGAGCCCTTTCGTCGTTCTTGTTGTTGACTAACACCAGCATGATGGGAGCTGTACCCACCATACGAGGATGACGAATGATGTTGTGGTTGTGCATGTTCTTGACCAGCTGCACCTGGATGATCGTAATAGTTACCATAGCACCTCCCTTGATGTCCTCCATGATGATGTCCTCCGCCATGAGGGGCCCCACCATTCGAGGGTCCATAGCCGTAGTTGTAGCCACCAGGAACACCTCCACGAGGATAGTCGTACGAGGACCAATTATTTCGAGGATCCCACTGATCTCCTCCTCCACGATAATGCTGAGGATAATCCCAGGAAGAAGGATCCCAATAGCTGTTGTGACGTCCTCTTTCATCCCAGGAGTGATCTCCTGGTCCTCCCCAACCAGAAGTCGATCTCGACGAAGAAGAAGAAGGGCCATGGTTAGGGTTAGTACCCCAAGATGAAGACGACCACGAAGAAGGGTTGTTGTTCGCGTGATGTGGTGGACCATGCTGATGGCCATGCGGACCATTGTGGTTAATATGGTGAATTCCACCAGCCATTCCACCTCCACCTTGAAGATAGTTGTTGTAGTTATACAATCCTCCAGAACCACATCCTGAAGAAGCACCGTTGTTGTAGAACATGCCTTGATGTTGGTTCCTTCTGGTGGAAGAGGTAGCTGAAACCTGTAACAGCTGCAGCAAAGGCTGAAGTGCTTCTCGCCCTTCGGCTGAGCGGAAAGTTAAAGAGAACGTTGTTTCTGAATATTTTCTTGATGGAGGCAAATCTTTTGCAGACTCTTCGGGAGATGAAGACTCTTCGGGAGAAGGAGATGAAGACTCTTCACCAGGAGGTGCCGTGTCTCTGTCTTCCGAAGAAGAAGGCCCTTGTTCTGCTCTACTAGGTGCTTTATTCGGTGGTGCATCTGCGTCTTCTGCAGCAGACGGCTCAACATCAGGTGGTGTACGTGTATGGTCGTCTTCTGAAGTTGTAGCGGCCGTGGTTCCCTCTACTTTCTCCTGTTCAAGAACAGGAGTAGTCTCTGAAGCTTGTATTTCATCCTTAGCACTACCTTCGGAAGTTTCTACTGCTCCGCCATCATTATCTTGTTCAGCAACCTCACCCTTCATCTTGTGCTTGTCCACTTCGTCTGCACCCGTCTTAGCACCAAGACCATCACCTCCGCGTTCTTCTTGTTCTTTCTTTTCCTCGTCCTCCTCCACAGGAGCATATAATTCTGAAGAGGTAGAAAACCCGCTCAAGCCTTCGGTCAGGTCCACAAAGAGCCGCTTGATATCCTCCACTCCCTTCCAATACCAAAAAGCTTGCTCAGATTCCTCTTGTTTGACGCGTGGCAGCTTTTTTAAGTCTCGCAAGCCTGTCCAAATGCGGTCAATATCTCGCAATTGAAGTTCTTCTTCATCATCATCTTCAGGGTCGTCGTTCTCCTGCGGTGCTGGTGTTGATGACGCGGATGCAGAGGAGCTAAAGGGCTTCTTGCTTGTGCTGTTGGTGGCTGTTTTTAGAAGGGAAGGATCAGGAAAAAAGTGTGACATTTGAAGGTCACGTTGATCTTCTCATACTACAGAGTCGTGCTTTTATCGACTTTTGAAGTCGCATTTCGTGCTTCACAATGAGTTAGACACACCGTCTACTTACACACAGTCTCAGAGAGAAGCTGAGTCCATAACTCCGCAGCAACGGTACTTGTTTCAGTTGCAACTGCCCAAGACAGTCCGGCCCAAGGCGTCAGACGTCTCGAGCGTCGTTCAATCTCTGCCTGTAATACGTGTTTCAACGAACAGCTAGAAAGCAACTCTTTCGCCAGAGCCTGGTTTCTCCTATTTGCCAACTCTTCTTCTCGTTTTCTTTGTTCTTGTTGCTCTTGTTCTTGCTGCTGGGCTTGAGCTTGAAGATGCTGTGGACCAGAAGGTGTGGGAACTCCTGAAGGTTCCGCTATAGCTTGCGGAGCCTCCGTTGCATCATGACTGTCCTTCTTGAGCTCCACGTCTTGTTCCTCTTCTTTGATTTTTGCGGCTGAAACTGGAGCAGCTGTTCTTGTCGTGACACAATTTTTGATGTCCTTCTCGTCCTCGCCATCTTCACCTCCGTTCTCATCTTCGTCCGACACTTGTACGACGCTTTCCAATTCATCACTTTCATCTTGTTGCTGCTCAGTTCTTCTTGCCTTCTGGTCGCAACAATTTTCCCTGTCATCTTCTTGTTCCTTTCCTTCTTCAGCTTCACACATATCTTCTTGTTCCTTTCCTTCTTGTTCCTTTCCTATCTTCTTGTTTCCTTTACCATTTTTACTTGCGTGCCCAGCGTGTCCATCTTCGTCATCTCCGAATAAGGAAGCGGATCGTTCGCGAGGAGAAGTTATTGATACGGACGGCCATGCTAACCAAGAAGCAGAAGCTGTTCCCGCGTCCTCTTCGTCTTCATCATCTTTTTGCTTATGTAAGGAGCTTTCTACAACTCGTTCTGGGACTTCTTGGCTCATTCGTCGTTTTTTCGACATTATAGCCGCTTTCGCTGGCGACAACTGCTTCTTGAATATCTTTCCCAAAGGTGATGACGTGAACGAAGCAGTTGCGAGCGGAGCAGGTGGCTCGGCAGAGGATGCAGAAGCGATGGTTCCCCGACCACCACCACCACCACCACCAGAGCCTGAGCTTGTACCTGTACTTGTTCCACCAGAGGCATTGTAAAGCAACGCAGACTGCCTATTTTTCCTCATCGCAGCGCGACCTTTAGCTGTTGGGGCAACACTCTCTTCGAAGACTTTCACCTCAGGCTCTCCCCATAGCAAACTCGACGCCCCAAATCTACCAGGTGCCATCTTTTGCATACGAAGCTTCGTCGAATTCAGACTCTCCTCATCTTAAAGGAAGGTTGTTGAGGCATTTCATTTTCAAACACATAGGAATGCTAAGGGAGCCTATACTATAGTATACTATACATAGTATCCCATGATGTAGTAATAAAATGCAAATGCTTCAACCCTTAATGATCCACATCGTCTTCCAGCAATATAGCTGCATCTGCATCAAGTAACCCTTCGTCATCCGAAGACACGACAGGTGTAGAGTCATCGCCTAGCTGACGGCTCGCTAAAAACTGAGCCATTGCAGCAGTTGTCTTCTTGGTGGTGGCTTTTGTAGAAGTAATGGAACCAGAAATAGGCACTCCATTTTTTCTTGATGAACTTGAAGGCCTTGCGTCCTTGTTTGGTGCCTTTTGCTCTTCCTCTTCTTCTGCGTCTGAAATAAGCAGATCGTCGTCAACATCATCTCCCGCCACTGACCCGCCCACAACTGTAATATTTTCAACAATATCTGCTGAAATACAAGAAGTTTCTCCAACCGCACAGACCTTCATCTCGATTTCAGCCACGTCCTCCCTGTCTAGGTCGTCTAAGTCCTCTTGTTCACCAAGAACGACGCAGCTAGCTTTTTCGACATTATCATCATCATCGTCAAGTAGTACTCCAGCCACTGAATCAGTGAGGAAATCTGGAGACTCCAGGATCGGGGGTGAATCCTCAAAGCTGCAAATGCCAGGTTTTATTGATGTTGTAGGAGCCGACAAAGGGTTCGAACGCACGCTTGGGAGATTCGAGGATAAAAAGCCAGAAGATGCTGTAGAAGAAGCTAGAAAGTTGTCGCGTTCGCGAGCTCTATTTGTACTATCAATAAAGTCCTGAGAAACCACTAAAGACAAAGAGCTTGAGGTTGAGCAGCTTGAATTAACTCCACCACCAACACCAAGGTATTCGGTAGAAGTGGAAATAGCCGCACGCCGCTCCTCTCTCAAACTGCAAGTTCGAGGAAGGCCGCAAGCTGGAGCATCTTGCGGCGCCAGTTTCGGAGCTACGCGTGAGACCGGAGATAGGATATTGATGTCGAAGATATCCTCATAAACAACCAGAGTAGATGAATCTTGCGGCATCACATCCACGGCACTCAGAACCTTGTTGCTGTTGCTCTGGTCTTCCAAAGAGGATATAGACCCCGTAGATTTTTGCAGCAGGTCATAGGATGCTCCAAGATGAGGTTGGAATGAAGTCTGGGATTGCTCTTGACCATCGTCATCTTTTGCAGCAAAGTGCATGTCTTTATCAGCATGATCCTCAAGATCAGGAGCTGCGAAACAAACATCCTCTATCGGCTCCTCTTCTACTTTGGAGTATTGGGTTCCGTTCCGTGCTTTCTCGTCTTTCATCTCGTCCTGCTTTTCCTCCTCGACATCATGCTCATCAACATGGTTGCCTTCACCATCTTCCATCAACAAATTCTTACCCGTTGACGCCATTGCAGCAGAAGTATCTAGATGAAGCTGCTGGGCACTTAGCGGAGTGCATCCCGAATCCTCCGGTGGAGAGTGACCGGCTAAAGAAGAGCCTGGCGTCGCTGTCGCATCATCTTCGACTGGACGAGGCCTAGGGGTCTTCATACTCGAAAACGCGTCATGAGTATCTTCAGCACACTCATGATCTTGCTCTGTTGTAGGACTTTGATCATGCTGTTTAGGTACAAGGAGACGTTCTGCCGTATGCTGGGTTTCCTCCGCTTGTGTGTCAACGTCTTCGCTGACAGTCTTGGTAGCTGTAGCGGCGACGCCAGTAGTTTCTTCTTGTGGTGCTTCGTGTTCATCTCCAGTCAAGCCTTGCTTTTGTGTCTTATCTTCCTCCTTAGACTTAGTACTTTTATGCTCATGATCCTTCGCTTCACCAGACGCCGACACATCCTTTTCATTGCTGCTGTCCTTGTTCTCGGCCTCTGCTCCGGAGGCAGTCCCGCCTGCATTTGGCCAGCTGCAGTTCTTGTGGTTATAGAAGTCGTACTGCTCATAGTGACATTTGTCAGTTGTCCAGTCACCTGCGTCCGCACCTCCAGTAGCCCAATTCGCGCCACATGAGTCGTAACTATTTTTGTAGTAATTGTTCCATGACTGATTCTGGTATTGGTAGCTACCAGAGCCAGAGGACGATGCACCTCCATAACCACATCCGTAGCCATTTCCTCCATGTCCATAGTAAAAATTGCTATAAGAGGAAGTCGAGTTGCCACCTTGTTGTCCCTGTCCTTGCTGACCTCCAACTCCGAGTGGTCCTGCATTTTGCTTCTGATAAACCTGAGAAGAGTTGCAAGACGCAGCCGCAGCGGACAAAACATCTTCCAAGCCTGTGTGAATCCCTTTACCCGAGGGTCCATAAACCCGGTCTTGCACCAATGTCCGTATCTTCCTGGGAGCTAGACGGACCTGCCGATAAACGAAGTTTCTCAGTGTTGAGAGTTTCCTATCCTGTTCACTGAGCAGACCTTCTCCTGCTGGAAGATTGTTAGAAGCGTTGTTAGATCCTGAAGAAGTCCGCCCGTTATTGTTGTTATTGTTGTTAAAAAAAGCGGAGGCAAACACGGAATGTCCATCTTTCAGCTCCGTTTCTTGCATGCACGTCGCTGCCACAAACTGCTTTTCCTCCTCTTCATCCATATCATCGAGGCCAAGAAGGGCTCCAGCATTTTCTACAACAGAGGGGACATTTGGATTCGTTAGTACTCTGTTGGAGTTCTTGGAAGTGGCTTCTACTTCGTCATCCTCTTGTACATCTTCTTTGGACGTTGAGGAAAGTTCCAACTCATCTTTTGCAGACATTGCCGCTGAAGCTTCCGGCGCCTCGTCTTTTGTTTCGACCACTTCTTCACCGTCCTCCAGTCTGACAGCATCAGAATCCTTTATACTTGTTCTTAGAAGTTCTTTCTTGCTCCTGCTGCTGGTGCAGCTTTCTGTTTGTTGTTTATCAATATTATCGATCTCAACTACATGGTTCTCCTCCTCAACCTCAACATCAGTCTCAACATGATCTACAGGATCTTCGATGAAATCGCCATCCTCAATTATATTCTCTGCATCCTCAATGTCCTCACCAGCGGACTTGTTTCCAGCGGGTTCTACTTCTTCGAGGATTGACTTGGATGACTCGATCGCAGGAGTGATATCGTTGCCACCTCCATCCGCAACAGACGCCTCTTTGCAGCTGGTGTCCTCAACTACAGCCGTGGCACGATCTTGTCCTCGTTCCTCAACCTGTTCTTGTTGTATAAAACCTTCATCTTCTTGTTCCTTCGTCGTGGAAGATTCCTCCTTGGTGTTTTGTATCAGACCTGCTTCATCTTCTTGTTCCTTCGAGAAAGATAATTCCTCCTTCCTGTTTTCCTTGTAGTTCTCCTCAGATGAAGTTGAAGCACTTGGCTGCTCCTCTTTCGTGGAAGATTCCTCCTGATCTTCCGATTCGTCCGCTAAAAACTCGATCATGTGATCTTCAGCGTACAATTCTCTGTACAAATCTCGGGTCACGCGCTCATGATGGTTGTAGAACGATGCGCCGCGCAAGTCTGACCAGATATTCGTCTCCCATTCACGGTCTTCGGGAGAGTTCCTATTGTCGCCCCATCTGCGGCGCAAATCCTCCATGTACTGCTGCTCTGCTCCCTCAACAATCGCTGCACCAACTGCCAAAGTTTCCGACAAGAGCCAGGAGCCAACCAGACCATGGGCTGAGCCACGTAAAGACCCACCCGTGAGCATATTCGACATGTGTGCTGAAGTGCTGTAGTCCAGCATCGGAGACGTTGTAGCTGAACGAAACATCGGAGAACAAGACGCATGTTGAGATGAGCCAGGATACAGGTGCTGTCCTTGAGGCAGAGTCGGGCTGGAGTGAAGGCTCGCAGCGTAAGCAGATGAGGCATACGCACTGCTCGCTGCACTTGTTGGATAAGCGGATGGAAGGCCGTAGCCTGGGGACGAGGCAGCTGGCCATGAACCAGCTCCTGCAGCTCCACTAGCTTGACCATGATGGTGAGCGTTCTGCTGATAATAGGTTGAAGCAGCAGCATTGTAGGCAGCACCTGCAACACCAGCATTTCCTGAAACCGAAGATCCCGCCCGCCCCCACGCTGATGCTGCCAGAGCTCCAGTGGTGGCGCCATGATAGCTGTTGGCTGCATTAGTCTGTTGATGAGCACCAACACCAGTTGTAGTATGGTATGCATTACCATTTGCAGAAGCATTGTTGTAAGCGTCCATAGGAGTGGTCGCGCTCGTCTGCTGCAGTTGATCGGCAGCTCCTCCCTGAGTCACCAGACTGGTTGTTCTTGAGCCACTATTCAAAGGGGCAGAGGGATGTTGTTGGTATGGCACAGGCCAAGGTGGACAAGAAGATAAAGATTGTTCTGCATGTCTTGACTTGTATCTGACAGTGCCGTCTTCATTCTTCTCAAAATAGTCCTGCGGTAAGCTGTGACCTGGTAGAGCAGTGAGGGAAGAAGGCCCGGGGACGATGGCAGCAGTTATGGCAGATGTATAAGATGCTGTAGTGTCGTTTTTTTTAGCTAAAGGGGACGATGCAGCATCTCCTTCTGCTGCGGCAGTTGTACCAGCGTTAACGTCGGTGTCTACTTTCCTAGCGTCATCATCCTCCCCTCCGACCTGCTCGGCCTCGGGTGTTTCACTTGCCACGACGATGAGCTGCTCCCCTGCATACTCTCCTGGTGGAGCACTAGTAGCTTCGCCCTTGTTTGTGATTTCATCGGGTGTAACATCTTCCGCTGCTATTGAGGCTTCTTCTTCTGGTGACCCGCGTCCCTCGGCTTGCTCAGTCTGTTGGTTCAAAAACTTGATTCTACTAGAGTTGATCATAAAAGAGGGAGCGCTGCATGTCGCCATTCTGTCAGAAAGTTTAAATGGGCCATTGCATTTTAACTCCGCACCATTAGCATTATCGGCATCTCCTGCATCACCCTCCACAACAAGGGTCATGGTACCACTACCGTTATCGCCAAGATGATCGTTTTGGTCGTATGCACTGCTGCTCCGTGTCAGAAGATTGTTGCTGTAGTAGCTGGAGCTGCTGGTGTTGTGGAAACGGAAAGTATTTTTTCCGCTTCCATAGCTAGAAATACAATTTTTTCCGCTAGAGTTGTAAGGAGCTGCACCAGCAGCAGCACCCTTGCTACTACTTCCAATGCCACCTCCTCCAGCTCCCTCGTTCATAGAGATGAGGGAATCTTTGCTGTTCCGTCTTGAGGAAGATAGACTGGCGATCTTGTTCTTCAAGAAAATGTCATACTCTGGTGGATTTCTGTTGGCATTGTTGTTACTAGAGGAGGACGTAGTTCCTTCAAGACCGAGCTCATTCTCCACTTGTTCTTGCAACTGACAAACAACATCATCTGGCGTGAACATCCACACTTTGGTTGCGGCTCCGAACGTTTTGTGCTTATTCAAGTCCCTCACTGCACCTTCCGCCATTTTGCGTGTGCTAAACCGGACAATCCCGCAATCTCGGATCAGCGTGACGTCCACAACGCGCGCATAGGTTGAAATCAGCTGTTTCAATTCTCGTCTGACGCCTTCTGGAACCGGTTTAACGAAGCAGACGTTTTGCAGAGTCTCCTCTTCGTCGTCTTGTTGGAGTTCAAAGCGCCGCTTGGAACTTTGTTCATGGACAATGCGAAGCTTCTCGACCCGGTGGAGCATACCTGGTCGTCGTGGGGAACATCAGGATCACATCAAGTAGAGCAGTCTCATGAAAAAGTATGCACGATATGTAAGACGAAGACCCGATGAAGACCCGATGAAGATGATCCGGCTTTTCCATCAACAATTACCTAATCGCTAGTAATGCTATCAACTGACCATCTTTATCAGACCGACGACGATGAGGATGACCACACCAAAAACAAAAAAAAAGCCCAGCATGGTATTAAAACGCGACTATAGAAGTTAGTACTATTAATCTTCGCATCCGTTTCTGCACTTCGAAAGGCGTCAATCGCATGCAACACTTCATGGTTCGTTACGTCATCGTGCGGACTCTGCTTCAAGTCTAAAAACTGATCCACTAGAATCCCGTGCACGTTTACTCGCGTGTATTTTTCTCGGTTGAAACCAGTACAGCAGACATAGAAAGAGCTATCAAGAATGTTGTAGTAGTCGCTGAGGGTTAGAAGGGACGTGAGGTGGTGGGAGAGGTGGCAAACATTGATGTGGAAGATGTTTCTGTTCGATTGATATATAGGAGGACGGCTATTTCGTTCTATTCAGTAAAGGCTAACAAGTGGATTCCGTTTATTTGGTTGAATGCAATAGATTGTCTGAAGGGATAAGACTAGGGATAGAGGTGAAAACTAACCGGTTGGTTTACTTTAGTGCTTTAAGCGTGGCTTTTGAGTGATGCAATAGATCAATATCAATCTTGCTTTTTCAATACACGTGCAGGTAGGGCACTTTCCAAGGAGGAGCTTTCATAACTTTATTTCCCTGACCGTTTCGAAAAGTTCGTGGCACAGAGTGAAAAGCCGTGTAGCGACTCTCTTGTACCAGATGGTTTGTAAATCGTCCGAGTCTTTCCAGCCAAAACGAAAGATCAACACCCCATTTTGTAGCAATTTCGACATTGCTAGGGAGAATTGTTTCACGAGAATTAGAGCTCACGGTAAGTCATTTTCTAAAAAAGCGGTATGCTCCGAATGCTGAGTAAAAGTAAAGAAACAGAAAGGGAAGCACCGTGTGAAGATAAATTATCATGAGCCTTAACAGAAGTGACCACACGCCGTGTTGTTTCGAACGGCATCGGACACCACGGTACTTTTTATCCCAGGACGTGGAATTCCTCAAATATTGAGCGTCGCAAATGCAAAGGCTAACCATAGAACCGCAGAGGATGTCCGAACTATTGACCTGAGAGAATGGCGGATGAAAGTGAGTGATGTTGATGCATGATGATGATGATGATGATGATGATCATCATCATCATGATCAGAATAAGGACCATGTTGTTGTTGTAATTGTATCTATGAGCATCATGATCTTCAATAGAAGAAGACCGGCAGTACAACTCTGTTGCAGAAGTAGTGTCTAGGAGCGAACGCGAAGTAGCAGTTACTTACTACCTCAAACAAGTCCCTGATCTGCATGAAGAAGTTTGGTTTTCGCAAGCGAATTGGGTACCCTCCAGCCCCTGTCGCCAGAGTAATGCCAGCTCCCGCGATACAAGCCGGCTCTTGCAGCAAAAAACTAGCGAAACCACCTGGCGCACAACCAAAATCAAGGAACTTGAAACCTTTGTTGGCAGTTGTAGAGGTAGTACAACTGGATGAAGAGTCACCATAATTGACGCAAGAACTGCTCGCATTTCCATTTTCACCAGCATGTTCTCGTCCATCCTTTGCTTTTTTGTCCTCCGTACCTCCAGTCTGATCTGTTCCTCCGGTTGCTGTAGTTGTGCTTGTCATTTCTCCACACAACCTTTCCCCCAGTTTCGATACTTCCCAGATTTCGGCCATGACGTGGTAGCATTTCTGAAAATGGATCTCCGTTTCATACTCAGCATTCCGTTTCCTAATCTCAGTAGACGCAGAAGAAACACTGGAAATGGCCGCAGTAACATTTTTAGCAAGTTGGCTAGCTGCAGCCGCTGCTAGAAGATGAGGACCGGTATTGGCCACGCCAGATGAACAGGAAGTCAACCCTGCTAGAAGATGAGGACCGGTATTGGCCACGCCAGATGAAGAACAGGAAGTGCTTGTGGCAGTGGTATTGGAGGAAGATGCTGCCGAAGATGTGCCCCCGGCTATTGCTCCTCTTAGAGCTCACTAGAATCCATATTTTGCCTCATCTGCGTCAACTTTTCTACTTGAAAACAGCTCACAGATAAGCCCGAAGATGGATAAAGTGAGGCCTTAATCCTCCTGTTCCTGGAGTAGTTGTAGAAGAAGCTCCTCCTGTGTGCTCCCCATGAAGAGCTGCTCCAGGATAAGCGTTCTTGTAAGCGGCGATTTGTTGTGCTTGGGCATACCGTTCCTGCAACGCCGCTTGCTCGGTCGTTAAGGCAGACGTGCTAGGCATATAATTTGAGGCTTCTAGTGCTGCAGCTGTGGCTTCTGGTAGATGAACATTGCTCTTATTTGTCGTGTTTGATGTAGCTCCTACTCCTTGTGGTTCGGATGTTGAAAGGTGAGGCACTGAACTGGATGTGGAAGGCTCAAAACAGGGTGCAGAAACATTGAATTGGGTAGTTCTGGTCGAAGCGGAAGGCATGGAGCTGGCGGCTTCGGTGGCGATGGAAGAATCCTATTGTTGAGTGTAGAGTCATTTTTGTTCCCCGATGGTAAGTAGATCATTTTTATTGGAGGAAAGCATTACCGAACAAAAAAGTAAAGTGAGGTTACAAGTTGTTGTTGTACATCCATGTTGATAGGTACTTCTTAAATTCAAAAAGATTCCCCAAACGATCATTATAGGATTCCTGATTCTTACTGCCAAAGTTTCAACGTGCTCTGTCACCGTTCCTGCGACCTCTATCCCTCCAACCAAAGTTCCGCCTCCTGGCACAAACGGGGCCACATCTACATTCCACTCAACTGCTCGGGCAGTCCATGGTTGACTCGTTGGAGCAGCAATAGCAGGTGCATCAGGAGCTGCGCCTTCGACAACTGTAGTTGTTTCTCCAGCAGAAGTTCTTGTCCAGCCCTGTTGTACTAGCTCAACAGGGTCCTCTTGTGAAGGAGCGACGCCAGGTGCAATAGCCACAGGCTCCTTTGCGGGTTCCGTTGCCGTCGAAGGCGGACCCTCATTCACCATCCAGCTTCCGTCCGAATTCCACTGCAAAGCCTGACCGCCAGTAGGCATGACGAGTTCGGTAAAGGACGACGCCATGGTGGAGAACAATGGGAAGAATACGGGAGACCCCGGTGGAGTCGGAGAAGAAGTATAGAAGTGTTCTCAAAAAATTATTCAAAAAATCGTTAACATCCGTTCATTAAATGAAACAAATATTCTCAAGTCACTTTATCGATCTGGATCATCTTCCTAATAGGTTTGTGATAGAAGATAGGAAGTTCCTATGACCTTGTGTTCATACGAACAAGAAAGAGTTTAAGTTTGATCAGGATCTCTTGTTGTGCTAGACTCGTGTAATCAGTAGCAAGTTCTCTCACTTGTTGTAGGAGTCTTCTCGTCTTCTCACTCCTGCGTAGCCTAATGGAGGGTTCCACATCAACATCGTCTCACACAACGAGCCTGATCCTGAGCTATCTTCAGCATGCGCTGGCTGTTCGTTCGCGAAACACAGAGTAACACACTCGAAACCCTTACCATGAATTTGTTTCTACGCGACCTAATGGCTCATGTCTACTCACTGGTTCACATTCCCAAACGACTAGAAGGACGGATTCATCGTGTCTATCAGTGTTCATCTAAGTAGTCGGTCCTCCAGTAAGAATAAGTCGTGTATCTTTACCTTGCTTGGGTGTCTCGAGGTGGAGGTACTACAACCAGAGCTAGTAGAGCGGCCCTCCTTCTTAGGTTCTTTAATGCGCCTTCGTCTATTTGTTTAGACAAAAACAGGCGAGGAAAATTTAATCACCACTACAGTAGTACAGGTGATTCAGGTTACAGATTTAGATTCTCACAACGAGAATGCTGATGCTGAAAATCCTTATTGTGATGAAAATGAACCAGCAACATAAGAAAACGACTGCTCGCTGGCTCGTAAATTTAAGATCTTAGCCTACGTCGCCTGCCGCTACGTACAACAAGACCATAAAAACACGAACGGTTTGTAAAAAACTAAGTACATGATTTATGAAAGATCTTCCTGTATTCTTTCTGACTTCGACGGCCACGACGCCGTGCGGCTGTGGTCGTAGTATTTAATTTTCAATAAGTTCTAAATATTTATAAATTCTATTTTGTTTCGCATGCTCCTCTAATAAATTAGACTAAGTATTGCAAAATCTACCTGCAAAACGTTGTACCACGCACCTATACGTCCCGCTACAAAGCGAGCGGGAGCGCTCTTAAAAAACATAACGACAATTGCCGCAGACGCAGCCACTACTACCATTAGATCCAGATGAAGCTTTCAGAAATACTAACTCAAGCCCAACAACCCTTTCCTAGCCCGTTTTTTAGATTGAAAAAGAGAGACAGCCAAAGGCAACGACGAACGACAAAACACCAAAACCAGAACGAACAGAACAAAACAGGACGCAAAAAAGACCTACAGCCCATGCAGTCCGAGAGCAGGAAAGTGCAAAGAAACTCGGTGCTCGCTGACAGCAGTACCAGGCATGAGAAGAGACATACATGGGTGCATGCTCAGTGAAACTTCTCGGTACGAAAGTCACGGTCAAGAACAAGAGGAACAGAAACACGACGGAGGGAGGAAGGTTGGGCGGAAAAGGCAAGGGCAACGGAACCAATAGGAAGCAGCCACGAGGAGGACCGAGGTAAGAGCAACACAGAATAGACCGATCAAGACACAGAAAAAACGAAACCAAGAACGAAAACGCCATCACGTCACTCAAAATATCAATCAAGCGTACGAATCGAAATCCAAACAAATTCTCATCTCGTGTTCGAAAGACATATTACAGTCACCACCATCAATTATATTTCATCATGTAAAAAAGAAAGAACTTAAAAATTCCAAGCTGAAGCTTTCTCGCTCCTCTGACACCAATAAATACATTATTTAATGGATTCATTTCTAATTCTCTTTAATTTCCGACGTAATAAAGTCTCCACTTGCGACAAACCTTACTTAAAGCTCAGCCTTCAGGGGTCATCATGACTCTGAACGGAAGGGACCCCCTTCAAAGCTCTCCCCTTTCCTTTCGTTTTCCCCTGTTCTCTCAAGGGGTCGCCTCTTCGATCTCAGTGACCCCAATCTCAATGGTGACCATTGAAAGCTGAGCCTTAACTTACTCCACCACACTACCCATCGAGAAAGCACCGCCATCCAGGTCTCCTCCACGTCCCGCCATTGCTAGTGCGTCATATTCATCCCTGCTGAGCCTCAAACGGTATGTGACTGCGATAAATGCCAAACTCGACAAAAAGCCTAAAAAGATTAGACGTTGAGGTTGAGGTTGCTGAAAGAAGTTCTGTTTCATGTTGCTTAGCTTGAAGCTTGATCTTTGGCTTGATGTTTTCTCCGCTCTAGAGAAGGAGAATCAAGGAGGACCACAGACCGATGGATGTCATTTTTCCAGATTGATCTTCATGACTTATATATACAGTGCAGATGGGGAAAGCCTTAAGAAGAAAGTAAACGCCACATGCGAGAGGGCAAATCCGCTAGAGATTCGCTGTAGTACTTCGTCTAATACGGTAGTTGCCATCACCTCTTCGCCGTCTCGGACGTGCTGCACTATCTGCAGAGAGCGGCGACGCCATTGCTCCCCTGAAGAAGTAGGGATTTGGATTTTCTTAGTCGAATGGATTTGGATACTACATGTTGATAGGAACAAGAAGAGGAACAAGAGACTTTATGTAAGTATTATAGAAACGATTTCGATAAAAACTAAACAAGAGAGACTTAGCTGAAGATGGGATTGATAGAAAATGGAGACAAGAGAGACGATTATATTCAAAGGAGGTTGCTTCAGCTGAACCTGAGAATAGATCGACTCTCTCAGAAGTGAGATTGCAGCTGCGACAGGAGTTTGAGTGAAAATACCTGTTCCACAGCTCGTTGAGCAATTTGACCATGAGCCCCACTCCTGCCAGCTACAATAGGTCAACGAGCCGCACGGTTGCTCATTGCAGGCGCGCATCTCACTAGTATCCGATCGTTCACATGGTAAGCCGCCTTTCTTAGGCATTTGGATAACCGTTCTATACCTAAACTGTTCTCCGCCACCGCAGGCAGTGGAACAGCTGCCCCAATTATCCCACTCACCGAGCTCGCAGTCGAAGGAGATGAAGACGAGAGGAGTAGATGGGAGGAACAAAACTTAATTTCAACCAGTGCTAGTACTTGTCGAGCCATCAGTGGAAACTACTACTTACTTACATCAAAGAGAACAAGAAACATTCCACTGCTCTAGTACATCAAGTAGAAACAAGCCAAACCCATCGCATACCACTATAATCACACTCTTGGTAATTGCACTCAGCGACGTCTTCTAAAGACGCAGTGCATGGCTTGCCACCGTTTCTAGGATGTACTCGGATATCGCGATTGCGTGTCTTGAAACCGCCACCACATTTCGAAGAACATCCAGACCAGTCTGACCATTCTGACAGCTTACAGTCTACGGATTGGAACTGCGGACAGACCTTCTCATTGCATGCGACGATCTGTCGTGTTGGATGAAGGGGATGTGAGTTGTAGCGGTTTGATGTTGGAAGGGGATGTAGTGCTCGTATATGCAGTGATGGTAAAAGAGAGAATGTTCTAATGATTGAAAAGCAGAACTACGTTGTTTTCATGAAATGAATTTTGAGTTCCAGTTCTTGGTAGCACGACCTAAACTTACCCAAACGCTACCAACGAGTACGTAGCAAAAGAAATACTTCTTTCAAGCTTCCATCGCATCCTTTGCCACCATTGTCTGGATAGGTCTCGATTCTTCGTGTGCGTTCCTTCACGCCGTTGCAAGGACAGCTGCAGTCTCCCCAGCTGCCCCATTCACTAAACGTACAGTCCTTAACATCGACAAAGCACGCACCCCGATTGCATGCTTCATACTCCTGTCCGAGACCGGCGAGGGGCTTACCTGCATTCATTTGAGTACGGAGATCTTCATGTTCGGAAGGGGGTAACTGAGAGTATCACCTGAAAACAAAACAAAACCTAATTTATTTGCGTCACTCAACCTGATAAACACTTTTTGCATCTAAACCTAAACACTATTTTTCCTGTTGTATTCCTTCGCCTTGTTCCACCAGCACGAGTACTAGAGTCCGTACTCGTAAAAAAGGTTCTACTTCTTCTATGTATCTATAAGGTTCTGAATACCACAGCTATTCGCTGCCACTGCGATTTCCCTACTTCGGAACCTAAACCCGTCTCCGCAGCTAGCCGAGCACAGTGACCATGACGTCCACTCACTCCACTGTGCGTCGATGCAGTGGATGGCTCCAGGACACTCCTCAGTGTTGCATGGTTCTACTTCTGCTGTGACCTTGGCGTCGCAAGGTTTGCCGCCGTACCGAGGACTCTGGAGAACGGTTCGCGTGCGTTCTTTGTGTCCGCCGCCACACGTCTTGGAGCAGTCACCCCACGAACTCCAATCGCCCCATTTCTGTTTTTGGTAGTTTCAAGGGGAAGAATGCTGGAATGGAGGCATTAAATGCCTCTCTACCAAGAATAGAAAAGGTGTTTCTTTTTTCTCTTTTCGGGAAAAGCTGCAATGGAAAAAAGGGTAGCAAAGAGAAGAAAACAATGGGACGCCAGTTGTTTTGTTTACTCCTGTGGTTCAAGTGTCTGTGTCTGTGTCAGTGTCCACAAGAAGACCCAGTAAACATCTTAAAGTACACAATCCACCTGCACCGAGCATTTCTCCGTATTACAGGCTTTCGTTTCCGCTAATTGGAAATCGTCGCACCGCTTCCCGTCAGCACTAGGATAGACTACGATGTCCCGATGTCTGTATTTTTGACCACCGTTGCATTCAGCAGTACAAGCACTCCACTGGGACCAAGCGCCTAATTCGCAATCCCTCGATGACGGTGCTTTCGGACAGGTCTTGAGTTCGTAGCAGTCAGCGACTTCTTCACGTTAGAGATAGAGGTACAATTCGTTCGGATTCCTGATCTTCAGACTCAGAGAATCATCCTGATGTTGTTCTCGTACTACTTCTAGTACCTCTTACTATCTGTAACTTGTTGTTGTATCGTAATTCAGATTTCCCTCACACGGCTTCCCTCCATTGGCACCTTTTTGCAGGACTTTTCGATCTCGGAACATCTGTCCTGGACCGCATGTTGTGCTACAAGCTCCCCAACTATCCCATTCTGAAAGCACGCAGTCACGTGGAGGGTGTTCGCATTCTGGGTGACCTTTGTTTGGTTATGGATCCTCATCATGATGGAGTTGTTAGAATAGAAGTGTCATTAGTAATGATGTTCTTGTTGCTTCAATTTCTATTTGTTTTTGGTATTGTTTCATCATAGTAGTACTTTACTTTTCAAAATCAACCATGCAAGAGCTCAATAGATACAAGTCTTCGTCTCAATCTTCGGTCCCTCGCATGGTGGTCCGCCTTCCGTAGCATGTTTTTGGATAACCCGATGCCTTTCCTGCAGACCTGTGCACGTGCAGGCTCCCCAAGCAGACCAGTTTCCCCACACACATGCAGTGGCGCTACAGCTCTCGGTGTTGCAGGAAGCTACCTGAGAGGGTGAGAGGACGGAACCGGAAAAGTATATATTTATATATAATCTGCATCGTTCAAATGGAAGTCCAAGTCGGTTCTCGTCGATTTTCATCAAAGTGACTACTACACCAGGAGGTATACAACTTATAGGTACTAGAGTAGTCTGCTTCTCGGTCCATCAAAAGAATGTCAACAATAAATATTGGCATATATATTTTTCCTGATGATATACCTCCACATTATCTTTCGCTTCGCATGGTCTTCCGACAGAGTTTGGCATCAACTCGACCTGTCTTTGTCGTGACTTCTCACCGCCACCGCAAGATGTAGAGCACCCGCTCCACTCGTCCCACTCGCTCCATCGGCAATCAATGGGCTCGATCACTTTGGGAAATGAAGAGAGCATGATATGTTGCATCAAGGAAAGGTGGTCACGTACTTACTACGTTTGGAGATGATCATCAGGAAAAATACATATGACAGACTGAGATTATTGAAAGGGATCTAACCCTGGTTGGCTGCTTCATACAGAAACACGCTCATCAGTGGCTATTTTCTCTTCTTAACTTCGGTTTACATTTCTCTTCGTTACAGCTATCGATGACCGTCAACGCTCCATCGCAACCGTCACCCCCATGCAGCGGATATTTCACGATCTTGCGACTCTTTTCTCGGGTACCGCCACAGGGATTAGAAAGAAGCCATTTTTACACCGAGGTACTATGAAATTCAAATTTGAATTATTATTCAAAGCCTCAAAAAGAAGCTTCTACTACTTACAAAAACTGTAAATTCATCAAATCAGAGAAACTGAAACTGAAGATGTAGTGCCATACCACAACTCTTACTGCATTCAGTCCAGTTGCTCCACTCGCTTAATTCGCACTGCACTGGTTCCTTGGGCACAAACTCTGGATTACACGTCTCTTGATCTCCTAAACAGCTTTGCACCTCCTTCAAACCTCCTTCACAGGCTTTTCCATCATGATCTGGATAGGTCTTGATCTGCCGATCCCTTGTCTTGATTCCGTTGCAAGTACTGGATTAGAGGAGTTCAGGTTCACACGACCATAATCCATATTATTGAGGAGGAGGACCGTCTTAGCGTTAGCTACGGATATTTCTCGTTATCCTTACGGGATAGCGGATGCAAGAAAATTCCTGCCGCGTCTCAATGTCTTCAAGATGGATTAACACTAAAAAAGACCTCGTCCTTAACTAGAGCAAGCAGACCACTCAGCCCAATCACCCATCTCGCAGTCTATAGGTTTTTCACAAGCTTGTTCATTACAAGCTGCAACCTCCTGCATATCCTCCGCAGCACAAAGCTGGCCGCCAAATCGAGGAGCGGTCTGGAATGTGGGGGGGAGACATAGTGATGATGGGTCAAGAGGATGGAAGAAAAAGAGGATGAAGGGTTAACATAAACATTGTCCTACAATAACTTATAAATATACGTGGTTGTATCTCATAGTACCTTAATCAATCTACTCCTCTCTTTCTCTCCTCCACCGCACGTTTTTGAGCAACTACCCCATTTTCCCCAATCTTCCCATACGCAGTCGATGCCTTTGCCACATGGTTGCTCGTTGCAGCCTTTGATCTCTACTAGATCTCCTGCACATGGTTTTCCACCGTACATTGGTGGAATATCGACTTTCCGTGTTCGTTCCATCTGCCCTCCGTCACAAGAGTGTGAGCACTCTGACCAGGAGCCCCACTGTTCTAATTCACAGTCGACAGGAGGGACAATTAGAAAAAGGAGTAGTTGTTGTGTAGATTATAAGTTCCAAGTGTGTTAACATTTCTTGTTCTACAAATCGACAGTACTTCGCTCTCGCTCTACGTTTATCTTTCTCCATATCCATCCATAAATGACATGGATCTGTGTTGCAAGCTCGAATTTCAGACATATCACCACTACACGGCTTCCCTGCATTCGCCACCGCTGTTTTTATCCCCCGTGACCGCTTTTGGATACCGCCATCGCAAAGTTGGTCACACTTTCCCCAGTCTGACCAGTCGTCGAAGACCTGTGAGGTGCAAAGAATTGTAGGGACATGTCAGTTGATTTTTCAGCAGTCAACTCTTGCTCAAGGAGTCAAGTTTCGCACCTGAACAAGAAACAATTTTTATCCTATCATCATTCCATTTCCAGCATGCAAGGGTAGGAGGAGGTAAACTAACATCAGGATCAGTCAAATAGTACACAATCCACCGCATCCGGTACGCATTCTGGTGTTCCACATTCCCTCGTCTCGGTTTTCACGCCCTCACATGCCTTACCCCTTGGAGAGTTGTGTTGCGCTATCTCCCGATGCCGTTCTTGTAAGCCAAGACATTAGAAGAAGAGCTCAAGATGGTAGTTCACTCTCTGAGCAATCAGAAGGATCACGAGAAGGAATAGGGTAGAAGTAGAACCAACCATTTGTGGTCTTCAGAATAACTAAGGTCTTCATGACCCTTAATTACACGGACATTCCTCTGGCTCCCACGGACTCCAGTGGTCCCATTCGCAATCCTTCTGCACTGGGGCGTCATCACAGGGCTCGTCTACGTTGCACCTCCTAGCCTCCTTCTGCTCGCCGTGACACCAGGTACTTTTGGCGTCGGCGAATGAAAGGGATAGGGGCAATAGGGGGATGAGGCACTTTTTCCGTCGGGGGATGAAAGTAGGAATGCATAGGGGTCAGATTTATGGGGATGTTACATGTCGTGCATCATGTAATGAAACGTGAGAAAAAAATGGAATTAATATTTGTCGGAAATGGAAAACTGAATATTATGTCGTAACTCCTTCTTGTCCGCAGTTGTTGACGCTGCGAAGGTGAGCAGCAGTGTCGACCGAAGTCGGGGGCCCCGTCGCCGGCCCATGTTTATATTCAAAGGAAACGGATGATGGCTTCAAAGCTACTCTGGTACTCTGTCTTATTTTCTTGAGTTGTGAGTTTCTCTCTCATCCGGCTACTTCGGTTCCAGCATATAGCTTAGGTTAGGTAGGTTAGGTTGGGGCCTACCATCCGATGTGGTAGACTTAAGCGGCTGCTGAAGAGCCTGGCAAACGTGCTGCAGTACAAGTTGCTTACTCTAGCCTATTTCAAACCTGGAAAAAATGCATGGAAAAGAAGAAACACCGATCACTGCCACTGAAGGACGTGTAGTTGCGAGTTTCTCTCTCATCCGGCTACTTCGGTTCCAGCATATAGCCTGAGTTGCAGTGGCCTGCAAGGCTAATATTGAATCTTGCTGACCTTTGCTTGGTGTACTATAATTTGGTCCATTTCTAGACAGCAAAAATTTCTTATCTCATCTGTCGTCTTAAGAATCCCATCCAGAGTCTGCCAGATGTTGAAAGTAGGTGAACAAGAATGAAATAGCAAAAAAAAATGGTTTGAAACAGGAAAATTGAAGGCCCAACAGCGATTCTGAAGTACGAGAGGGCGGCCCAACAGCTATTCTGTGGTATCGTGCCCCATAGCCTCTACTTCAGAATCGAGGGCTACGACACAGGATGGGTTCGTTGTGATTAGTGAGGATCATGACAGTAGTCGAGTACAGATCAACATTAGCAAAGAGGATAATAGATCCTACGATGGATATATTTGCTCCTCGAAGTTCTGACATTATGAAAATTATGCATGTGATAGTTCATTGCTTTTTTCTCGTCGAATCGGGTGTATATCTACTTATCAATAGCCAGAAGCGTTTTATGTAATCTTCTCCCTTCATGAGGACAAGAGAGCAACAGATTAAGATTGAACTACTTATAGATACATCATTTCTGCATGGAGCACGGAGCACCTGCTAGGACTACTACCTGCTACGATGACATTCTGCTACGATGACATCCTCTGCTCATACATTGTCTTCTGGTTTCTCAACATCAGCGGTTATCACTTTTTAGTTTTACGTACCCTCTAATAATACCAATAACAATACCTCAACCCAGCTTAATAACGAGTATAGACAAAGACAAACAATAACAAAAGCGAGAGTTGTTAATCTGATGTGTTACGAAAAGCAGTACTTAATTTTACGAAAAGACGACTAAGCAAGCTGTTTTGACTTCAACTTGAACCTCCGATTTCTTCATCGAGTTGTAGTAGACTGAGCTACTTGTACTTCAACAAAAACTTACTACTCTACCATCTTAATCCCTTACTCAATGAACGGTTCATGTCCTTCGACCGGCGTAAACATTTCTATGCCCTCACCTGTTGTACCAAGCGCTCCACCACGCAACGAGGATCGCCTGACGCCTGCGTAGGCCAGTGCCAAAATAGCCACGCTCATAGCCATACCGCTGAAGAAGGCGAGGAGAGTAGAGTCCAGCTTGGAGGATGTCGCAGACATCAAAGAACCACTACTAGATCCAAAGAGTTGGGACAAAAGGCCTGTCACTAAAACGTCTTCGGAATTGTACGGCGATGTGGTAAGGGACAGCTTCCTGTTTTTTTTTTGGGGGGTGAGGATCTATTTATATTTTGGGAGACAAGGAAATCGTAGTATGTGCATCATGAGTAAGAAGATTATAGGACTTGATTCTTTTCCAAGAGAAGCATGGTCTTCGTGCCCGTATGTAAAAGAACTACAGTTCTTCTACTATGTTCCAGTCGTGGCTTAAGTATTCATGTACCTAGTCAGCTAGAACCTTAGTTAGCTAAAACAGCACGTACCTGCTTCTGATCTTCTGTCCAGGTCCGCACGTTGTGGTGCACTCCGAAAATGGAGACCACTCTTCCCAGGCACAATACTGCAGCTCGCCACAGGGTTGCTCATTGCAGGCTTCCACTTCGACTGAAGTCTTGCTGTCGCACGGGTTGCCTCCGTTTTTGGGCATCGTAGGTTAGAGCTCACAATAGTTAACTCATCTTTCACGGCCTTACAACTCTGAGATGAACCCCGCAGGAGGAAACTGAGAAAGAACATACAAACCTACAACTCTGACATGAACCCCGCCGGAGGAAACTGAGAAAGAACATACTCTGTGAAGACCGTGAAGACGAGTTACTACAAATAAGACTTAAGTAGAGATATGACGGAAACGACTCCTCTCACCGCTACCGCACTGGACGGAACAGGCGCCCCACGACTGCCATTCACCCCACAAGCAGTCGACTGCATCAGCGCACTTGAATTGGTTGCAGCCTTGCACTTGTGAGAGAGAGCCCTCGCATGCCTTGCCTGTTGTGTTTGATGGATGTTTCTGTTCGTTGGTGCCAATAATGTTTGGAGGATTATAGGCAATGAATCACGATTGATGTTATAATAAGCAGAAGGTGCAGGTCAGGATGAAATGAATGCTCAAGAAGATGACATGTTGAGTTTTTAATTGGGCATGAAGAGGCATGTTGTTGAGTTTCTAATTGTACTTGATGATATTGGGCATGACGAGATCATCAAGTAGTACCATTCCCACTAGGTTGCGTTGTAATCTCCCGTGTGCGAACTTGGGTGCCACCTTCGCACTCGCTAGAGCAATCGGACCAATAACTCCACTCGGACAACACGCAGTCTGCAGGTGGGTGTTTGCAAGCTTCACCCCACTCACTATAACCATCTCCAGGGACATTGCAAGACGTGATCTGATGTGGAATTTTTGGGACAGAATATTCGTGATGCTGAAGAACCCCAAGGTGCTCCTGGTCGGTGTCAAAAATATGGGCTAAGACAGGACGTATGTAAGAAGTCGTTGTACCTCCTTCGTCGATCCAGAGCATGCTTTTCCGCCTCCACTTGCAGTTGTGGTGATCATTCGTGTCCTATCCTTCACGCCGTTGCACTCTGCGTCGCAGTCACCATAGGACGTCCACTCTGAAAACATGCAATCGACTGCTTCGCTACTACACTCTTGCTCGTTGCACTTCTTGTACTCCTGAGCAAGACCTTCAAGCTCTCTCCCACAGTGGTTGGGAGCGATGGCAATGGGGGTTAGAGGGATTGTATTGACTCCAATGAGATTTCTTCAATTGAGAAGAACAGCTCCTATTTCATACTTTCAACTTCATCTTCAACAAATGCAGTTGAACCACAACAGAATAAGTATCCCGACATTCTCCTCTAAGTGCATCCTCATCTCCAATCATAAAGCTCTCGATCTGAACGTGTAACCCTGTCCGCAACTAGCGCTGCAGGGTGACCACTCGCTAAAGGGTTCCCACTCGCCATCAATGCAACCGACACCGCAATGCTGCGTAGAACAAGGAGCCACTTCAGATTTGGCACGAGCTTCACAGAGCTTACCTGATGTTGTGTTGAGGGTTGTTGATTGGAGTGACGTCGGACGCCGGGGATGCAAAAAATACAACCTATGTATAGAAGACGAGGCTGCCGTTTGTTACTGTTCACGAGCCTACAACGCTACGAAACGAAAGTTCCATTTTTCATGAAGCCAGAAGTTAGAAATGAGACCTCCATTTCTTGGTGAGATGGCAATGTTGCGGTCGCGGGTCTTCTGGCCTCCATCGCAAGAAACGGAGCAATCTGACCACGGCGCCCACTCGCCCCAAATGTTAGAGCAGGTGAGTTTATGGCTGGGCTGTCATCCACAGGAGTACTTCCAAGAACCATGTTCTGTCGTAGCAAAACGAGAGGAACCACATCGGCCACAAGCGACTCGTCCTAGTGCAGATTTAATATAGAGAGCTTCTGCTCAATATTTTCATCAAGCCGTTGAAATAAATAGCGGTCACGACTACAGGGTCCACCTCACAAAACAATTCTAAGAACTTCTTTGTTTCAACATAAAAACGCAATCAATTGGATCTTTGCATGGTGCAGTCCCACAAGGCTCGACCTGCTCCAACGGAAAGTCGCAAGGGTTACCGCCAGCTGCTGCGTGCTGAATAATCTTACGTTTCCTGGTTTGGACGCCACCATCACAACTCGCTGTGCAGGAGGACCAACTTGACCATTCCGCTGCTTCGCAGTCGATCGGTACCGAACAGACCTCAGTGTTGCACGGTCGTGTTTCCTTCATAATATCGTTTTCGCAAGTCTTACCACCGTTTTTGGCTTCTGTGCGTTAAAGCTGTCAGAACCAGAAGTAGTTGCAATTTTCATTATAAGTACGTGTCTTAATGTTAATGCCTAGTATTCGGTTTGGACAAGAAACTCGGTGTTGGTTCTTCTATCGGGCACCTGACACTGGGTCAGTTTTCTGATTCTCCTGATTACACAATGTTTAAAAACCATGAATAATTCTATTTTTGCCACGTAGACCAGCCTTAATTGAGGATGCCTCTCGTCCTGTACGTCTGTCCCCCGCCGCACGCTGAAGTGCATTGAGACCAGTCATCCCACTCAGAGAGCACACAGTCTGCCGGTTCCTTAGTACAATCTGGTTCACAGACTTGCGTCTCGATCTTGCTGCCCGTACAAAGCTTACCTTCTCCTTCTTGGTGGACGGCGATGGACCTGGAGGTAGTTGTAGGGTATGTAGTCGGTAAGGTCAGGTAGAAGTAGGTAGGAGTAGGAGAGGATCTTCATGCTTGGATTTTTTCGTAATGAATGGATCCTGTTGTTGAATGATTTTTGGCATGTTAACATGTACGTAGGCAAACTTGGATGGAAAAGATAGAAAATGGAAGAAAAAACAAAAAGGACGACAATAGTACCTGTGTCTTTCTGACAATCCCGTGCAAGTACAGGCGCCCCATGCTGACCACTCTCCCCACTTACAGTTGACGGCAAGACAGGGCTGAGTGTTACATTCCTTGAGCTCCATAGAGGTCTTGTGGCCGTCTGGATGGGTGCAAGGCTCGCCATACTCGTTAGGCATCTTCGGGAATTAGAAAGGAAGGACATAAGGGGAGAAAATTTTGTTCTTTTGGGTTTTCTTTTGGTGACTCAACGAATTGCTACTGGCAGTTTTTTTCTTCTATGAATGTGCGATTGTATCTGATTTTGTTCAGAAACATCACTTTTGATTTATTGGCATCGATCCCTAGATAGTGATAGTACAAGTCCTTTATTCAGAAAGAAGAAGAACACAATCTTCGTTCCTCGATCATAAATAACCTGCCTTTCTCGCACCATCTGACCGCCACCACAGCTGACGGAGCAGGCACCCCAAGTGTCCCAGTTGCTCCATTCACAGTTCTTCCGCGTAACCTCCTTCTTTGGCAACTCACATACTGCGGCATTACATCCGCGGATCTCCTTCAGGTCACCTTGTGTGGTGGACGAGGGCCTTGGATGACTGGTCTCTTTTTTTGTCAGTTCTGGGAGGCGTGGTTCTTGGGGTGCTAGTAGTGATCGGATCATGTTTCGAATCATTTCCTTAGTAGAAGTGGAGTAGTTGCTTTTCACCTATGAATGAGTACTCCTCTGACTCGTCTTACTCTTACTCACTGAATTTTTTTCAAAAAGAAGAGATTCAACAAATCAGGCCAGCATTAGTACCATGGCAAATGGCTCCTCCATATTTGGCTTGCTGGACAACAAGGCGACTCCTAGTCTGTTCGCCTCCACCGCAGGTTGCAGAACACGTCGCCCAATCTCCCCAATCACCTAGCTTGCAGTCAATTGGTGGTGCTGCTGTTGTCGTTGGTGGTGTTAGAGAGAGGAATGTTGTTTGGTTGGTGCTAGTGGTGGAAGAGGTTGTACAACTACTCTTCATAGAAGTATTCATGTTCAATCACAGAACAATTACAAGAATGACAACTATGAGGTAGTTGGAAATATAATCAAATTGCTTTGACTCCTTATTATTCTCACATCGTTCTTGTGCTGTAGAGAAACAAAGAGCAGTAGGTAGTCGTGGTTCAGATTGATCAACATTTTTCTAGTACTAGAACGAAAATAGTGGCCTTAAAGGCAAACAGCTTTCCACGTTGCACGCTTGCACTTGCTTCAAACTGCCGTTGCAAGGCATGCCGCCTTTTGCTGGGTAAGTCTCAATGAATCTTACACGTGCATGGATTCCGTTGCAGCTGCAACTACAGTCGTCCCATGAGGACCACTCTGACAATGCGCAATCCACTGGTGTGTCGCATGGCTCCTCATTACAGGCTGCTACTTCGCTCATTTCCGAGGATTAGAAGGTTAAAGTTGTCTGTGGGCATATACAACAAATTACAAAGACAATTGCCGCATATACAACAAATTCGAAACCAGTCGTCGTGGATCAAGAAGTAGATCGATGATAGAAATAAATCTGAAACTAAATTTACATCACTAAACCAAAGTCAAAGCCAACGCGAACGCTTATTCGCATTCCATAATTGGCAGTACACAGCTGTCCTCCTGCCAATGGTGCGACGGAAATTTGCCTACTTCTGGTTTTTTCTCCGCCATTGCATGACTTTGAACATGCTGACCAGGAATTCCAATCGCCCCATACGCAGTCTACAGGTTGCTGACATACCTGCTCATTGCACCCACGCATTTCCACCAAGGGGTCTCTGCAAGGCTCACCACCGAACTTAGCGGCAGACTCGATTGACCTGGTTGTGCTAGTGGGACTAAAGAAGAAACGAGGTTGTGGGTAGCTCGAGGGGGTAGAGAAGAAGCAAGGCTGTAGGGGGGATAAACTTAAACAGGGCGAGAAAGGGTTGTAACTAAGTAGTAGTGCCCTTCAACTCACTAGCACCAGAGTCTCCACTAGAGGCACCGAGTGTTGTTGTTTTGCATTTCACGACTCGTTATGGACAAACGATAACGAAGGGGAAGGGATGAGATTATGACTAACCCATAATGATAAATTATTTCTATTGACTAGTGCGGTGCGTGCTGGGTGCATTGAGATAGAGATCGAGAAAGTTCATGGGATGTAGGTAGCGAACACCATGGGTAGTAGGTAGCGAACACCAAAAGAGCCGCCAGGCCGGTCTAGCAGAGGACTACTAACGAAGGGGAAGGGATGAGGTTATGGACAAACGATAACGAAGGGGAAGGGATGAGGTTAACAGATTATGATAAATCATTTCTATGTATAACTCATGAAGTCGGGAGTAAGTAGATTCACTTTCAGGGGAACAGGTGCGGTATAAAGCAGCACCAGTCTCACCGCACCATCAACCATCATATTGGAGGTTTGAATTTCCTACTATACCTCGTCCTTTCTTGTTGTCCCCCATCGCAACTTTTACTGCACTCGCCCCATGAGCCCCAGTCGGCGAGCACGCAGTCTGCGGTCGTGTGACACTTTTGCATGTTACAAGCCTTGGTCTCAGATAAGCCACCTTCACAGGGCTTGCCCCCATAGGCCGGCTCCTTAACGATCTCACGGGTTCGGGATCTATGATGTGTTGGGAGATCGATCATCATAATGTTGGTGTGATGAAGGTTATATAATCTTCACGTGGTTGGTATATTTATTAGAATGTGAATGGACGTTTAACGACGATAAGAAAAAGGTTGAAGAGACATCACAGCTAAACCACAAGAATAGAAAACAGAATTACGTTTGTCCGCCATCGCATTCTTTATCACATGTAGACCAGCTTCCCCATTCTGATAGACGACAATCAATGGGATCCTTGACGCAGTCTGGTGAGCACGCCCGTGTCTCCACTTTAGGCCCCTCACAGGGCTTTCCGCACTCATTGTTGCTGGCTGCGATTGACCTGTCGAGAAGTGCATCGCGCTGGGTGTTCTAGGTCTTTGATAACCACATTCTTGATGCTGTATTTACACGAAAAAGGACGAAATCATGATCTAGTTTTACATTATCAATGATCATAGATGTTAGTTTTACATCATCAATCCTTCAGCTTCACACGACCATCTTCACCATGACGATGACCAAGACCACATTCATGATGTTCTAAATAACCACTACAATTAATACATAGTAGGAAACGAATCAGAGTACAACGTACCTATGCCTTTCCATCAACCCCTCGCATGTACAAGCGCCAAATGAGCTCCAAGATTCCCATTCGCAATCCTGAGGATAACAGCTATCACAGGCCACATTGCCACAGTCTGCGACCTCTTTTTCGGTACCCTCGCATTTCAGGTTCTTCGTGGGGGGAATGAAAGAGGTCGCGAGTAGAAGTAGAAAAGAGTAAGAAGATTGTTGGAGAAAAAAAAATTGAAGAAGAAAAGGAGGAATAATTGCTTCTTGAATGAAAGATGCATGAGGCGGGTTCTCCACAGGGGCCTTTGAGATTTCTGGGGCCTGCGGCGGACCGCAGGACTCAGCAGTGTAAGAGTCCTGAAGTCCGCGGCGGACATGAGACTTTTTCAGTCCCGTGGTCTCAGAAACGCCGGAGACTGGTTTCGCGGAGGAGAGTCCGGAGAAAGCCCTTCGAGTGCCTTTTTCTATTACTATCGCAGTCGCAACTGGTTCTAATCTAGGGAGCAAAGTCCTCCAGTTAGTCCTACGGAGAAATTTCCGCTGTCTCAGATGAAGTAGAAACGCAAGTCATGAAAAAAGTATTGAAGAAGAAGAAAAGGAGGAATTGATATGAATGGTTCAAAGATAGATGACATATTAAGGGTAGGTTTCAGTTTCTCTATGTCATCGAGAGTGCAAAGAAATGACTCCACCGGTTCGGTTTCGATGAGGTCCAGAGGACTGTATCGTAAACTCATTCGAGTAGAGCAAGTTGTACTACATACTTCAGTAAATCCAGTGAAAGAACAACCATAAATTTTGAATCCGACAGGACAGGAGTTGCGGTACTCCCGAACAGGAGGATTGCCCTCCAATGCCGTTTAGCCATAGTATAAGAGATATGAACTGGAAGACAAAATGAATAAAGACACGAGATACACCTCCACTTTTCCTTTATAGTTCGTTGAAGTTTTTGATGATTGATTCACATGAAATGGTAGATGATCATGACAAAAAAACTTCTGTGCTATCACTAGCCCTTGCACTTCTTCTTATTCACAAATCTTTTTTCTGCTGTCGTTCCCATCACTCGAATATAGACTCACACTCAGAGACGAATCCAGAGACTCAACTTTGTTCACAGAGTCTCTCCCTCTCTCTCCCTCCTGTGTACTTCCAATATCTTTTAGTCTCGTCTACCTTTCTCTGCGCAAGAACCTTACAGCATGGTGTTAGTGTGTGCTGACCCCACAGCGGCTCCCAAACAAAGGTCGTTCACTGCGTACCTACACGGTACAGAAATAGCCAATATTCCTACTCAACAAATCAATTGGCGCAAAGGATTCTACGAAGAGCATCTTGTTCTGCTTTGAAGCCTCATGTAATGCGGAATCATTTTTACATAGAAGGAGCTCTAGCTAACATCATCTCTATCGGCCCTTATTCCTTATCTTTTCATCTTCATGTGCTCAGCTAGCAACTATGCACAAGAATAAAGAACAAAATGAAGATGTTGACGTTGAGTAGTTGTTTGTTACAGGTAGTACAGCAATGATCATATTTTTGCTTTCTGTTTTGATGCTAAGCTTCATTAATTTTGATTATATTGCGTTTTCAATCGTATTTCGATTTCTTCAATCTATAGTATATTAAGTTCTTCAATTATATCGCTTCATGTCGTGAATCATACATTTAATACTTTTACATCACGAATCAGGTTCAATAACTGCACGTACACATCTCAGCAGCTCCGGAAATTCTTATCATTGATTCTATTAACGCCTTGATATCAACGCATGCGGCTGTATGGTGCTGGTATCCAGTAGCCTGAGTTCGATCGCAAGGATTCGCTTCTTGCTTTCCCTCATGATCGAAATATTCAGTTCTAAACCAAGGCCCGGATGACCCGTACAACCGCAATGCACCAGCCACACCTTTTTTCTTTGTGCTGGTCTTCAAATACGTATCTGGACTTCAAATACTTACCGTCCGCAGCATGATTCATCTTTCGGACAGCACTCTTTCTCCGTTAAGGCAAGCAGCTCCTTCTTCCACATCTGTTAAAGATAGCTTTTCACTATCCCGAGTCGAGTGGGTTACCCTCTTTGTCCCTTACTTTCCCCTATAGAAATCGAAAAGGACCCCACTCAGCATAGTCCACATGGGATAGTGATAAACTACCCTTAAATCTGGAGATATTCAGTGTAGTCGCCCTTTTTCTCCGCTTCAATCTTTCTCACCAACTTTCCCATCGCCTTCTTGAATTTCTTCCTTTCGATCTTCTCCTTCATTAGAAGATAAGCTCAAACAAGCGAAAATTTCAATGAATCCAACGAAGAAGGAAACAAGGGAGTCGAAACTGTGCTGTCTGTGTATCTACTACATTATTTTCCAATCCTAAGAAGAACTACGCCATCGTGTTGTACCTGTCTACTACTACTTCTTGCTTCCATTTTCTCACGACCATCGTCTAAAAAAAGTGAGAATGAAATGACGTGAATTTTTGCATTGAGCCGTAATTTCAGCTTTTCCTCTTCAACGCCCGGACAAGCCTCCTTAATGTTGCGCACGTCCTCTTTGCACTTCTGGTCCTTAAACACCCCCACGATGTCCTTTCTGATTAGAAGAAGAATTGGATTGGATAGGGCAGGAATAATTCATGCATTAATTTCCACGGGGTAAGCCTGTATCCCCAGGCGGATATGCGCCGCCACAGAAGGCGCTGGAGTTCGCTGACGAGGTTCTCTCCAGCAGCTATTGTGACAGTGCCTGCGGCACTTCATCACTCTATAATAACTAGAAATGGGGGGCTAAACTTCTAGTTCTAACGCATAAAAAACGCTCCAACTCCTCTTGGATATGCGCCTCACTTCCCGGAGAATGCGGCTTATGCTTGTGGTTGATCATGATCCCCTCCACAGAGACGGCTGCAACTGCGCACACCTTCACAAAACGCGACATCTTTCCCAATCCTACTTTTGAAGTATAACGCTGTGGAACTCAACTGACGAAGTGAATCTATTCGGCAAGTTGCCTATTAAGATTTCCCTGACTCTTTCTAGTACGCGCTATGTGGAACTAACAAATTGAAAATCTTGGTTTCTCTAATTCTTCTATGTATCTGTAATATTTTGTGGAATTTGGGATGAGAGTTCTACTTATGAACTTCTTAGCGGGAACTTAAGTCGAGTTGAATCTTTCAATTTCTCTGCTGTTGTGACGAGGATAATAGAGATGCTAAACTTACAATGTTGTTGACGACAGAACAAGAACAAGTAGTCAGTGATTATTTCTCATCATACGTTATTCTTAGCATAGCGCTCCAAAGAGATCACCGCTCCATGAAGAAGATCTACCAGGTGGAAATAAATCAGATTATAATAGCACTCTCAAACGACTGTCGAATAAATTCTCCCCATAAAATAGACAGCCTTTGATGCAAACAGAAAATGTCTCACTCCCCAGATTCAGGTGTCTAGACAGGTAAAATCTACCCTCTCAATACTTGCTCTCTTCACAGAATCAGAATCCATCACAGAACGACTGGAGTGACAGAGGAATCTTTCTCGATCTGTCGAGAACCAGAGTTGTGTACTAGACATATCTCCTGTTTCTCAAGTAAGCGTGAGACAGGACATGGAAACGTCAACACTTACTTGCTTCCTTAGAAGCATAATCCTCCTTAAGTGGGATCGTTTCTCTTGAAACTCTTGTTCTTTTTCAATGGCGTGGTGCGATCCGCAAACAAGGAAATTTGTTTCTGACTGATTCCAATGGTTCTGTCACTGTGAGAACATCATCATCAGTGCGTCTCAAGTAGTCATCTTCTCACTATAGCATGATCTACGAAGTCTAGAATCGTCGTACCCTAGTGGTGGACGAAGATCACACTGCTGGGTACAGGAAGCAAAATTGATGAAACTACATTGCAAGGTTGAGATTATTATGTGCTCCTGTTAGTTTGTCAAATTAGCAGCAAAAAGGACCATCAACAGCACCATAACGGGTTTTGGCCGTCATTCGTCATGTCCACACCCAGCACTGGGGTGACTGTCTGAGATCCCACCTTGTACAACCTTGTACAACATAGTCGAACAACAACGAGGACCGCACTGGACCTCTTCAAGAGCCAGCACCCCAACCCCATCCCCCCGCATCCACATTATTCCAGAAGGTCGCGAACTAGTACTTTCATTGTTGCACGGGAAAAGCCTAGAATTGTAGAGGTGAAAACTAACCGGTTGTTTTACTTAGTGCTTTGAGCGCTTTTATTGAATTTCTTCTACCACCAGTACTTCTATTGAATTTCTTCTACCACCTCAACTGCTTCCTCTCCGGACTCCAGCAGAACGAAGATAAACACAAATACTCCCGCGAGAACGACATACTTGGTCACTGCGCTCGCTCCCGATGCGTCTATGAATGGTACTACTGAGTCTGAGGTTCTTGAGATCACGTACAAGTAGAAGTAAGACGAGATGAAGCTCAAGTACTTATATGGCAACGAGTCAGATGGGAACCAATTTTGGTCATGATATCGTATAGACTTAGACACCCTGTTCTTAGGTCTAGTCCCCTTGTTCGTCCTTCCCTATTTACGCGCTGCAATGAAGATGAACATGTACTACGTGTCCCACGTTTTCGTTTAAATTTACTTTGGATGGATGGACTAACCTAGAATTTATGAGGGAAAAGGAATTATCATAAATGTTGAGCTTGCTAGCAACTTTTCTTCTTTCGAATGCGCCAATCCCGTGCCTTCCGTACAATTGCTACCTCCATGGATGGTACAATTCTTGCCACGTGCTGGCTTTCTTAGAAGAGTTGTTGCTTAAAACTTATTTTCGCCCTTATAACAGAGCAATTTATAAGGTTGCACAGCTCGCATGGCATGGAGTGCATGGATCACATGGAGTAGCATGGAGCTAAAGGGGGAGCTTCTTGCGCCCCTTAAAGCTCTGCGCTCCATGCAGTCCATGCTACTCCATGCACCATGCGTGCTATAAACTACTCTGTTATAAATATTCTTAGAAGTTCAACATTTATTATTGTTGTAGTGCCCTTGATCTGAGTGCAAACATGAAGATACATACATCGCGTCTCGAATGACCGTATAAAAATTTAATCTTTGGGTACTAGTTATACGATCCAATCCAAATGATCAATGCAACCAACTGATACAAGAACATAGTCTATGTTACTAGCAAACAAGGAGCTTATTTACCAGGACCTACGACCGGAGCTTAACATTCCACCGGAACAAGTATAGCAAACCTTTTCGAGGCATTCGATTTTGCCATCTAGGTCTTGCAAAAAGTTCCCATCTTCATCCCGACAAGTACACGTGGCCTCCTCTTCTCGCTGTTCTTGTTCTAGAAGGTGTTCTAGTGCTCCCCTTCCTGGAGTTTTTCCTAGAGGAGTTCTGACTGAAGAAGAAGGTGCACCAGCTGCACCTGCTCTATTACTATTTGCTGTATCAGTATCATTTTCGCCGACCACGAAAGAGGTTGTAGAGGACCCTAGTTCTGGATCATAGAAGTGATATCCCTCTTTCACGCACTCGCACCTCTTCGTCTCCACATTGAAGTCAAAATCCACGAAGCAAGCGGCGTATGAAGAAAGGAGTACAGGATGAAGTTCCGCGGCACAAGTTCTCCAGTAACCCTCTAGTAAACTTCTGGGAGCTCCTTCTATGTTGGTTGATTGATTGATGTGCCTGACAAGATCAAGAGGTAACTTGATTGATGTTTTTATAATAAACAAGAGTTTGGTTTTATCATGTTGCACTTGTAGATGCTCTGCAGTTATATTTCCCCTCTAATCAGGTAGATGACACGTTCGTTCGCGAAAAGGATTTCAAGTTCATAAGTTAGGGTCATTCGGATTCGAAAGATCTGTCGGTTGTGCACAGTCCTCACCACCATGCGTCGGACAAGCTGTTTTCAACGCAGGTTTGCCGTACTTGCAGGAGGAGCAGACATGTGTTAGAGACGAAGAGGAGAAGGAGGAGAAGGAGGAGGAGGAGGAGAAGGAGGAGAAGGATGATGGTGAACTCCAACGGTTGTGGTTCGTTCCTAAAGAACTTCAAATACGGCCGTTAGGAGGCATCTAATGATCGTGTTTCATCGAGCTACTGTAGCACTTTGGAAGAAGTTCCTAGTCATACCTTATCGATACAGACATGCTGTGATTTGAGGACTCTTCCGTCTTGATCGCGGCATGCGCAAGGCTGGTTTACATCACTCGGCTCATACCGAAAGCTTGCTGGGCAGGTGCACGTCGCTGGCGTTGCTGACGCATCATAGATGAACGGCTCAGGACAGGTACAAGTCCCGGCATTGGAGTCAGGGATTAGAAACACGAAGCAGGAGAAGGACAGGCTTACAGGCTTTGGTATGCAACTGTCATGCCATGGTGCCTCTTTTGTAGCTATTCTTAGTGTCTACTTATGAGGCCATCCAGTCTGACAGTACAACCTCTATTGGAGAGCCATCCTACCGGTTATATTGAAGTTGAAGGTTACAACAGACACTAACTTAGAAGAGAGAGAACAGGCACAGAGAAGCCCTGGTCTTGGACTTCTTGGCGGAGATTGATTCCAATTACAAGAAGCATAAGACGAAGGTGAAGTCAACAGGACAAGGACAAAGAACTCTCCGTCCTCCTGGTATTCATTGCTGGGCTTTTTTACCGCCTTAAAAAAACGAAATTCGTTCCATCGCAGACACATCGCTTGTTCTTCAAATTGAAAGGCTTATTGCACGACTTGCAGTCTGGCCCGCCATGGGAAACGCAGCCCGTTCCAGTCTCTCCCGTCCCATATTCACAAGCACTGCACGACTTCTTGATGCAATTAGTTTCGTCCTCTATTAGAGTGTGAATGTGGATGTGGTGCCTACGACCTAGGGAGTAGAAGCGCAGGACTAGAAGAGATTTCTCTATTAGAATGAGAACGGTAGACTCCTTGAGAGTAGACTGGTCTCACCTGGTCCAAGGTTCCATTCACCTGGTCCTTGAGAGTAGAAGACTGCTCACAACAATTATGACTTCACGATCATACTCTAAAAATAATGACTCCACCCAAGACAACAAGATGACTGCTGTTTGACTATAGAGAATCTTGACGAGAGAGAACAACAAGAACGCCTTAAACTGACAGGATGACGATGCTAGTCGATTCGGACAGGCCCTACGACTTCCCGGAATCTCCTTTAAACTTACATACTACGCACAACTTACTATCTGACTCTGACACGTACTAGAAAAAGCCATAACACTAGAACATTCCCATCTGAGTTTCTGCATTGGCATTTTTCTTCTCCAGAATTGTAGTGGAAGTTCGCCTTGTCGCATACGCATTTTTTGTTGCCCGTATGCCTACATTAGCACTTCTAGAGCCCTTCACGACTTCTATCCACTTGGATTTGCCTTTTTTGTCTTCAGTTTCGTCTTTCGTTCCTGTTAGCTTAAGATTTCCCATGACATCATTCTGCAGGGAAACCCTCTTGACGCCTCAGATTTCCATTCATTTTTAACAACGTAGAAGATGAACCCTTGATTTCTCTTTCTACTAACTTAAAAATCTTAATAAATGTGGTGGAGCCGACCTAACTAGAAAAAAGACAGACCAGAGGAAGACTTAATCTTAATAAAGGAAAACCGCTCGCACAGCATACGCTGAGTCCAAATGGACTAAGATAGTGATATTAAGCCAGAAGCCTTAAGTAAAATGCTCATTGCAGGACTCACAGGCGTCACCTCCTTGTGATGGGCACTCTTTTTCCTTCGCAGCTACGCCATTGCTATTAGAACACTAAGTACAGGAAAGGATAGGATAGGATAGGATAAGCCGCCTTTTCTACCACGTAGACGTAATATCAACAATTTTGTTCTACTTGAGGCAACTTAGTAGACTTTAGCTGACGTAATATATAACGACCTGCTTCTAGTTTCTGTATCAAGAACTAGTACCACGGATGTTTTCTCTATTGTATTCATTCTCGTTGTGCACCAGGACCAGAAGCACCTGTTCTACAATATTGTAAAAATATAGATAGAAACTCAAACTCATCTTCCACTTCCCATAATCTGGCATCCACTACAGAGCTTTTCGACGCAATTTCCGTCTACGAGTGCCCGACCATCTGAACTTCGACAGAGACACTGACCATCGTTCTAGGTTAGAAGTGCTATCTTTATGTGATGGCGTTACTCGATTCGGATTGGACCTACGACTTCCTCTTCCCTGAGTCTTCTTCGACTCACAGTAGAGAGATGAGCATGAAATTGTGAGTAGCCTCTCATCGCGACACCAACTACAGGTCGTTCCCCCTCTACTTATAATTGGGTGCGCCCCTCCTCCTTAAGCGACACCTACCCGATCTATCAAGTACAACAGGTGGACAACTATACCTTTACTTCTTCACCCGACAAAGAACAAGCACGAGATAGTGAAAAAGAAAAACTACTATAAAGCTGCCTTAAGTCTGTTGTGGTGGAGCTGTCCTAACTAGGAAAACGCACAAAAGTACTTAAATAGAAGATATACATATTCATAGGAAATAAGCTGCCTTAAGTTGATGTGAAAATTTTTGTCGCAAGAGGCGCATTTACTTCGATAACGATCATCTGGGCACGCAGTGCCCTGAGCCGCAACCCCATACTGGCAAGAATTGCATACACGAAGTACGCAGTTACCGTTTTTCATTAGAGAAGAATTGCAGACACGATGAAGTCTACGCAGTTACCGTTTTATATAATTACTTAGCAGAGAAGTTCTGGGCTCTTCTCACGATCTCTTCTCACGATGATCCTAGTATCTTGTGATCATGAATCTGCACAGGAGGACAGCTGCAGCTGGCGCTTCTATATCATCATACTGCACCCCAGACGACCATACTAAGCCATCGGTGGATGATGCATTTCCTGCGGTTGTAAAAACGGCCGAGGAAGCCGAAGTTGAACTATTGAACTATTGAACTAGTTCAATTATATAAACTGTTGAGAGCCGTAAAAAACCTATGTATCTATAAATATTATGGTTGCAAATGTATTACTTTGTTGCATACTTCCGTACTGAAATTAACAGCTACTTCATCGTAGTCCCAAGACGAGCCAGAAAAAATTTCCAATTTGCGTCGCGGGACCTAAGCCTTCACCTAAAAGGTGAAAGCCAGTCAAGATTTGCAGCACGCGACCTCTATTCATTGCCAATGAATTCATTGAATTGTAATTGATTCTAAGATAAATAATTTGTTCAATCATCATCAAAGCCTTAACTTCAATTCATATCCCTGAGACGAACTGCAATGACATTCGTACCTGCTACCTTCTTCGTGTTGCAGGATTCGCTCGTAGCCTCTGTGACAACTTTTGCAGTCGATGGCGTTAGGAGCTGCACACGCATCTCCTACTTCCGGCATTCCGTTATTGCAGCGGCAAATATTATGACACTGCAATGTGTCTGTACTGGGATTGTTAGAAGATCAATACGAAAAATGAGTTTGTTGGGAGCACCGGCACTACTTCTAGGACTTCTACTACTAGGTAGCTAGTGAATTCATCATCATGGTGCTGGTGGTCGGTGTCCCATTTAGTTCTACTATTAGCCTGCCAGAAGAGCCGGCACTAAGCTTTTTCTTTTCCAATCATAAGCGTCGTATGCGTTGGGCAGGTTTGGCAACATTCACTCGTACTCGCGCTAGTACATGGGCCACCGTCGCACTTTGTCTCCGGTGGCATGTGGGCTTTGTTTTCCCCCGTACGCTTAGAAGAGGGCGGCACTCATTCCTAGAGGTACTAGGGTCTTCTTGGTGTTTCTGTTTCCCATTTATTACGCCTGTCTCCCTTAGGAGGGCCATGACAAACGGTAACAGGAACACCTAAAACCTACCCTTAATGCACTTTAGTTCCTTGTTTGTTCGCGCATATCCGCAATCCACTGGCACCTTGGAGAGGCAGATCAGATACATCGTAACTCTTAGAGGGAAAACCTACAGTGGTCTACAATACCTGCAGTGGTCTACAATACCTGCAGTGGTCTACAATCAAAATCACTATATTTTTGTGCTTTTTCAAGCGTCGCTGGTGACTGGACTTATATATAATTTATATGGTTACAGAAGGACGACCCTTATAATTTCTGAGGACCCAGAATTGTAGGTCACTCCCTATCAAACACACGAACAAGAGGATAGGAAAAATTTCATGCTCCTCGTCGTCGTCATCGACTTCTAGTACTATAATAGAAGCGAAGGGTAGAACATTCACTTTGTGCTTGAGGGAAATTGCTACTGCATCAAAATTATTTAAGGCGGTGATCAAGGCTTTACCTGCAGGCTGCGACCGGATCTTCCGCATTTTCATTTCGATTAAGGAAGGGCTTCAACTTGGAAGCCCTCTAATCTTAAGTAGAAAGCAGTTGAAACTCCTCCGATAAAATCGGACGGTCTTCGACAGAATCGCTGGGATCTGTCGATTCTGTCGATTCATTTCGACTGCTGTCCACTTTGGTAATTTGTCCATTCATAGTCATCGACTTCTAGTACTATAATAGAAGCGAAGGGTAGAACATTCACTTCTCCACGTTGAACGGTTGGTGCAATTATGTAGTAACTACAGCATCCTCCTTGTAGTCGTCTCCATGTTGGCCCTCCGATCGAAAGTTTCTTTAAGTCGACCGACTTGTCCTAGAGGATGGCATGGCATGAGTCTCACATAGTCTTACATGTACTATCTGGGAGACTAAACAATATCAAGGACACTGCCTTAAAATTTGCACATTCTCACCACCACCAGGAGATTTGTTAGGTTCCGACACGACCCTGCAAACACCGCGTGTCGCAGATTTCAACCAAGTTCCTTCCACTACGTTACTGCCACCTGTTCGAGATACCAACAAGGAACGACCCATCCTCTCTCAACAACGCATCTTTTTTTAGTCTATTCCAAGAGCGTTCCACGACCCTGGCCTTACCTCGAAAGCCAGAGCTGGAAGAAGATGATGTAGAAGATGGTCGTGTAGATGGCTCATTCACGGTGCAACAATAGCCGTAAACCTGGTTTACAGCCGACACTTGTTATATGCGCATCAGTGGTCACGCATTCCAGCTCCCCTTCAGAATCCACGTTCGTCGTTACGCTCTGCTCCATCCTGTACAGATAGCGCCTAACCAAAGTTAAAGGTTGCAACATTGGCGCATTCTTCCGACCATCTTCCCTGACCCCCTTGCTCCTGCTAGAAAGGGGAAACAAGTGGTCAAGGAGGGTAGTTGCGAGGAATGCAAGAATGTGGCAACCCTGCTTAACGAAGGGTGGTCGCCTAGTGTCCTCACGCAATGAGATTTACTGGTCCCCGAGGAGGTCGAGAGCGCCGCGCTTCTGTCGTGTGTTAGAATTTCTAGGTAATTGTTGGTCATGGTCGTAAATCCTTGAACTATCACAAAGATCCACCAAGATCAGAAGGATGAAGATCATCAAAATGACCAAGATCGCCAGGCGAACAAGGTACCCACCGGCACCACTTTCAACGCGTTGGCCTTAGTTGGCGCGGGTGTCGGCGGTTTCTCCTCTCTCTCTCGTATGTGGCTCAAGCCTCCCAACACAGTCAAGGACAAAGCAACACCGGAAAGATCTCAGAGATAACCCACAGACCTAAATGCGTATGGTTCCAAAATCAACGATCAACAGGCAAAGGACCTTCAAGTTCAACGTATTCAGATAGCAGGAATAACGAATGTTCAAGCTGTAATCAGGTTCATAGCGTTTTGTCAGTTCTGATCAGTTCAAAGAACATATGGATGATCGTATGAATCAATGATGATAGCATAAGCGTTTCCATAAGAAGCGTATGGAAGTTTTCCCCATACAACATGGAATCCCAATGATGAAGCTGAGACTTCCTCCTTGCAACCCCAATGAACATCCACAGGGATCAAAGCAGCCAGAGATCATTTGTCTCAGGCTGTTAGTGCAATCTGTATCAAACTCCAGCGTTTCTCAGTGAGAAACTACACGCGACTTAACAGTCTGTGTTCGAATGTTCCAACACTGCTTTGACCCTTGAGTCTGGCTCAACATAGAGTAGAAATTCATGCAGAAACAAAATGTCCTGCGAAGAAACTCGACTTGCCTCAAAACTACCCGAATGTAGTTGGCATGGCGGCCGCTCCTCATGGTATTCCTAACGGAGTTACCACCCGGGAGGACGCAGCCAAAATGTCGCAAGGCAGAGCCGAGACGCGGAACCGGTGGAGAGTGGACTTTACTAGCTGAATTTGGACGATGACGAGACTGCAGATGGAATAGCTGTGGATAATATTGGGGGAGATAAAACTGATAGGACATAGTCTTTCAACTAGTTCCATTGCTGCAAGAAAAGAGATTATCTTGGTTGATAGTCGTGGAAACAAATATCTCTCAAAGCACAAAGATAGGTCATTGATATAACTATGAGAATTCGTAGGATTACTGGCAGCACTAGAAAAAAAGACTTAGATCGTATTATACTTCGGCTAGGTGAAGGGAACTGCTCGCAATTAGGATGGGAATTCAACTTCAAAGGCACAGGTGGTTGTCTCGTACATACGGACACCGGCCAGGCCATACCCATAAGAAACCATCCACGCCTGCAGCTTCCACACTTACGCACAAACTTACTCAAAGAAGAGACTGATGGTGGTTATATTTGTTCAACAGTAGAAGAAGGAGTCAGTAGATGTTATCTTACAAGACTCGAACGTCATAGAAGGTGTGGGCACTTTCATATAGATGGCCTCCAGGTAAATTGTCCTGAGTGCGATCTACAGAAAGGCCAACGCGCACCACATGCAAAACCTAGAGATTCTCCGAATTGCAAACCCATATCAGTTAGGTCAAAGGGATGCGCATTAGTGATTATCTGTAATGTAATTAAGAAGGTGTGCGTCGACCGCTTAAGCTGTAAAGTGACTGCGTGGAGGAAATAGAAGAAGTGACCAAAAGGCATTCGCCAGGACTACTCCTTATCTCTTGATGACAAGGTAGTATGGTTCCTCCTGAGGGATGGAGAACCTGTCCTGAGCAGTGACGACATGACCAAAGTTATGCAATCGCTGCGAGTCTCAGACAGTCCGGCTGTTCCTTATAATCTGGATTGAATGAGACCTGCGAACGTTTTATGCGGACTTTGTTCGGCAGTGTTCGCACAATGCTGACTAAGTTGATAAACGTCTCTGGAAGCTACTACGTCGAGTACGCTGGTGACTGCTGGGATTGTTTACCGCATAACTACGCGAAAATGCCTCAAAACGATGGAAAGAGTCCAACTGAGTTTTGGAATAAAGGACTGGTAGAAACTCGTCGAAGAGTTCACTTCAATCGACATGCTCCGTCGATTTGGTTGTCTAGTTCACTTTCGTGAACAAATCCAAGCCAACCCTCCTGAACCCAAGCTCTTGGCCAAGTACCGCCGTGGCGTCTTCCCTTGGATTCTGTCCGAAGTCATCTGGTTGGTTGGTTGGAACTTTCGCTCATGGCGATCGTTGCAAGCTTGGACATCGAGATCGATGGGCGGAATACTCTACCCGAGATGTAAAGTCTGTCCAGAGAGGACTACTTAATACAGAATATTGATTGGCTTTTGCCAGATCAAAGGGCATCTACATAGAGTCTGACGAACTGGGAAACCTGCTGGGTGGCGCGTCGTAGCTGGGCTCCCCCTTGCTTGGACAGTCAGACTCAGAGCTAAGGCTGGATCATCAATCGGGGTTCTCTGGCACGGAGCACATTCCAGGTGGACCGACCGGAATTTCCGAAGAGATTACTGGATAAAGTAGAGGAATCCAACGCAGCTGACTCTCCTAAAGGTGTTTCACTTGAGGAGGGGAAAGCTGAAGCGAAGGATCGCGTGACATCTGCTCCGCCTAGTCCGTCTAGGTTGAAAGCGCCTTCTCCAGCACGTGTTGTGGCAGGCGAACGCCATACACACGGCGAGAAGCGTGGCCGACCGAAAGGAGCTAAGGACAAGGCAGGCAGCAGGGTACGAAGAACAAAGAAACAGTTAGAAGAATTGAGGAAAAGTATGGCGCTGTTCGCTAGTGCAAGCTGGTGGCATGTGTGAACTCGACGAAGATGAGGAACTCGTCGAATCATGTGCGATTTTGTCCGTTGCTCAAGCACTCAAGTCCCCGATGCCGATAAGTGGCAGGAGGTTATTGAGATGAGCATGCGAGACTGCTAGCCTTTGAAACGTGGAAAGCAGCTTCTGACGAGGAGCCTGCGACCGCGTGACAGGCTCGACCAATTGCCATAAATCTAACTATCAAAAGACGTGGAAGATACAAGGCTTGTGCTTGTGTCCTCGGTAATCTAGATCGTTCAGGAGAGCCAAACACCTTTGCTCCCGTAGTTTCACATACCGCAAATAGGTTGCTCCTGACCTCTGCTACGTCAGAGCAGGACTATGTGATCCCGTTCGATTTAGATTCTGCGTCCCTCAATGCTGAACTCGATCGCGATGTCTTCTGTCATCTCCCATCCATTCCATCTGGGCCGAGAAGCATGGACGCGAGATCGTGAAGCCCAAGAAGGCCTTACACAGCTTGAAGGACGCACCACGGGCATGGTTCAAGAAGAAGAAATGTCACGACATACTAGCCACTCTTGGCTGGGAGCCGTGTGATTCTGCGCCAGGCTTATGGAGAAAACCGAGAGCGAAAGCACCAGAGAAGTTCCTCAAGATGTCACCAAGGACTTCTTAGGTGCCGTCGTGTACTACTGTCGTGAAGCTCGAACATATCGGCTCAACGTGGAAGAGTACATTGATAGAATCGCAAAGAGATTTGAAACCCAAGTCGGGAATCCGGTTTACTCGCCCTATTTTGACGAGTCGACTTTTCTTGAGGAGGGGATCAAGATAGTCGATGGGTATCCTTATCGTGAGGTAGTTGGTGCCTTACTATGGGTAGCTGTAACCGCGCGCCCGGACATCTCTGTACCGGTGGCAGGCGTTGGTTAGACATGACAGCAAACCTACGTCAACAAGAATGGTTAAAGCAGCCAGAAAAGTGCTGAAGTATCTGGTGACGAGAGACCAAGGACTGGAATACTCACCAGAACAAGAAGAAGAATCCAATTGAAGAATCTATCCAAAGTTATTACCTGAAGGCAGAGATAGGCCAGAGGTGAATATCTTTAGTGATGCAGGCTTCGCCAACTGCGTGAAAACTATGAGAACGCAAGAGAGAGATCATGTATTTAATTTCAAAGGCGTTGCAGTCGCTTGTTGGAGAAGTAACCGGCAAACTGTCCGCGCTCATTCTACGGCTGAAAGTGAATATACTGCAGCTTCTGACACAATTGTGCTTAGTGAGCTGCATGACTTTACAGACTTCTATAGGCCTCTACCAACTCAGTTGGTGCACACGCAGAACGGTTTGTCTCCCTCTTTAGACAATGCTGTGCTCTGGATCGACAACCAATCCGAGATCGCAACAACTAAAGCAACTGACACATGCCTGAAGAGTCGCCATTATGCACTTCGCTACTTGCGTGTGCGTGATGCGGCCAGTAAGATAGTTTTCTGTCCAACTAACTAACTTAGTGAAGGCTGATGGCTTAACTAACCTAGAACGTAGCTCGTCTCAACGTAGACTACTATTTCACCATATAGATAACCCGATAAACAAAAGTCAACTATGAAGATTTAACTTACAAAAAGAGTAGCCATTTCGCCTAGTGGTCAAGTGTCTCAGTTCAGTTTCTCCGGATCTGAATGACGCAGGGTTCGAATCCGACAGAGGTCAGAATTCGAAAATGCCCGCCACTAGGAGGGCTGAGGAACGGCATCCATGCTGTGAAGCCGCCGGGCAAGGCCTGGATACGAGGTGAGACACGGCGACCCAGAGGAAGGGCCCGGCCCGTCCTGTGCTCGCCTCGGAGAAGTGGCCAACTAGTTCAATACTGGTTTATTTTGGTTTCTAGGCAAGTATACCGTAGCCATAGACGAATAGTTAGGAGATATGATTTCCGTGGATAGTCCTGAGACTAGGGACTTCGACACGCAACGACTGAGGAGGGGTGTTGGTCATGGTCGTAAATCCTTGAACTATCACAAAGATCCACCAAGATCAGAAGGATGAAGATCATCAAAATGACCAAGATCGCCAGGCGAACAAGGTACCCACCGGCACCACTTTCAACGCGTTGGCCTTAGTTGGCGCGGGTGTCGGCGGTTTCTCCTCTCTCTCTCGTATGTGGCTCAAGCCTCCCAAAACAGTCAAGGACAAAGCAACACNCTATCACAAAGATCCACCAAGATCAGAAGGATGAAGATCATCAAAATGACCAAGATCGCCAGGCGAACAAGGTACCCACCGGCACCACTTTCAACGCGTTGGCCTTAGTTGGCGCGGGTGTCGGCGGTTTCTCCTCTCTCTCTCGTATGTGGCTCAAGCCTCCCAACACAGTCAAGGACAAAGCAACACCGGAAAGATCTCAGAGATAACCCACAGACCTAAATGCGTATGGTTCCAAAATCAACGATCAACAGGCAAAAGACCTTCAACGTATTCAGATAGCAGGAATAACGAATGTTCAAGCTGTAATCAGGTTCATAGCGTTTTGTCAGTTCTGATCAGTTCAAAGAACATATGGATGATCGTATGAATCAATGATGATAGCATAAGCGTTTCCATAAGAAGCGTATGGAAGTTTTCCCCATACAACATGGAATCCCAATGATGAAGCTGAGACTTCCTCCTTGCAACCCCAATGAACATCCACAGGGATCAAAGCAGCCAGAGATCATTTGTCTCAGGCTGTTAGTGCAATCTGTATCAAACTCCAGCGCTTCTCAATGAGAAACTACACGCGACGTAACAGTCTGTGTTCGAATGTTCCAACAGTAATACTAATAGGTTAGGTTCTTACCTGCTAGATAACTACGTCATCAAGCTCAACATGATAGATGACGCTGCTCTTTCTACAGATGCCAGCCGCGGATAATATCTCCCTTTTAAAACGAAGTAGCGGGGAATCAAATACTCCCCCTTGATCACACATTATACAAAAAATCCTTACTTGCTGCTCCCATCATATACTATCAGTGAAAATGCGGGTAAAATAAGGTGGAAAGAATACAATAGGAGAACAGCTACTAACTTTCCCGAAGCAGAAAGGCCAGTGCATGGAGCACAAGCATCCCAACTCCACATGATCTACTCAGAAGAGTGTAGGAGTAGGATTTGTTTATTTAGACTATAATTATAATATCCCCGAACAGCTGCCGCCGACGGAGAACAAAGGCCATTCTTTTTGTTGAAATTTATACAAAGACTTACATCCATTCACTCCAGAATTACACCATTCACAGAAATGGTGAGCTTTGTTTGGAATTAGAATGGCGATGCCATAAAGTATCCCAGATGATGCTGGTTTTGGGAGTTACTTCACAAATCCACTTCGGCTTAGACTCGGCTTTGCTCCATCTTGGTCACCTCATCTCGATCCCTTTCACCTTGTATTTCATGAGAATACAAGGCAAAAGGAGATCAAGATGCCGAGAAAGATGGATAAAAGCTGACCATAATCGCCCGTCCACCGCCGCCGAAACCAGGGTAAGTCGCTTTTATCGCTCCAAGACCTTCATCGCCGTCCTATCTTAAAGCAGGTTCTTGAAACTAGATAATAACTATATATAAGTCGTTCCCCAGATGTAAGTATGAAAAGTTTTAGTATTTTCCTTCTTCAGCATGTTTGATTTCATTTGGTTTTAGGTGAGGTTGTGAATCCTGCACAATGAGCCTCCCGAAGACCTGGCTCACTTCCGTGGATGTTGGGTGACCTGAATACAGTCATCGTATATGTCCTCTCTTCTCTCCCTCTCGTCCTACTCCTTCGCCTTCACCTCTGACCACTCGGGTCACGACTACCTATTCGATAAACTGAAATAAGCGAGTAACTACATAAAGTAAGCGAGATACTAAACAAGGACGAGTAGCCCTGTCAAGGCTGCCTCCCTTATTTCAGTCAGTAACTCGGTTATTTTCAGTTTTCCAGTAGTACAAATTACATACAACTAGTTTTGTTGGAAGGGCTAAGTCTCTAGAGGTAAAACTAGCCGGCTGCTTTAGTTAGTGCTTTGAGCGCCGCTGGGACTTACTGAACGCCGTAGAGCTGTTTCGTGACGCGTGACGCCCACCGCGTCACGCCCAGAGCTTCGGGGGGGATGAAATATCTGCCCTCAATTTCAAGCGTCACGCAGCACGCAACAACGGGCAGGAGGGGCCTGATTTTGACGAGTCTAGATCTGTGGATCCTTGATAGATCCGTGGATCTTCGACCGCTCCACGGATCTTGCTTTGATAGATCCGTGGACCCTTGATAGATCCGTGAGTCCTTGATAGATCTGTGGATCGGATCCTTGGTAGATCCGTGGATCTTCGATCGCTCCGCGGATCTTTCTCTGATAGATCCGGGGATCCTTGATAAATCCGCGGATCCTTGATAGATCCGTGGATCCTTGATAGATCCGAGGATCCTTGGTAGAGCTGTGGATCCTTGATAGATCCGCGGATCTTCGATCGCTCCGCTGGTCTTTCCTTGATAGATCCGTGGATCTTGATCTTTTTTTGATAGATCCGTGGGACTTTGATAGATCCGCGCGCCCTTGATAGATGTAGATCTGTGGATCCTTGATAGATCCGCGGACCTTCGATCGCTCCACAGATCTTTCTTTGATAGAACCGTGGATCGTTGATAGATCTGGGGATCCTTGATAGATCCGCGGGCCTCATCTGCGACCACTCCGCGGATCTTTCCTTGATAGATCCGTGGATCGTTGATAGATCCGCGGATCTTCGATCGCTCCGCTGGTCTTTCCTTGATAGATCCGTGGATCTTCGATCGCTCCACGGATCTTTCTTTGATAGATCCGTGGGTCCTTGATAGATCCGCGCGCCCTTGATAGATGTAGATCTGTGGATCCTTGATAGATCCGCGGATCTTCGATCGCTCCACGGATCTTTCTTTGATAGATCCGTGGATCCTTGATAGATCCCATCCGCGGGCCCTTGATAGATCTGTGGACCCTTGATAATCTACGTCGCACCTTTTTCAAAAAATAGACAGCAGGCTTCTGCATATAATTAGTTCAAAGGATCAAGATCAAGAGAAGCAGAACGAAGGGGAGCATCTTGCGCACCAGCCTGAGCGTAAAAGTCCACGCGTGCCTCTTAGCTGTAGGCAGAACTGACAGCCAAGAGCTGCCAAGAGAACTGGCAGGCTGTGAAGGTCCAAGTGGGAAGTCTGAGGTCGGTCATGTATGGCAGAACTTCGCATGAGTTTAGACGTTTGTCAGCGTGAGTAAGCAAGTTCATTTCAGAACGTAAGAACGGCGCGCACGTAAGTACAAGCGCAACAAAGAAGCACGACAAAAAAAGGCTGAGACTCTTGAACGATTCTCAACCTATGGCCATCCTTCGACGATGTAGTCTAGTTTTGTTTTGAGATAGATTGCAGCTACGTTGTCACGTATATGCGTAACCAGAACTGACAGTCAAGAGTTGTCAAGAGAGCTGGCACGTTGTGAAGGTCCAAGTGCGAAGCCTGAAATCGGTCATGTATGACAGAACTTCGCATGAGTTTAGACGTTTGTCAGCGAGAGCGCGCAAGTTCAGTTCAGAACGTAAGAACGGTGCGCACGTAAGTACAAGCACAAAAAAGAAGCACGACAAAACAAGACTGAGACACTTGAACGATTCTCAACCTATGGCCATCCTTCGACGATGTAGTCTACGTTTGTTTTGAGCTAGATTGTAACTACGTTTTCACGTATATGCAAGTAAGCAACACGTAAGCAACAAAGTGAGTAAGTTTCCTGAAACTTGGCTACAACTTGAGCAAAGTACTCAAGTGCTCACGCAATCTCAAATACATGGATGGCAGTTGTTGCGTGGAGAGAACAGTCAATCTTGGTTACATTGGTGCAACAGCCGAGAACCGAACCCGACTTCGATCATTCGGCACAGTAAAACGATGGCAACGACGAACAACTGCCGCAGTTGAATAGCACGATACAACTACACTAGTCTCGTGTCTTGAAAAAATAAAAAACCAACAACATAAGGATAGATAGCAATACTATCAGCGACATACGATAGATACACGAAGAACAAGATAAGCAGAAGGAGCGCGCTGGCTAACTGACGGAAAGCGCTTGCTTGCGTTATCTATCTTCTTCTTGGTGACGTGGGTGCCCAGAAGCAGCATTCAGTCTTCTTGCGTGGGTGCGCTACGCGGACTGGCGAAGACTGCCGATGGAGTAAAAGCGTAAAAATTTTTTTTCTCTCGGCGACCTCTAGTAAAGCGGTTAGCTAACGAAGACAGTGCGGCCCGGTCAGCAAGCAGTGCTTCTACGTCAAGCTCTACTTCTCCGATAAGCAGCTTTCCCCTTTTCCGCGCGTGTTTACGTGGCCTCTATCTTCTAGTAGAGTAGTGGACCTGCAGCAGCAGCTTCTTCTTCATGCGTTCGACCGTAGTACACGACACCCAGACCACGGCCGCAGCAGCGTTGCGGTCGGTTGCGATTCTCCCTATCGAGTCTTGGGGTGACATCTTTGCAGCCGGCCACGGGAGAGCACGACGGAAGATTCACCCCAAGCAGCACACAAGAGAGAATCGCAGTAGCACTAACAGGAAACCCATTCGAAGTCAAACGGAAAAAGCTGGCCTAGTGGTTTTGCGAAACAAGCAGCGGCTTTGTGGTTTTGCGAAGCAACGGCTTCGAACGGTTGCGCGAAGCAACGGCTTCGATCGATTTAGTGAAGCAACGGCTTCGATCGATTTTGCGAAGCATAGGCTTCAGACAGCTTTGCGAAGAAGCAGCGGCTTTGTGGTTTTGCGAAGCAACGGCTTCGGACGGTTTTGCGAAGCATCGGCTTCGAACGGTTTTGCGAAGCATCGGCTTCGAACGGTTTTGCGAAGCAACGGCTTCGGACGGTTTTGCGAAATAAGCAGCGGCTTGAGGTTTTGCGAAGCAAGTGCCGGATTTGTGGTTTTGCGAGTAACGGCCTTTCGGAGGTGTTGCGAAGCAAGCAGCGGCTTTGTGGCTTTGCGAAAAAGCGGCTTCTCAAAAGTTTTGCGAAACAGCAAACAGCTTCAGGCGGTTGCGCGGCAAGCGTTAAGGCCGGCTGCAATTCTCCCTGCTACGTCTTGGGGTGACGTCTTGTCTTGCAGCTGGCCACGGGATAGCACGGCGGCAGATAATTCAGCATCCCAAGCAGCATCTGAGGGAGAACCGCAGAACCGCGAACAGATAATTAAGCGCAATTCATTCCAACGACGACAACGGACTTAGCTTGGAGGCGTTGCGAAGCATCGGCTTCGGACGATTTTGCGAAGCGGCAGCTTTGAGGTGTTGCGAAGCAACGGCTTCGAACGGTTTTGCGAAGCGGCGCATTTGAGATTTTGCGGAGCAACGCTCGGGCGGCTTTGCGAAGCAGCGGCTTTGAGGTGTTGCGAAGCAACGGCTTCGGACGGGTTTGCGAAGCGGCGTCTTTGAGGTGTTGCGAGCCAACGGGTCCTAGCTACTAGCGGCTTCGCGACAGCTGGCCTGCCCGACGGGTTTGCCTCTTCCTTACTAGTGGCGTTGCGACAGCTGGCTCCGATGAGTTTGCCTCTTGGCTACTAGTGGACTTGCGACAGCCGGCTCTGACGAGTTTGCCTCTTGCCTACTACCTACCCTAGGGGCTTTGCGAGAAGCAACCGGATTCGCCTCGCGAAGCTAGTGGCTTGGCGAGACGTCAGGGGGTCGATTTGCCTCGAGATCGCCGCCGCGCTCTTTCAAAACAGAAAAGAAGAAAAGCAAACCGGAGACAATGGCGCAAGGCTTAAGCCCCGCGGCGGTAGTGGTTCCGCGTGGCCTCGTGACTCCAGTCTATGTCTTCGGTGGTGAGAGTAGGAACGGCGACAAGCGCAAGACATTTACTGCGCAGACCAGATGCTTCGCGCACGCTGTCCTTCAGTGCTGGCAGACGTGTCAGCCTCTTGCCTTATGGGTAAGGATAGCCTAGCTCTGAAATCTTTGCAGTAGTTTCCATCTTGCTTGGGGGTTAGCCTTTTGGGGGCTCGTCGCTGTGGTCTGTGTCTTTTTTTCAGGGGTGGGCCTTTCTAATTGCTGCGGAAACGTTGAGGAGCTGCCCGCGCTCTTGGCTGGCGGATGTGTTGAGGACAATGAGGCAGAGTGGCCTCGGTTTGGAGCCTTTGCAGCTCTTTCCTGCGGATAGTTAATTATGGCTCCGGTGTCGTCGTTGTTATTTCAAGGGAAAACGAAAGACGTGAGCGTGCGCGCGCCGGCTTGTTGGTTACTGCCTGGCGCTCCCCTCGTTTTTCAGTGTCGACTATTTGAGATCTAGTCTATGACTTTAGTAGAATTAGCGCCATAGCCATGGCCTCGGTATTGATGTGATTGAAGACGAAGGGCGTCGTGGCTGGATGATTGAACTTACTACGCTGACGGGCTTCATAAAGTTGAGCAATGAGGTTTAGCCTTTGGACTGCGCTCGGTCTTAGAACTGGCGCCAACACCCTAGGCGCCGGCCCCTTTCTATGTTTCTTCCTTTCTCTGACGGGTCTCGTCTGCTTCTCGCCTGTGCTATCGGCTTGGCCCTAATCTTTCAGCAGTGACGCTCCTTGGGGGCCACGGTATGAGGCTGATTTTGGGAAAAGGTTCGAGCATTCATCGGGAGAGCTTTGCGGGCGTCTTTTGGACGAATTTGGTGGCACCGTGACCATGGTGATGACAGAAACGGAACGAGTAAACCCGTGCCGGCGTTGTGGTGGAGTGTGTCGAACCTGTTCGGATCCTCATCCGATGGTCACGGCTGGGACTGAGGGCCTTCCTCTGCGGGGCTTGTCCCTCCAGAAGCTCCTGGACAAACAAGGCAACACGGCGCCAGATGTGACATGTTCTGAAGACAGTGGCGCACCAGGTTCGCAGCCTTGCGGCCAGTTCAGTCGACACGTACAGTTCAAGAATAGCCACTCGCTTCCTGGTGATGGTCTAAGCACAAAGGCGTGCGCTATCGAGATTCCCCCGCGGCAGGCGCTGAACGGGATGAAAATGGTCACGCCCATCAATGTGCCAAGTGAGTTCTTCACTTTAGGGGGTGCGACGTTCAGGGTGACGGGCCTCGTGCGTCATGTCGGCCGCTATGTCGAGAGCGGGCATTACGTTGCAGTAGTGCGGCGCGAGGGTGTCTGGTATTTCTGCAATGACAACTCAGTGGCGGCAGTTCGCTCTTTTGTGGATGCTCTTCGTAAGATCGGGAACGAGATCAGCCTCGTCTTCGGTGAGAGGGTAGACAGCATCGACGAAGCAGAGGCGGGAGGCTCTTCGATGGTTGAGCTTGCAGAACCGCACAGCAAAAAGGAGGAGGCAGAGACAGAAGGCGGGCCCTCACAGCGCAAGAGGGATGCCTCGGAAAGCGGGGAAGACGTCGAGGCGTCTTCAGAAGAAGAACAGACGGACAAAATCCGCCTGATGAAGAAGAAGAAGAAGAAGACGGGGAAACGCAAACGAAAGGGGTCGCGCGTGAGCACACCCCCAAGCTTGTGCCCGCCAGAGGTTGCTGAAGAAGTTGGGCTGTTGCAGCCACCAGAGGGCGCGGCGCTGACTGTCGCGGCGGGTCCTGCGCAGTTTGTAGGGATTCGTCTTGGTGCAAATATTTCCGCTAAGGCTGGCCAGCTTCTCACGCGTGTAGCGACAAGCGACGGGGCTGATGTGTTGTTCTGTGAAGCAGTTACAGGAGAAGCACAGCGTTACAGCGATGTCTGCTGGCAAGCATACCGGGAGGACCAACAGCGTCAGATGACACTTCGGCGGCAGGGGAATTGTGTCCCTGGGAAGGTGTGGCATTGTGCTCTTTGCCCTTACAAGAGCTTCAAGCATGCCATCTCGCTCGCGAGTCATGTGAAGCGGATGCATCTAGTCGCAAAAAACGACCGGAAGAAGAAGTCGCTGGAGCATCCTCTCCGTGGATTCATGGCCATAGCGCGCGCTTTGTATGATGACACCTCAAAAGCGTCGCAGAAGAAATTTCCACCGCCGTGGGATTTGGGTGCGCTGGCTGGTATTCAGATCAGTCCCTCCAGCTATCGCTCTTCTTTCTTTTTTTCTTGGAAGTATTGAGCCGCAGTCTTTCACATCAGTCGCCCAGTCTATTGAATTGCGTGAAGTGTTTCCGTCTATCTTATTTCGCCTGACTTTCTTCTGCTCGAGTGATGGCCTTCTTTCTCTCCAGGTAGTGCCGGCGTGTCCGTGCAAGCTGTGGCGCAAGCCAGCGCGAGCGGCATCAGGGCGCTCCATGTGGAGACAGAACCGCCGACACCTTTGCGAGACGCCGCGGAGCGTGTGCGGCTGTGGAATCGAAACCATCAAGAAGGGAGTCCGCGTGGCTCTTCGCTCGGAGGATGTCGTGAGGATTTTCGTGTTGTGATCGACACAACAGGCGGGCGCCTCTTGTTGGCTGATCATCCTGATGTCTTAGCGGCGGAGAGGCTTTCGACACGTCTTGCAGTGACGCAGCAGCTTTTGAAGGATGTGACGGCGCACGCCCTCGAGACCAAGGGCCGACCTTCTTCCATCCTTGTGAGGTTGACCAGCGAAGCGCTCAGGAGTAAGCGGCCACCCGAAGAATGCGGCCTCGTGTGTCTTTTCCCGTGTCGCCGAGTGTTGTCCCAGATTTTGCAGCGCATCTTTCAGGGCAAGACGATCGCTGACATGTTGGCGGCCATGCGGTTGAACTTGTGCGAGATCTTCGACGAGTGCAGAGATATCGGCATCGATGGAACGGCCAACGTCACTTATGGCCTTTCGTGTTTTTTTTAGGACAGGCCCCCCCTGTGTGGGTGGGTGCAATATTCTCGGTAGTAAGTAGCTTAGGTCTCTGCTGGCAAATAAAAGCGGCCCCGGTGCTCTGTGCTTTATGCCTAGCCAGAGGACTATCTTGGGGCCCGTTCTGATGGAGGTCGGGCGATCGTTGGTCGTGGTTTCCTTATACTAAGCCCGTTGGTGATTCGCAGGATTCTCCAGAGCTATTGCTTTACATGTTGAGGAGGTGGCAACTAAGGGGGCCCCATTCTTCCAAAGTGGCCGAGACTTCTCCCGGCAGCTCTAACAAGCGCAATCGATTATCGGAGACATTCCTGCCGGCAAGACTGGGGCGACCAGCAACAAATGCCTCACGTTAAAGGGCCGCACCGTTATGGGGATGATCTAGGTCAGTACCATGTAGGCGCTGCTTCTCTCACTTGTGTGGTGCCAGTTGATTAATTAGCAAGCTCGTAGTAAGTATGCCCCTAGTCAGCGCCGTGATGCATGTAGATGAAGACGAAAGGGATTCCGCTTCGTGGGTGTTGTGGTTCTTCTTTCTATTATTGGCGCACCATCGCAGGCAGCTGCTAGCTAATTCTTACAGCTTGCCGATATGGTTGATAAATATGAATGAAAAGGGGGAAGCAGATGAGCGCTCTAGCATTTTGGTAGGCCGATGCCTCATCCTCTAACCTGGGCGCAGCACTTGGCATCCAGCTCGCGAAAAGTGAGAGCTTTGAAAACATCCTGGACTTCTTGCGGTCGTCTGTCCCGGCCGAGCATCGTGGGCGGGTGCTCTCGATCTGCTGCGACTCGCCGAAGGTCTTGCTTTCTGGCTATGAGGCCTTGCGTGAACTCTTCCCCAACTTGCGAACAATAACGGAAGACCCAGTACACCTGAAGACCCGCCTGGAAAAGGTCAGCGGAGAAAAGCCGAACAGGGTATCCGAAAAGGTTCACGCGATTGCGATGCAGTTTTTCGGTTGTCCAAGAAGTCCCCTGGCGGGTGAGACCTTTCGACGTGTTGGATCTGCTGACGCCGAACAAAGCCGCGCAGGATATGCGGAGGGTGTCAGTCTGTCAGCTGAAGATGCCCGCGAGCTCTTACGGGACTCGTCTACTGAGGAAACTTTGGGAAGAAGCTCGGCGCTGTCTCGGTCGTCGCAATAGCGGAGGGCGAAAAACTTAGCCGCAAAGACAAACGGAGCGGGAAGAAGCTCTCTGACCTTCTGCCGGCACAGTGCGACCATTACAGCTTTTTACGCAACCACAGTCTCCGACTCGCGGAGATGTCGCCTTTTGAAGCACACGAACACGGAACGGGCACTGCTGGAAACGAGGCGCTCCATCGCGAAGTCGGCACGTTGGGCGCCAGTGTTTACCGCCAGACTCGGCCGCTGTTGGAGACTAAGCTCAGCTGCTTCCTCTTCATGAAGATGGGCGCGGCACTTCTGAGGAGGTGGCCTACAGCAGCGCACACACAAGCGGAAGCGCTCGCGACTGTTGCGGCAAGTGTCTCGAACATGGTGGCGCCGCTCATCTTCAAGAGGTGGCTTCCGTCTGAAAGAAAAAAGCGCGAGGCGGACCGCGTAGCGGCATCGCGTCGGGAACGAGAGTACCAAGCTCGCGAGCGGGAAACCCGCAGAAAAAAAGCGGAAAAGAAGGGCGCGAGCTCTGTGCTGCGTGTAAACCAACTCGATAGCCGGAGCGCCGCCATCCACGAAAGAAAGCTGGCGCGCCGGTTACGGTCTTTCGCTCGGGCGGGTCGTGTTCGGAGGATCGCGACGACGAAGGCAGCTGAGCGATCTCGGAAGTGGAGAAGCGAGCAGAAGAAGAAGCTAAGGGTGGGGGGTTGTTGTCTCTTTATTTTGTGTTTCTCGATCTATAGCCTCTGAGGTGTATCGAAGTAAGCAGGCAAGAGGAGACGACAGCCCTCGGCCGTTTTCTAACAAAAAAAGCAGAAAAGGCGAGGCCAAAGGTTGGGAAGAAGGTGAATGAGATGCGACCGTTTTCGCATTTCGTCGGCAGGGGCTCGCTGTTAAAGACTGCCAAAGCAGAGCAGGCCCATGGAAACGCCACAAGCGTGAGCAGCGTGCCGGCTGCCACAAAGTCGACCGAGGCGCCCCAGGTGAAAGATGAGGGCGCTGCCGGTGTTGCTGGTCTCTGCCAGAGTGAGTCAGACGGGGCGCGTGCTCAGTGCTGAAGAGCGGGCGCGACAGCTTGCCAGGCAACGGCAGCAGAAGCGACGCGCAAAGCAGAGGGCGGCAGCAGCAGCAAAAGCCAAGGTCTCCGATGACACGCGGCGGAAGCAAAACGCAGAAAGGAACGCCAGGAACCGCGCGAGGAAAAAGGAGGAAGCCGAGGAGCAGCGTAAAAACCCGAAAAAGGTGGCCGAGAAGGGCAAGCGAGCCGCGAAAAAGGTGAAGAAGAACGGCGGCGGAAAGTAGGCGCATAGGCAGCCACGAACGTCCCGGGTGCGATGCGCAGGGGTGTGGAGGGAGGTAGATGGGTTATGCGTTGGCTAGTCGTAACGCTGTGGCTTTTTAGTATGTGGATGCCTTACCTGGCAGGCTTACCAAGTAAGATAGGGCGCCTCTTCTTGGTCTTCTTGTGGGTGTCAGTCATGCCGCTAGCGTCGCGCGCGCGATGGGTGTTCTCCGTGTTGGTTTCGGGTGGCCGCGGAAGATCCCGGGGCCCGGAGTCGATCGATCCATGGGCCCACGCTTGATCCATGGGTCGACGCTTGATCCATGGGTCGACGCTTGATCCATGGGTCCACGCTTGATCCATGGGTCCACGCTTCGCTTGATCCATGTGGGCCCACGCTTCGCTTGATCCATGTGGGCCCACAGTCGAATCATGTGGGCCCATGGGTCGGCCGTGACGCGTGACGCGTGACGCGTGACGCGTGACGCGTGACGCGTTTTGTGTCACGCGTGACGCATTTTGCGTCACGCGTGACGCATTTTGCGTCACGCATGGAAGAAGAGCAAGAAGCAATCACCTTTATATTAGGGGGATGTGAGCGGTGGGACTATGGTGGAAAGCTCTACGGCGTTCGGTCCACCTTACGGACCTAAGCCTCAACCTTATAAAAAGGGAGAAGCCAATTACATACAACTAGTATCAAAATCAATGGTACAAATTACATACAACTGTAGGGAGATCCATCCCCTGTATCACAAATAGAAGGTGGCTTTAACCCTTAAATACTGAGCTCCGGGTCCCGCGTCAAACGTGGAGCAACCTCCGCCTGCACTTAGAGGTGGTCGGAGCGGCTCATTCTTGGTCACAGGTGAAGTTGGTCTCTCTGAAGGGGATGTCATGTCATGGCGCCTCTTTTTATGTAGCTATTGCTGTCTACTTGTGAGGCCACCCAATGCTGTAGTACCTCCTAAGGAGAGTCACCTCTAACGACTCTGTTTCCAGCGCAATCTAACCACAAACAACGACTCTCAGTCACGAGAATCGTGATCCAAGGAAGCGTGTGCCCTTCATTTCCCTTTGTTTGGCCTTGGCCTTTCAACCACAGTCTTTCTAGAATGGCCAATCTATCATGAAGGGAAAATAATGATGAGAGGACTAGACTTTTGCGATCAATTACGGACAAGGAATAGCCTTGCCAGATGTAACGAACTATATCTCGACGAAGGGAAAATAAATACGAGGGATGTTGAAAGCTAACGACCGGTTGTTTTTCTCTATGTGATGACATCATCATACTGCACGGCCGGTGGCCATCTTCTGCCACTGGCGAAGCAAGATACAGACCGACGAATGAAGACGAAGGAGTGAAGTCCTCTACTGAGCCTTAATATAAGATCATTTCTCTCCGTGCAATCGCTGCCTCGAGACAAGGAAACAGGAAATTTGCCATCCTTCGCACATATAAGATCCATCCCTGGAACAACGCCTATATTTAGTGATGAAAATGAGCACACTCAAGGTGTCCAATAAAGCAAGTATAATTCCTGCTAATTATAGCTATTAACTCCAAGACGAGTTTCTTATGTTGATTGGAGGGACTAACCCAAGTTGGATATGAGGAAAAGACTAACAGGTTGCTCTTGCATTTATTCAATCTTATATATAACAAAAAGAGCTTTTTATGTTTAACAACAAGAGTCTGGTTCTTAGTTCATGTTGATTCTTAATTTTTGCCCGCCGTTCGGATTCAACTGATTGATGGCACACATAGCCTCGTACTCGCTGTCTTCTTGGCCTGCCATTATCCAATCATTAAAGGGAGTTTTTTCAATATCCCTGGTTGAGTGAGTTGCCCTTTCCTCTCATAGCTTCCCCTTCAGATCGAGGGGGAAAAGAAAGTAGAAGGGGGAACTTTCTTTCCCGTTTAAAAAGTCAAAGGATCAGACTCCATTCGGCACCGCCTACATGGGATAGTGATTTCAACTAGCCGTAAAATTCACCGCTCCAGTCGGAGGTTGCTTGTTCCTTCCGCACATCATGCCCAAGACACCCACACCTGTTTGGTGTTGACATGTTGTTAGACGAGGTAGGGCCTTCTAGGCGTTAGAGTGATGATGATACAATATCAAGCATACACGGGATTTCAGTTGAAGCCTTAATGTTGCTTTACTATAGAACTGCGTCTTCCCTCCGGCTGGCTGTTCATGGTACGCCTCTCTATAGACTTGATAAGGTGCGTCTCCCCAACTGAAGCCTCCGGAATCCTGTCCTCTTAGAGGGCAAGAGTTTAGGGTTATAGTTATGGTTTCCTACATATTTACAACTTGCTCTCGTCCTGAAACATCTCTAGTTGGAGCTGAGCCATAAAAACTGAGCAATCGGCCAAGTAGAAGGATCTACAGGAGCCTTTACTCGTTCATGTTCATTCTTTTGCGCCGCCTGCTCCACCAGACTACTCTTATTCAACAGCTTCATCTCCACCTGTAGCAACAAAGACTCCGAGTCTTGCCCAGCATTCTCGACCACCTTCTTTGTGGATTTGGAAGACTTCCTTGTCCTCCTCCCTCTTGTTTTAGAGCCTGATGTCGAAAAATTGGACAGTTCGTCTTGTCCAACATCTTGGTCATTAGTTGTGGCTGCATCTTCAATCCCTAGTCCTCTTGCTTCACCTTTTTCTCCGACGGAATGCGAAGCAACTTCTCCCCCCACTTGGTTCTCTTCAACCTGGTGCTCTTCAACCTGGTGCTCTTCACCCTGGTGCTCTTCACCCTGGTGCTCTTCAACCTGGTGCTCTTCGCCCTGGTGCTCTTCACCCTGGTGCTCTTCAACCTGGTGCTCTTCTACCTGGTGCTCTTCTACCTGGTGCTCTTCTACCTGGTGCTCTTCTACCTGGACTTCCTGACCGAGCCAACTCGTCATCCTAGAGGTGGACCCAGATGAACGTAGAAGTTTGATGTCTCTGTCGACTTCCTCAGGAAGCTCCGTGTCCTCTTCCGTAGGTGGTCCTCTTACTCTTTCATCCTCGCCATCATTTACTTCTCTCTCTGGATCTGGAGCATCCCCAACCACCTTGATATCGCCATCTACAGCGACTGATGATGCTGTTAGTAGGTTCGGATCCCCATCCACACCAACTATCTTGTGGAGGATTTTTTCAGGATTGTCTTCGCGATTGAGGAGCCTAGATTTGCGATCTGGCTTTCTCGCTCTCACTTCTACCGCAACAAGATGTTGTAGTACGAAAATCTTCCCACCAGGAAAATGTACTCCCAGTAAATAGAAAGCGTGGCAAAGGAAGTTGAAGGTCGACACTGTTCTTGAGCAGGTTCTTGTTGATGTTCTTGAGCACGATGTAGTCCTTGTTGAACTACTACAACAACAACTTGCTTTTCTCCTTCTGGTATGTTCTATTTGCGGAAGAGGTAAAAGCGATGAACCTCTAATCCTCAAAATCGGCAGCATTTTGTCCAGTCGCATGGTCGCTTGATCAAGCAAGAAGACAACGCGAACCACCAGCACACCTACGGAACTAGTGACATCTTTTGGCTCAATCTTGAAGTGAACTGACGAACCGAAGCACTGAGTAAATCTTGACGAACCGAAGCACTGAGGGAGGAACCGAAACCGCCAGCTCGCTGGTTGGAGGTTGCTTTCTGCTCCTGCTCGCCACCAAGGAAGATGGAGTATGTAGTAGGGAGTCGACGTGGAAGGACAGTAACAGTAACCTTTATCATTTTCATTTTCAGTACTTCAATTTTCACTTTTTCAGGCTGTTGTAGCTACGTCCTTGAAGAAAAACTGTATTATCGCATCTTTTTCATTTGATTCAGGTCAGAGCGACCATCTTTCATTTACTTTATCCATCATGATCTTCAACAGTGCGAGAGTAAACAACTTCACCAAAATTGATATTGCGAATGCGTTGTACCTGCTGAACGTACTAGCATGCAAAAAAAGATGGATGAAAAAGACTAACAAAGCCAATAACTCTTTTGACCCTATACGTCGTGGAATCTTTCTAAAAACACGACTTACTCCAACTACATTGAGTATTAAAAATCAACATAGTATTTAGTGGATGAAGATGAGAATACAACGGCGCCGAGAAAGTAGAGGCGCGATCTTCTCGTTTTACGACCGTAGGAAAATGATTTTTATCGAGCAAAATTACCCGAGGACTCGGCTAAGAAGTTTTCACAACTCATGTGTTAGAAGTGTTGTACATATGTTTGTACTAGTAAGTTGCAGAAGAAGAAAAATATCAGATAATATAATATCTACTAAAACTGTAGCAATTGCTGATGTGAGCTACTTCTGCTTGACGGGAGACCGAAGTCTGCTCCTGCTTCAAGCTGGTCGTCCAAAGAACCTCCCAAAGTAGTAGAACTGGATGAAGTACTAGAGTCTCCAACTCCTCCTCTCCTTCCCCTCCTAAACACCCTGGTGAGCAGAGCCAAAGCAGCGATGCACGAAAGCATTCCTCCGAGAAATCCGAGGCCAAGATGGGCAAGCGCGAAGTCGCCTTTCGGCACTAGTTTGGCCAGGTCGTACATGATTCCGGTAACCATTACGTCTTCCGTTAGAAGGGGAAGAAAAAACGTACAGTTAATGGGGGTCCTCACTACACTGTCGAAGTAGTAACACTGTCGAAGTAGTAAGAAGGCTAACAAATTTGAAGAAAGCAGAACGAACGACAACGAGGAAGCTGCTCAAAGTCATATTCATTACACTTACAAGACAGCAAAGAATAGAAGAACCTTGACTGATCCATAACTTCTCATCCCACGGTTGCCAGCTGCTGTATTCTAGAGCTCTATATCTGCTCATTTGCGCGCCTGTACCACAAGTCGCTGAGCAATCTGACCACGCTGCCCACTGGCCCCAGACGCAGTACTGAATACTGCCACAAGGGAATTCGTTGCAGCTCTTCACTTGCAAAGCGTCCGCGGCTTTGCACGGGGTGCCTGCGGTTGGGAATGGGAAGATCAGCGAGAAGTTGTGATTCAGTTTTGCTGTTGCACTTGCTAGCAGTAAGAGGTGCGGTGTTAGCAGGAGTGAAAATATCATTCATTCTTTCCCCTACATTGCAATTCACGGATCTACTATGTTAGAGATAGAGTGTGAGTCATGGCCATATACTTCAGGTTCGACCCTTACTGGCCATTTTTGAAGCAAAACTTACACAGAGGTAAACTCATGGTAAGGAATTTACAGCGCAGTGCACATTAAGATAATCACAGATGTAGTCGCCATCGACCACTACAACAATCATTCACCGCGTCAAAGTAGCTTCATTACCGTCTTCACTCGGCATCTGTTCGATATGCCTGTATCTCGTTGTAGTCCCGCCGCTGCATTCTTTCGTACAGCTTCCCCAATACGTCCACTCACCCCACATGCAATTCCGAGTGTTTGCGCAGTCGAACATATTGCAGCCCTGGACTTCGACAAGGGAGGCGTCGGAGATTAGAAAAGTGTTGATGTTGATGTTGACGTAAACGTTAAAAACAAAAACATCTGGAGCTGAGGTGGCCGAGAAGGAGAAATCCGGAGAGCTGATGAGAATCCGGTGTCTACTGCTCTAGAAGTGGTGTACTTGATGAAAGAGAGCAAGAGCTGTTGTAGATCTAGTTGTAGAGGTCGTGTCAGGAGAGTTCTTCATGGAAAGGTTCTGCGTGGTCCTCCTTCATGGAATCCTATTCCTATGCCACTTAAACACGGTTTAATCATAAACAAGGTTTCCCCGCATGTTGTGGATGCTGTATAATCGATCTTTCGCGTCGCTGCACACCGCCAGCACAATGCGCTGTGCACTTCCCGAAGTCGCTCCATTCTCCTAAGATGCAGTCCACCGGAACACCCTTACAGGCACTGGAATTGATGTTGCACCCCGTCACCTCCTTCGTGCTGCCTTCGCACTGCTCGCCGCCGTGTGACGAATACGTTGCGATCCGACGCGTTCGGTTTTGATTAGAAGCTGTTTCTACGCAGAAACTCTTTCGTGGCATCAAATCTTAATCACGCCCTCAGCTCATCTACTACCCCGCCAGCATCAAGTTGTCTTAGCGACAGATTTGCTCAACGTTGTTGTTTGAAGGGGAAGGGCTACACGCTAGAGGTAAAAACTAACCGGCTGTTTTATTTAGTGCTTTGAGCGCCGCTGGACCTAAACCTCGACCCTGTAAAAAGGGAAGAAGCCAATCAAGATTTGCAGCACACCTCATTAAAATGGGGAAAATTCTTAACTTTAATCCCATTACAGGCATTAGAGCAATCTGACCAGGATCCCCACTCGTCGAAGGCGCAGTCGACGCTTATGTCTCCGCATGGATGAGTGTTACATTTCTCGTATTTTCTATCGTCACCTACAATCGCCTTTCCGCAATAATTTGGCGTTGTGAGGACATGGCGGGCCGCGTACCGGTATCTAATCGATCGATAGAGAGGGAGAGGAATTGTGAGAGATACAGACTCAGTAGACTTCTCACTTGGGTGTAAAGAAGAAGTCAAGAGAACTTTAATATTGTAATCTACACATACCGATACCACGCACAGCACAAAAAAAAATATTACCCTCCCCCACAACTCGCACTACATTGTGACCATTCTGTCCATTCATTCCACTCGCCATCGACGCAAGGGGAATTGCACTCCGCTTCTTTGCATCCACGCACTTCAACACGGTCCTTGGCTTCACACAACTTTCCGACGCCTCTGGGTGCGACCTTTGGGTTTGCGTTTGGGATGAAAGGGAAAGAGATTGAGATTTCTTGATGAGAAAAAAACCGTAGTATTGTAGAGTAAGGCTTCTCAACAGAAAAAACCTCCGTAACAGTCATACAACTAGTACACGACTACTACACAGTTGAAAAAGAGTCGAGACGAGTGTGTTTAATTCCCACTGAGTCGATGATCATGCAAATACACGTAACCACAAACAACGGAAGTACCACAATCGCTCGACTCCTTTCTTGAATTCCGTTACCGCATGTCTTAGAGCAACTACTCCAGTACCCCCACTCGTCCCAGTGGCAGTCAACGTCCTCAGGACACTTTGCGAGGTTGCAGCCTTTGGTCTGATCGTGATTGCATGTGAGAAAATGGAATAGGAATGATCAAAGTAGAGTTAGAGAGGTGAGGATGTAGATGTTGGATTCTGACTTTCCTGTGAAGCTATGTATTCCTGCTTTTGTTTTTGTTCGAATTCGTCAAAGAACGAGGATTTCTATAACACACTCGCACCTGCAAAATTTCTATAGAAGTATACCTCAACCATCGGATCTCCGTGGCATACTTTTCCTCCCCACGCTGGATGCTCTTCGATACTTCGTTCCCTAGTCGTTTGTCCTTCGCCGCAAGTGACTGAGCAGTCTGACCAACATTAGCAGTCTGACCAACTCATTTTCCATCTTACGTACTAGAAGTAAATAGTCGTTCCTACCAGAGATGAACCGATGAGCTCATCTCCCCCTGAAAAGTCAGCCTTCCCAGGATCACGATGGAAGATGCCTCTAGAGATGTTGAAAGATGGATTTTTACTAGTGCCATAACAGTAGGACCATTCGGAGAGCTTACAGTCCACCTGTTCCTGGCCGTCGCAGACGATATCCACATTACAAGCTTCGGTTTGCTCTAGATCGGCGTCGCAAGGCTTGCCGTTGTTGAGGACTTCGGATTCCAAAACACGCTGTCGGAAACGCTGACCGCCGTCGCAGGACTTGGAACCTGATTGTGCAAATGGTTACCGCAATTGTCTGTTCTTCTTGAGTAAGAATTGTAAGCACCATTTTCTATTCGTTTCATGAACTCGATTAGATTTTTTTCATACCCCACGTAAGATGAGACGTACATTCACTCCAATCTCCCCATTCGGAGACGATGCAATCGATGGGATCTTTCCTGCAGTCTGGCGTGCATGCTTTTGATTCCACAACAGGTCCTTCGCATGGCTTTCCCTTGCCCGTTGCGTGCTGCTTCACTTCGCGGTTGCGCTGGCGAAGGCCAAAGTATTAGAGGAGGCAGGAGAAAAGTAAAGGAAAGCTCTACGGAAGGGAAAGATCTGCTACTTTCTTAGGAGGACAAAGTAAGATCAGGATCAAGGCACGAGATGAGATGTAATTAGTATTATGCGGTGGTACCACAAATAACAACTACAACCCACTTGATTTGTTCCATGTTGCCGTAAGTACAAGCACATGCACCCCACTCAGACCACTCCTTCCACTCGCAATTCTTGGTATTGCAGTCTGTGCCCTCACATTTTTCTACTTCGTACAGGGCTCCAGGTTCACAAGGTTTCCCCACGTCATTCGGCATCTTCGCGATCTCACGCTTTCTTGTTCTTTGGCTTTTGTTAGAAGAGCTACCTTCTTATGAGAAGTCTTTTTTTTGCCACATTGGGATTTTTCGTTGGTTTCTTTGGTAGAGAAAGCAACTAAAACAGTCACATTCTTGAGGATTGTGTGCAGTCTTGTGATTGTAGTGGTCTCAGGAATCTCTGTAGAGGCCTTAACTTCACCACATTCTGCACTACAAGCACCCCACTCATCCCATGGTGACATCTCGCAATTGACAGGCGGTAGCTCCTTAGGAGGCTGATCTTCTTTGCAGAGTTCCTCATTGCAGTCGGCGACCTCCTCTAGGACACCGTCACAGCCCTTTCCACCGTAGGCTGGCCAGGTGGCGACGATCATTAGAAGTGGGCGGTTGTTTGATCAAGCTCGAATTTGAAAACCTCGCATAACTCTACTGACATGCATCGATCTAGGAATTGCACAGTGAAAGTCACTTCAACTTCTACTGCAACAGCCCCGCGTTCTGAAAGCATTATCATAACTTCCTACTCCTCTGTTTCACTCCACCGCCACAGGAAGCAGTGCATTCACTCCATGAAGACCATTCGTTGAGCAAGCAATCCTTCGGTGGCGGTCCTGGTGGAGGCTCACAGACTTTTCTTAGAGGAGTTAATCGTTTGTTTCCATCTTACTCGAAGAGCATCTTGAAGTTGAAGTTTGATATGCTTCTTCTTCTTGTTGTTTCCACTTTATACTAAGGGACAACTTCAAGTACTATTATGATAAGTGGATGCTTCCGAAGATGGTAAGCACGGACTGGGAGAAGGCCGCTTAACTTTCCTGTATTACAAGCTTGAATTTCCTTCAAAGCGCCTTGGCAAACCTCGCCACCGTTCATAGGATATTCCTCAATGTGGCGGACGCGTTGTTGGATACCTTAGATAGATAGATAGATAGATAGATAGATAGATAGATAGATAGATGTACCCACTCGAATACTTGTACAAGTAATTGCTTAGGAGGGATTTGTTTGGTCTATTTGTTGCGGCAGAATAAGTATGTTGGAAAATGTGATGGTCTGGTATGATGTCCAGATCAGTGTTGGAAAATCTGAATCGTTGAAACCTAAAAGCACAAGCACTTCCTTGACTTTCAAGTTCAACTACACATCCGCCAGCCTTTGGATTTGGATTTTTTTGTATCCTGGGGCAACTGAAAGAGCGGCCTCAGCTTTATCCAGTTCGCAACCAAGAGGGGCGCAGTACGTTTCGCAATCAACAGAATGAGGGAGACAGCATGAAGGACTCACCACACAGAAAGAAAACAAAGGAACTTTCCAAGTTCAAAAACGCGAGACACACACTCACCATTGCAAGTGCAACTGCATGCGTTCCAGTCACTCCATTCGCCTATACGGCAATCCACCACCTCGGCGCAAGCCTCTGTTCCACAGGCTTCCGTCTCGCTCATTGTCTTCGCATCGCACAGCTTTCCTCCGTTTCGTGGTGAAATCTCAATATTGCGAGCCCGAGAACGCTGACCGCCACCGCAGCTGTTGGGATAAGGTACAGGTGGATGAGAACAACTAGATAAGTACTCTTCTGTTTCTAAAGGTACTATAGGTGGATGAGAACAAGTAGATACTCTTGTGGTTGCTGTTTCTAATGCATCGTGTAGTTTCTGTTTCTATTGCATGTATTTTTTCCGAGCACGATCATGATGATCATCACCTTCTGGCTCTGGTCTTGTCAAATAATTAAAGAACGATCTCAAGTACGTAGCACTGCAAGCGCTCCAGTAACTCCACTCTTCCCACAGGCAGTCTTCTACAACGTAACAGCTCTCTTCACTGCAGCCTCGAACCTCTACTAGAGGGTTCTTTTCGCATGCTTTACCTCCAAACTTTGCTTCCGCCTGTATCACACGCTTACGAGCTTGCTCGCCACCGCCACAGGTCTTGGAACATTCGGCCCATGACTCCCATTCGCTGGGGATGAAAAGAGAGGGAGAGGTGGCGCGGATTTTTGTGTAAGTCTATTAAGTTACAGAGATGGGCTGGGAAAAATAACACAGGTAGTATCTCTAATCGCCATACTCATCTGACAATCGATGGGCTCCTTGCAAGGATCTGCATTGCATGTTCTGATCTCCTTCATGGCTCCTACACAAGGCGCACCGCCTTGCGCACTAGGAGATCCTATCTCTCGCGTTCTTGACGCCTCACCGCCACCACACGGCTCACTGCACTCGCTCCAGTATGACCACTCTGCGAAGATACAGTCGACTTTTGGCTGTTGGTTGTAAGTGTGCGAAAAGATGGTAGAAAAAGAAAACACGACTGGCTCAGACACTTTTCAGTCGCGACGCTCAGACACTTTTCAGTCATGACGGTGCCATCAAAATCAAACATACAGAACAAGGAAAGTAACTTTCGGAGATACAAGAATTCTTAATTGAACCTTCACGCAATTCGGCTCGCACACTCGCGTTTCGCTGAGAGGTCCCTTGCATGGCTCGCCGCAAAAGTTGTTGTGCTCACATTAGAGCCTAGACCAACAAGAAGGAAGATAAATGAAAAGGTGGACTCAAACGGAATAAAGTGGAGCACTATATTGCAACTCCTCTGCTCACGAGCAGATAGTTAGAGGTGATTTTATCTTCAGAATCTCAACAATGCAAGACCACGTCGAACGATGTCTAGTATTGTGAGTCGTGTCACTAACGAGGAATGGGGTAAAATCCATAATGGTATATCTCCCTATGCCTCTCCTGCAGCCCGTTGCACGCGCAGTCACTAAATGAGCTCCAGTCGTCCCATACGCAGTCGAGGCACTCTTCACTCTCACACGCAGACACATCGCACGCCGCAACTTCCTTCTCTTGTCCCTGGCACTTATTCAGGTGGTCATAGCCCCACTCTATGTGCGCGTCGGAAAACGTGGATTGCTGGAGTAGGACTGACGTGCCGAGAAAGAGTTGCGCACGGGCGGTCATGGCTGTCTTGTTCGTATTGGACTTCGTAGTTATCCGGGGACGATGCCGAGATGATCTCAGTGCCGCTAGATGTCGGCTCGCCCGCCTTCGAGATCGGTGTCTGAACGAAACGCGCGGAGCTCCCGTGCTAGACGATGACGGGCACCGTCCACTCGCCCCGGGACTGGATTCCGAGTCCGAGTCCGAAGTCATGATGTTTCAAAAATTCAATGTGTTGCGCGTTCAACAAGGCATCTCGAGCTGTATAATGCTACACAAATGGTGTTTAGCTCAAATGAAAGGCGATACTGGAATCTCAGGAGCTCTATATTTTCCCGCTTTCTTTAGCAGGGTCTTTTTCCTCAGACAATTTCATCCTCTCGTGTATCAATGCTCACGGCAATTTCATCCCCTCGTGTATCATTGCTCACCTTCGCTTCTCTCAGGAGTTCAAAGACTTATTCTTACGGAGTCGCCGTGTCTGTTTGCGTATGCTGCATGCAATTCATGAAAGGTTTCTGGATCGCATGCAATTCATGAAAGGTTTCTGGATCGCCGTAGGGCAATCTTCTTTGGGGAAGAGTGGCGACATGCAGTCCAACGTTCTCTGGCTACTACAAAGGGGGCGCGAGATACTCTAGCTACTACACGTGTTTTCTAGTCCAACGTTTCTTAGTCCAACGTTCTCTAGCTACTATGAGTAATCACGGCCCCTTGTAGCGCCATCTGCGGGATGCAGTGTTAGAGGGGGTTATATCCAACACCATACGCCTTGGGGTACCTCTATGTATTGACGATGGTACTATCTAGCAGGTACTTCGAGACCCATCTAGCATGTGAGCGATGTAATTCTAATTTTCATGGACTTCTGATTTCGATTCTTCAAGTATTCATACGACAGACCATATATCATGCCAAATTCAATTATGTTGTTGGATGTTAATGTAGTATCAATACTTTTTTTCCTGTGTTCACCATTTACTAAGCATGATTCATGAAGTACTTAAATTCATTCTAAATTTTCACGTGTACAAAAATATTCTTAGAATGTAATGACCGCAGTCATCATAATAAGACACACCCCAGACTTCCTTTATACTGCTGCTTAGAGAAACAGCAGCTTTTTAAATTGTCCTACGACTTCAGACTGACTTCAAAGCTACCACAAGAAAACCCAGTTTCGTGTCAAGAGAGAGAATAAGAACGTCACCTACTTATTGGTTGCACCTAGAGTGCCTTGTTGGTTCGCATACTAAACTAGAGTATACGCCACCTTCTTAAATGAAAAGTTAGAAGAACTATAGAACAAAGCATCTACTTACTTCTTACGAAGCGACGCTAAGCTTACAGCTCTTCCTCCTTCTTCTCCTCGGCAACTTCTTCGTCTTCCTTCTTCTCCTCCGCGACTTCTTCGACTTCCTCCTTATCCTCTTCTTCCTTGGTCTCCTCCTCAGCCTCTTCTTCTTCTTCGTCCTCTGGCAGTTCGATCTCGCGGATGCCCTCTTCCGGGTCGACGCCCAACTGCTGCGCCATCAGCTTGTAGACGCGAGCAGCGAGGTCCTGGGGGTCGGACAACTCGTATCCGGACTCGATCAAGGCGGTTTGGAAGAGCATTTCTGCGGTGTTCTGGGCAGTCTTGTCCTCCTTGTTGTCCTTCACCTTCTGGAGCAAGTCGTGGACGACCTGTTGCGGTTTGTTGGATGAGAAAGCTTCAGTGGTTTGGATTTTGAAAGCTGTATAGATAAACTTCAACAAGAAAAAGGTCGTCTTCCGAGAATACATTGGTGATACTCTACAACAGGGTTATTCAGAAATCGGAGCAACACTACAGCATAATACTCGTAGCAACACTACAGCATAATTTTTACCGGATGGTTGCCGTTGATCTCCAGCGTCTTGCGGCCGGCCATCATCTGGATCTGTTCCTTGTTTTGGAAGGCTTGAGCTCGCATAATCTTTTCTTGGTGTGCGCTGTAACCGAACTGCGATGTGACGACGACGCACGGAGACTCGGTCAAACGCTTGGAGAGGACGACACCTGCGTGTCGTTGAAGAAGTAGTCCATATGATACACAACATGTCAGACAGCGAAAGAAACTAGACTCGCCGTTGTGGAAAAAGATCATGTACTATAGATACTAGCACTCCAAACATGTAGGTGTAGTACTCAACGGAACTCCTCGACACACGACTAAAATTAAATTAAGAGAATTACAGTACCATCGATCTTGACTCCCGTGCTCTTCATGCCACCAGATTCGGTGAGCTTGGTCAGCGTGTCCTTCCACCAGGTGGTGAGCGGCGTGTACAGCTCCTTCATCTTGTTGAAGCGCTTGATCTCTTCCTCGGTCTCTTCCAGCTTGACATCCGCCTTCTGGATAGACACAAACTTCTTGCCCTCGTAATCAGCCAACTTCTGGATGCATGGCTCGTCGAGGTGATCGGTCAACAAGAGGACCTCGATGTTCTTCTTCTTGAAGATCTGCAAGTTGGGAAGCTTCACCAGCGTCTCCATGGATTCACCTGGTTGGGTTGGTTTGTTGATGTTGTTGGGGAGCTATTGGAACGTAGTCGGAAAAAGCGAGTTGGAAAGACATGACAACTGTACAGAACGAAATGCTAAAGGAAACTAGAACAAGCTGTGTCATTGAGTATGTCGTGCTACGCAGTCAAGCAACAGACAAAACTAAGCATAAAGCCAGTACCGCTGACGTAGTAGATCGAGTCCTGCTTTTCCGGCATGTTGTCCAAGTACTTGTCGAGAGAGATTTCCTTTCCATCGGACTTGGTGGTGGTAAATCGGAGCAACTTGGAGATCTTAGATCGGTTGGAGTCGTCTTCGTAGCATCCCATCTTGAGGTTCTTGCCGAACTCCTTGTAGAAGGTCTCGTAGTGAGATTCGCCATCCTTGTCCTTCTTCTCGGGGATTAGAGATGGTGAAGACAGGTGGAGAAGATTTAGGTATAAGTACTCAATACCAACTGATGACTTGAAATAAGCGATCTAGGAATTCTCTTTACTTGCCACTGCTTCAATTCGCTATGTTTACATCTGCCCATGGCTATGTTTACAAGGCAAGTACAACCTCAAACGTAGTTATTACTTCGGGAAGGCCGCAAGTAAGTCTACTTAGAGAAGCGCTACAAAGACCATTCAACCCTCATATCCGAGCCGTAACTTCTTTTCTTCTCCGTCCTCTTCGTCAGCGTCTTCCTCGTCGTCGTCCTTTCCACTGTCCTTGGCCATCTTCTTCAAGAGTTCGAGGACCTTACGCACCAACTTTTTGGTGATGACCTTCATGATCTTGTTCTGTTGGAGCTGTTCACGAGAGACGTTAAGCGGCAAATCATCAGAGTCAACAACGCCGCGAATAAAGTTGAGGTAACGGGGAAGCAAGTCTTCGAACTTCTCAGCGACGAGAACGCGGCGCACGTAGAGTTTGACCTGAAAAAGTCGGTTCCTTGAAGAAGAATGGGAGATTGCGTTGCAGAGAAACTTCTAGATTTGTACTAACGGTTTGCAAAACCAAAAGACGTTTCGTTTCAACAAATAAGTAACATCTACAAGCTATTGCACGGACTACCTCGCTCTTCTTGGTCCAGTAGTTATCGAGCATGTCCATCGGAGCCTTCTTGGGCACGAACAGAATCGACTTGAAGTCAATTTCACCCTCAGCGTTGAAGTGAGTGTTAGCCAATGGCTCCATGTAGTCCTTGCTAATGGCCTTGTAGAAGTCGGTGTACTCGGCATCCGTAACTTCGTCCTTGTTTCGGAGCCAGATGGCTTTTTGGGTGTTGACCTGGTGTTAGTTTTGTGAGGATGATGCGTACGTGTTGTGTAGAAGTGCGACGTATCGTAGCAAGAAATTTATGTGAGAAACGGGATATCAAGGAGCTCGTATGAGCGTACTAGAACGTCCTCCTCAACGTCAGTGATCAAGTCAGAAAATGTTGAGAATCTATCTGTTCCTACTCGTGGACAGTGGTCTTCTTCTTAGAAAATATAGAGAGACTACCTGTTCCCACTCGTGGACAGTGGTCTTCTTCTTTTCCTTCGGTGCCTTCTCCTTCTTTTCTTCCTTCTCGTCATCCTCGGCCTCAGCCTCATCGTCATCTTCTTCGTCGTCCTCCTCCTCTTCTTCTGCTTCGACCTCCTTCTTGACCTTCAAATAGATCGGGTACTGGATAAACTGGGAGTACTTTCCAAGGACATCCTTGAGCTTGTACTCGGACAAGAAGTCATGCGCATCCTCCTTCAAGTAGAGAGTGACGCGGGAACCTGGTGCGTGGATTGGTAGCGTGGATGATCATCTCCACTTATCTTTCAGACTGAGAGAAATTTCTCCGCAGTAGCAAATCTCTACATGTAAGACTAAGAGAAATTTCTGCACAGTAGTAAATCTCTACATGTAACAAATCTCAGAGACCTTACAATAGGGATTGTACCTCGTCCCAAAGTGGGTCCTCGTGGGTCCTCAGACACCTGGAAGCTCGCATCGGCAGTGGATTCCCACACGTACTGAGTGTCGTCATCGTTCGCCTTTGAGGTGACGCTGACCTTATCAGCGACCAAGAACGCGGAGTAGAAACCGACACCAAACTGACCAATCAAGTTGGCATCGCCTCCCTCGGCCATGGCCTCGAGAAAGTTCGTGGTTCCGGACTTAGCGACCGTCCCCAAGTTGTTGATCAAATCCGCCTTCGTCATACCCACACCTAGGAGTTTGATTGGGGGAAAAAATGGAAGTGTTGATCAGACCCTGATGTTGTTGTTGATTGATGAAAATCAAGATCGGGGGAGAAGCTGGAAAAGATGACAAAAGAATTCCTCAAGTGTAAGAAAGAATTACTTGATGGTACCCTTCGTACACACGGGTTGACTCCTGCGATTTGTTCCTAGTACCCAATACTTACTTTCTTAGCGACGTTTTGCTCGTCATTGTTTGCTTTGTGCGGACGCACACTAAAGGCACGGGTCACTCCTTTATCCTGGCCAACAATCATCAAACATGTCCTACAGATCAGCGTAATCTCTTACCAGTATCCGTGATGGACAACGTCTTTGCTTCTGGGTCGAACTCGATTTTGATCTCCAAATCCTTGGTATCTCCCAAGAAAGCGGCATCCTGAACCGACAGAAATCGCGTTTTTTCCAGTGCATCTGCTGCATTGGAGATCAACTCACGAAGGAAGACTTGCTTGTCGGTGTAGAGCGAGTTAATAATGATGTCCATCAAACGCGACACCTCCGCTTGAAACTCGTGCTTCTCACCGGAAGACTCCATCTGAGTGTGAGATGGGGGAATTTGCAACCAAATTTGAATGCGTAAAAAACATGTAGACAATTTTGGTGGCTCCGCACTATACAAAAAGCTCTTCACGCCACGAATCCAACGGTCGATCATTCAACAGACTGAAAAAACTCCGATCTATAAAGTCCTACCTGCATTTAAGGTACAAAAGATACGAACAGAAAGACCTAGGACCACACAAACATCAATACCTTCTCCAGCTCTTCTTTTGAGAATCCATCAACCTTGGAAGCTGGCTCGGCAGCGTCAGCCGTGGCCTCATCTGGTTCTGCGGCTGCCTCCGCTGCCTTGTCCTCCTCCGGTGGGGGGTTGACTGCCGAAGCAATATGGGGCAGGGCCCCAGCAATCAAGAACTTCCTCAGCAGTTTCATCTTGTTTGTGCTTGTGGTGGGTAGGACGCCTGGACGATATCTATTTCCTATGGAGGGAGGACGAACTTCTACTCTAGTCTAGTACGGGACTTCTACTACGACTACTTCTGAGGATGGACTAGGGAGAGACACGAAGGATTCGGTCTACGCGAAGACGTAGGTTGAGTGAGAGGCTGAAACAAGATGGTGTGAAGTTATCACAGATGTAACTTGCAAGGGGTGAAATTGAACCAAGCAATAGAAGAAATACGAGCACACAAGGCTGTAATTAACCAAAAGGCTGTAATTAACTTCTATTTGCCGCTAGATGAATGAAAAAACTCTTTCCGCCGTCGTTGTAATAGTATTTCTTGTTCGACTACTGGGGTACAACACCACCTGCCGCTGTAGGATGAAAAGAAGTTCAACGAATTAACTGCTTGGATGAATAATCCGAACAAGGACGCCCCTCCTCCTTTGCGAGACTTGGGGGACCTGCAATCACAACATTGCAATTCTATACAGACATTGTTCAGAAGAGAAAAATTTCATTTGTGAAATATACTCTGATAAGTAAGACACGTGTGGCTATGAGTGATACTGTCGATCAGGATCCTTCTCGTGTTCACCACCTGCACCAGGAATGACGGACCAGACACAATGCACACCAGGACCCACGTATGACTACTTGAAGGTACCACTGAGAACAAACCATGTGGATGCTTTCAGGAACACTGCGCTTAAGGAATTCTAGAAATTCTAATTCGTCGAGAATGATTTCGGACTCGAGTTGGACACTCGTTTCAATGCGGAAAAGCCTTGGAATGAGAACACTGATGAACCAGTTCGACATACTCGATGAAAAAAATTGTGATGCTCTGTGTCATGCGCATTCATTCCTGCGAAGACACAATCGAACTCGCTCAGCCTCGCAAATGCATCAGTTGTTCGCACATACCTATTGCATTGCGTAGTCCTCTAGCTGTGAAGAAGATATGCAGTACCATACGTTTATTCCGCTTACTCTACTGTCGTAACCAATGTTGATGCTCTACAGGTGTATGCCCCAATTCACGGAGTGTATCTCCATACCAAGGTAGTAATACTACTAGTGCACATCACTATGTTAATGGAACTACTTGCAAGGGAAAATCTGTAATGTTCATTGGCATTACAAATACCTTTGGCTGTTCTTGCGTCTGACGGTATCTGCGCAAGACAGCGAACAGAGCAATTGCGTCACCCTGCGGTGATACCTGATTCGGTGGATATGAGAAGGGAAGGATATTTAATTCTGTCCGTTTCATTTTACTATACTTATGGATACTTTCACTGATTCGCGATTGGAAGAAGGGAAAATGACTAATAACCAGAGGTATTGCACAGGACACGACTAGGGCTAGGACTATCGTATTCCACTAACTTTGCGCTCTGCCATGCAGACGACGTTCGGCAAGAGTAGGTGCTCGGTTGCTTTCCCTCTCTGTAGACCGTTTGAATTTGTATACCTGCACACCTATTCAAGATACTTTCTACGGGAACTTCTGTGGAATTCAGTGATATTAGACCTTACTTGTATTCATCTTGGAAAGCATCTTTGACGCAGTTCCCTCTTGAAAAAGGGATCAAAGATGCCTCTTAAGATGAATAAAAGTAAGTCTTAATGATAGTACTCCCGGCGCGATACCTACCGATATCGTTTGATTGAAAAATATAATGCAGGGAAAACTGAGGGAAAAGGACACTTAGTGATGCTACTCCTAGTCACCACCGCATTCAAATCCAATAAAATCCTGTTGCAAGTCACTGAATTCCACAGAAGTTCCAGGTAGCGGTCTCTATCATACTCCCGGTAGCGTACTCTGCTATAAATGAGTTCCTTTTTTCGCGACGTCCTCTTGATTAGCGACCTGCTCTTGATTACAAAGTCGTCCAGCGACTACATGGTACTACATACACTTTTTTCCGGTAGCCCTCCTAGATCTACTCCCACATGAGTTCCCCAGACATTGCCCATCTGCCACTACTTCTCCTCCTTCCCACCAGGCGCACCAGGTCCACTAAACGACGACCTACTACCTCCTGGTTCTCCTGCCATCTCCGCGTCCAGTTGAAGCGTCTTCGAGTGTTTCCGCAGATTCTTGGCAAAATGCTTGAGGAAGCGCTGTGCGTCTTTGTGGGTGATGCCATCGGATAGGTCGCTCCTACCACTTTTCACGGAACCCACGTTACTGGCAGCATCCTCATTGTTGAAGCTTGTTCCTCGGATCTTCATAATCATGTGTGATCCACTGCGCTTATCCTGCTTCGCATCTTGGCCTCGGCTGGTTGAAGACGACGCTGTCGGATCAGCGCCAGACCCTGCTTGCTCGAAGATTCTGCTACTCGACTTAGAGGAGCCCTGCTGCTGATCCTTCGCAACTAGCACAAGCCCCATCTCATTACACAAAGCGAGTAGTTCCTCCTTCTGCGTTACCACATCCGTCTCAACCGTGGCTGCACGACGAACCGTCGTGCGCGCCTTGTCCTTGCTACTGCGATAGGTTGTGCCACGGGCAGTGGAAGCTGTCGACTCACCAGCACCAGCAGTCGTCTGGTCACCACCATGGTGGTCAAGTCCGTTCCTCTCTCGCTGCTGTTGGTCAATAGAATCCTCAAATTCACCCGCTCCTCTACTCGTCGAGGATCCTCTCTTAGCGCCACTGCTGCTACTGCCCTTTGCACTTCGTTTTTCGTGTTTCCCGCCATTGCCGTTCTTATCTCGATCTCGCGTTGTTTTCTTCGGTTTATCACGAAAGGTGGAGGTACTCGAGGAAGCGGCATCACCGCCGAAGAACGACGCAACCGGAGTGTTGTTGATCGGAGGCTTGTTTGTGTTAGTGGTAGGAGTAGAAGTAGTAGTGTACCCATTCATGGGGTATAACGTGCAACAAACGAAGTGATGCTCCCAACACTACATCACTACCAACACTACATCACTATCAAACCAAAGTCCGATACACAACGTCTACCACGACAGTGAATGATACTCATTTCATAAATTGTCTCGCAGAATTCAGCTCACCTTCCTGTGTCGAAGAACTGGAGGCCACCAGTGTTGCATCAGGCGGTTGAAAGCCCAATTCGGCTGTCTCCAACGTAACGCGCCATTTGCGAATAGCTTCTCGATAATCGCGATTCTTGCGGATGCGCTCGATTGGACGACGATCTCTTGTGTTAGAAAGCGGCTGTGAAACGACGCTACAATGATCCTAGTTTTGCAGTGAGACTAGGACTAGCAAGTTAGTAAGTACTTTGATACTGCTAGGTTTCATGGGATTTGTCAAAAGTAGAAAAAACTGAAAAAGCTAGTCTTCATAATCTTCACTTCTTTCTCACTGGATGGCGATTCCGGTTTACTCTGTTCGGAGCGGGACTGAGCTACTGCTCGAGCTGGTCCCCTGACCATACGTAGGGCTTCTAAATCTTCTTTGCTCGTTTCCCGAGAAGGCATCAAGGCTATGCTGTTGCTGTTGTCGTCTCGGAGATTAGAGCCAGAAGTTGGACTTATGGTGCTTCTATCAAAAATTCTAGCGACGCGCCAGGATGGACGATGATGCTACTAGCAGCCATAAGCAAAGGCCCATCTTTTCCGGACGCCTGAATTCGCGGCTCAGCTGCTCTGAGAGCGGCATGTAACTTCTGGCTTGTCTCTGCGTCGCGTAGAATCTTTCGTGAACGTGTGGAGACAGTTGCGCCAACCGGCGATGCTGCACCTGATCGAACAAGTACAGTATCTATAACCGAGCAATTTATAAGGTTTCACAGCTCGCATGGCATGGAGTGCATGGATCACATGGAGTAGCATGGAGCTAAAGCGGGAGCTTCTTGCGCCCCTTAAAGCTCTGCGCTCCATGCACTCCATGCTACTCCATGCACCATGCGTGCTATAAACTACTCTGCTATAAAATACAAATTAGTTGTAGTTCTTTCTTGTGCAGTGATGAACATTATAAGCAAGGACATTTTTGAACGAGCACAATCTTGTACCACCTGAAACTTCGCCTGAAACTTGACGCGAGGCTTTTCCACTCGATCGACCGCTTTCGCCACCTGAATAAGGATTGTTCTTGGTCAGATTCAAAGATGACCCTTACTGGCCGTTGGTGAAGCAAAACTTACTCAGAGGCAGCCGTATAATGTGTTCAATAAATACCATTCTCCAACAGCACCCTGACTTCGACACCATCGCTGGTCCAGCTTCTAACACTGCGGCGTTCACCTTGCTCGGCCACACTAACATGTCGTTCCATTTCAAAGGAAGGGACTGGCGGAGAAAAACGGTCTTCCATAAAGTGTTCTTTAGCCACGATACTATGAATCTTCGCTGCTGCGCCAAAGCCCGAAGGAGAACGCGCCGCGACTTGTAAGGAGGAAGACGGGGAATCCGGTTCCGGACCTGCGTTTGCAGCGGAGGAGAATGAAGAAGATGCTCCACCCACAGCAGCTCCAGACTGATCCTTGTTCTGTAATTGTTCCGGTCGATTCTTGCTAGATTCGGAACGATTTTTGCTGGACTGCTCAGATCTATTCTTACTCGAAGAACAACTGCCCCCTTCATGCTTTTTCCTCTCTCCTTTCGGACTGGTTCCGTTTGAAGATTTACCTTTGCTCCTGATCTTGTTTGTCAACGACATCGACGCAGCAGCACCACCAGCAGTAGTTTTGTCTTGTTCTTGTAACACTCTTTCATGCAGAGTAGGAGACGGAGTAGAGGAAGACGGAGTTTTGATGGTCAATTCTGTTAGCTGTGCGGGTACATTCTTGCCGCTACTTGTTTGCGGACGACTAGAAGTTGCGTCGGATGACGTCGAGGCAGTGATGCTGACCATAGAAGAACTACCTTCTACTGCAACTACTCCACTGTGCGAAGATGTAGTATTTGCATTCTGTTGAGACGAAGTAAGACCCGAAGCAGATGCAATCTCGTTCGTATTTTCATCTACTGCTCTACCCTTGTCGTGGGCTGCACTAGAAGTATTCGTGTCCTGGTGCTGGTCACGTGGCGACCTTTTCTCATTAGAAGAAGACCACACAAGAAGTAGACGAAGAAAGTCGTGACGATTTGGGAAAAAAAATCAAAAAAAATCTTAAGTGCTTGCGCCGTCAAATCGCTATTCACGTGCAATCTCCCCCTTGCGGCGCCGAGAGAGTACATATCCTGTCTGCTGGACTTGCTCGTGTGAGCGCTTATAATCGACGCACCTCCGCTTAGGCTTAGACATAGAGGCTTTTGATTACCCTAGCTGCAAATCGTCCACCTTGTTCTCGCGTCGTGGACTGTTCCATCAACAATTTCAGACTACTGTGCTTGGAAAACTTAAACTAAAAGAAGTACTTCGATCCTTAACATGCTAGCGCTCAAAGTGGGCGCTGGAGCTCTACGTCCTGCACCTCGGTTGCTCACTCGGGACATCCGTCTCGACTCGCGACTGCTTGTTGAGGCCCTCGACAACAAAAGCATATCATGCTGGTGCGCCTCTTGAGCGACGCCGGGTTGATTAGAGGAGCAGAAATTGTTGAGGATTCGTAAGGTATCTTGTTTGACTCGCATGGACGTAGAAGAGGGCGTTCAAGGAAGATGACGATGTGTAGTGAGGACAAAGACAGAGGGATGTTTTGTTGAGACACATTACCACTTCATAAGAATACTCCGCTCTCTCCTCCCACCAGCTGCAGTTCGCAAATCCTCGATGTACTTCGCTAGTAATGGGTGTATATTCGAAGAATCCTTAGCTCGCTCCCTTCGATGAGCTCGGTCTGCCACCATCTCCTCAAGTGTTTCAGTTCGCGCTGGCATTGATAATCGAGTCGGGGGTGCGTCTTTGTTCTGGGAGGATTAGACGAAGCGGGCGTGGATGAAAGGGAAATTGATTTTGTTGGGAAAACAAGGCTCATGGTCATGGCTAGAACAAGATCGTGGCATTAAACAATACAACAAGAAGCAGGTTGTATACATAGTAATGAGTTATACAACATGATAGCCATAATCCTGAGGACGCCACTTGTCTTCTGTCATGTCCGTTGCATCTGATTGCTCTCTGCTTGATTTCCGCTGTTGCTCCGAGTTCGAGAGGCTTGCTGTCCGCCGACTACTACTCAAGACTTCACTGGCACGTTGTTCCATGCTTGCTCTTCGAGAAGGTTGAGACCCACCTTCGAGAGTGCTAGCGTCGCGACTAGACCAGTGCTGGAAAGAGGCAGGACGAACGATGTCTTTCAGGGAATCTAGTACCTTCGATTCTTTGGGAGATGCAGCTGGTGTTGGTAGGCTTGGAGGCACAACAAGAGCGCTCGCAGGAGTAGTCGTTATAGGTGTCGCTGCTTCGGTAGTTGTTCCTGGTTGTTGCACAGTAGGTTGTTGCACACTAGGAGGTTGTTCCACACGGGTGGCGGCTGGCTTCGACGCCTTCGTCACAATTCCACCTTGAGGCTTGTTTGCACTAGTCGAAGCAGAATTTCCGGTTCCCGATTGAAGATCTCCTGCTGCATGATTAGTAGTCTTGCTGCTCTTGGCTTCCTCACCCTGAGCCACCTTCGAGGCTTCCTTCTTGTCAGCTGCAGCTCCACGAGAGTTGCTGCTCGAAGGATCTCCAACACCTTGCCCAGCTCTGTCCTTGTGTTCGTGAGGGCGTTCACCGTGCAGTCGCTTGCTTCTCGTCTTTGTGTGCTGTTCCTCTCGTCCACCTGCTCTAGTACTCGAATCCTGTTGGCCACTAGAAGTTGCTGATCCACCCGGTTGATGACGATCGCCATTAGCAGCATCTCTTCCACCATTGCGATTACCATGGTTCTTGGTAGTTTTAGACCTAGATGAAGTACCTTTTTTTTTATCTTTTTCTCCATGATCTGGTCGTCCTCCGCCTTGATGCTTCTTTCCAGTACCAGTGGTAGCAGCACCACCAGTTTTAGTATGAGCACCTGCGGAGGCTTCTGCAGTTCGTGCCCTTTTCAAAGCTTTCGCACTGTACGACGATCTGGCGCCTCCCTTATCCTTCTTAGAGGTAGGGGCTTGGCGTTAAAGTTCCCCGTTTGCTATGCTTTTCCCCTTTTAGAGTGTCAAAACAAACGGAATCAAAAATGCCAAAAACCTACCCTTCGCCTTACACGGTTTCTCGACTGCTGCCACGTCCGTCAGATCTTCGGCACTGGCATGCCCTTTCACGCGTTTTTCTACCAAACCACGCCAACCCTTAGTGGAGAACGAAGAGGGCCAAGATCAGAGAACCAGAAGAAGAGCTGTTTTAAATGATATTAAGGTTCAACCTTTACGCAATATCTAACTTTAGGTGTAAGTAATTACATCACTCCTCTTCTTGGCAAGGAGATTGTAGTCACAAATTCAGATAATGTGATGAATCCATGCTTTGTTAGTCATATGATATTATTAGTCCAATTCCTATCACATTACCATTCTACATCAGAAGATGTGTAATTTTACTTCCCTTGACTAGACGAGATCATGAAGCCTTAAGATTATTAACCTGATTCGTTTGTCGCATATAAGCTGCCTCGCGTATTGTTTGCAAGGTTGGCGCACCCATTTCACAAGGCGGAGGAATGACCGCTGAGAAATTATCATCTTCTTCATCGAAAGTAGTCGAAGCGTTCCCGGAACCTGCAGCTCTCATACTGCTGCCAAGGTGGTTTTTAGTGGACCTGCAAACGCCATCAGTCGTGTGTCTCATCAAATAGTGAAGTATTCTGCAAAGTATAGTGAAAGTGGTGCTCTATCTACTCCTGCTCGTACTTGATTCTAACAACTTTCACAGCAGTCTTCCATTCGATTCCATGAAGTCTATCACTGGCTAGCATGCCAGCACCTAGACTATGCGATGCTCTGCGCCCTCAGAAGAGAAGACACAAGACGCAACGTGAGAATGAACGTCTACCAATGAATATACACCTTACGCTTAGTACAATCACCTCCATGTCGATAACACTGATTTATTTTTTGGTCCATCGCACGAAAATCATTGTTATGGACATGTCATTGGCAAATGCATTGCTGCTTTTTGTTCTCGCAGTAGATTCTAACAAGCTTTGAAGCGGAGAGAACAGTACACGAGATACACAGAGGACTAGTATTAAGGGTAAGGCCTCCATGTTCATAACACTGATTTTTGTTTCCGGTGCGTCAGCTGAGGAAATTTGTTTCGCGAAAGACGGCAAAATACGTACGAATAGAGAGGATAGGCCATGGTTTTCCAGCAAGGGCCACATGCCACCCCACCTAGAAGCGCCGCCAGGTGTTCTGGCTCCAGCAGTTTTTTTTGTAGGTTGCTGATTTTGATGATGCTTCGCACCACCAGCATCATTTTTGTAGTCTCCTGCTGAAGCACTTGCAGGAAGTTCAACGCTCCTCGGTGAGTCTACTTCGTCGTGGAGGGGTGTTTCCCCTCTGTGATCTGCAACAACTCGCGACCTGGGTGTCTTCACGCCTTGACTTAGAGGTAATTAACGCTATTCAATATTCATCTTTCCACTCCAACTCCATCCCTGAAAATTATAAAACTAAAGGGCTTGGCATCCTTGGCAACATGAACATCCTTCCGTGGCTCTTTCTCGGTTATAATTGTGTTTTTCTACTTGCTTATTTTGAGTATTCGAGCTGTAGAAAAGCGGCGAAAGATATTAAGTAACGCTGAGGAAAATTTGCCGGTAGCCTTATTTGACCTTCCAAAGATGTTCCACCACGCGAATCGATAGACGACAAGGGCGGATGATCTCCACCTGGAGGGGGCGCAGCTTGTATTGGACGCACCGACAACCCATGATCCGTTGGAGCATCTTTTTTTAGCGATTTATTTCAAAGCTAAAAGATGCTGCGAGAGATGGGATGGCGGTGCCCTTACTTGTTTTATCGTGCACGGATTCTGGTGTCTACTACTATTCTGCCGACGAAAAGCCGCAGAGTGCCACCGAACTGATTCCCCTCCTGTCGTGCCACAACGGCTGGCTCCAAAGCCGCCCGAGGATTGGCCAATTTGTTAGATGAAGCGGATGCGCAAATGCGTTTGGATTTGCAACTTCAAAACTAGAAGTACAGGTCGTCTTGCTAGAAATAAGGTGAACCTTAACTTTCAGGCAAACTTCCGGAAGCGCCTTTACCCAGCGAAGCAAGTGATCTAGCATATGGATGGCGTCTATTCCATCTAGGCACAGACCATCACGGCTATCCCTTTCCCGATAAAAACGTAGAAGTACTCTTACGAGGAGGGGCCCCGATGGTCTGATAGATGCAAAAAACATCATCCATATAGCAGACAATAATTTTGATGAAGGCTCCTTCTGTTCCGCAGGATCACCTTCATTCTGCTCACCCAGCTTGTTTCTTGTGACAGAGCTTTCGGTCCTATCATCGTCCTCCAGCTCTTCTAGAATGAAGAAAAGAAGTAAAACAAGTGTGAACTCATAGATAATTATGATCAAGAAATTAGGGAGTTACAGTTTCCCACTTAGAGATATTAGCGGCCTTTGACTACTTAATTTCAACTTTTTGAGTCATCATGATCTAAGTAAGTACACACTTTTATTGCCTGTCAACATATCCTCGTCCCTATGGCTTTCATTCGGTGATAGCGTCCCTCGTCCGTTGTCGTCGTTCGAGCGTTGTACTGGCGACTCTGTAGAATTATCCTCCGATACAGGGCCAGTGACAGACACCGACAGGTGCTCTACAGGTTCACCCAAGTCGCTTCGCAAGGAATAGAGCCAATGTTTATCCAATAGGTTGTTTTGCAGCCCAGAAAAATCCAGCTCACCCAGTCTGGCCCTCTCTTCTTTAGAGCTACCGCGCCGCATCTTCCTCTTTGAGTGCCATAATGTCCTTGGAGGATGCGACTTTTCCCCTTAAAAAAAGGGATCAAGGATGATGCTGAGGCTGAGGATGCTCTTTTGCTGGTTGCCATAACTTGAATATTGTCGATGGCATCGTCGACCTCCTCCTCAATCAGAGAGAGGGAGCCTCTTTGTCCCAGTTCTCGTTCCCTTGTTTCAGCTGCTGACGCGGCTGGCAATGCTTCTACAGAATTGACGATGGTCGCGACATCTTCTTCCTGCGCCATCATTGAGAGAAGACCGGAAACCACCTGCGGTGAAGGCATCTTCCTAAGCGGGCTTGACGGTCTCATATCTGGAGAAAAGGGTCCGACTTGTTCTTGTGCGGTGCTTAGAAGAGACTAGACTAGTACTAGAGGTATCTATCTTAAGAACAAGACGAAGAGATGAATGAGATGAATCGCTGCGACGACAGCTGCATTCAGTTTGTCTCATCTCGAAGGAGGAGATAGAAGCACAAGCACGACAAAGCACAACATCAACACGACAATGTCCTTCATAATTTTCCCAAAGTTGTATATGGGTTAGGCAACAGGTTGTTGTCACGGTTTTCGCTACTCGTGATCGTTGCTGGAGACCGCGTAAAAACTGAAAACACAATCTCTGCGAGATTGTCCGACTTGGGGAACAGGTTCGCAAAGCACGTAGTCACCGCAGAGGCCGGAGAAACGGTGAGAGAACGGCGTGCTGCAGCAGAAGATCGCGGTGCACCACGTGCTGCAACAGTTGCTGCAGTCTTATTTTTCCCACTAGATGCAGTCCTTTTCCCACTACTAGTCGTGCTTTTGATAAGCGCGTCTCCTTGTTGATCGTCCGGGACGTTGTCACGACAGGATTTCGAAAGACCCTCACTGTTCATCATGCGTTTGTTGCTACGGCTACCAGCAGACTCTGCAGTAGACGTAACAAGAACATCCTTGTAGCTGTCCGAAGGACTCTTGGGTTGCTGGCTAACTCCCACAGCATAATGGCGTTCCTGCTCGACCCATAGCCGCGGAACGATGTCTAGCATTTTGTGGTCGTCGTTTATTTCGTTCATGATTTGGTTTACTTCTTGTTGCTGTTCAGACACATTCTTGAGTTAGAAAGTGGTAGTGCTTGAAGCTTTCTCACGTTGACCCAAATGTTGACCTCAAAAGTGAAAGATAGGCTCGACCACTGCCTCCTCTACTTCAGAAAAAGTCATGAAGCACGACTCCCTCCTATGAGAAGTCAGCATCAGCGGATAATCATGAAAAAAATCCTCTAGTAATATACAAATGATCGTCCTCAACTGTAAGTACTCATCTCCAAACTCGCTTCGTTGCTCGCAGTAGGCATAGAGTGGAATTCGCCAGACCTGGAAACATTCCTCGGGTTCAGAGTGCCTGAACCCGTTGTTCCTAGTCTTTCTCGACCACTATTTGCGTCCCACGCGCCGTCGCACGTGAGGAGGTTCATGGTATTAGAAGGAGTAGAGGAGATTCATCGTATAATAATATCCGAGACCGGACTGGATCTCACCTCACTCGCCAAAGGCCAAATATTTGCCAAACGCCAAATTTTTTGCCAAAGCCCAAACTTTTGCAAAGCCCCGAACTTTTTGCAAAAGCCCAAACTTTTCCAAAACCCCAAAATTTTTGCCAAGGCCCAAACTTTTGAAAAATCCCAAACTTTTTGCCAAAGCCCAAACTTTTGAAAAGCCCCAAACTTTTCACAAAAGCCAAACTTTTTGCCAAATCCCAAACTTTTTGCCAAGGCCCAAACTTTTGCTAAGCCCCCCAAACTTTTGGCAAGGCCCAAACTTTTGCAGAGCCCTAAACTTTTCCCAAAAGCCCAAACTTTTCCCAAAGGCCCAAACCCTTTCCAAAAGCTCAAACGCTTCCCAAAGCCCAAACTTTTCGCCAAACCCCAAACTTTTTCCAAGTGCCAAAACCTTTCCAAAGTCCCAAACGTTGCCCAAAAGCTCAAACTTTTTCCAAGTCTTAAACACTGCCCAAGCCCACAGCCACAACCACAGCCATAGCCACCACAGCCACAGCCACGAGCCAAGGCCACGAGCCAGGGCCACGAGCCAGGGCCACGAGCCAGGGCCACGAGCCAGGGCCACGAGGCAGGGCCACGAGCCAAGGCCACGAGCCAGGGCCACGAGCCAAGGCCACGAGCCAAGGCCACGAGCCAAGGCCACGAGCCAAGGCCACGAGCCAAGGCCACGAGCCAGGGCCACGAGCCAGGGCCACGAGCCAGGGCCACGAGCCAGGGCCACGAGCCAGGGCCACGAGCCAGGGCCACGAGCCAGGGCCACGAGCCAGGGCCACGAGCCAGGGCCACGAGCCAGGGCCACGAGCCAGGGCCACGAGCCAGGGCCACGAGCCAGGGCCACGAGCCAGGGCCACGAGCCAGGGCCACGAGCCAGGGCCACGAGCCAGGGCCACGAGCCAGGGCCACGAGCCAGGGCCACGAGCCAGGGCCACGAGCCAGGGCCACGAGCCAGGGCCACGAGCCAGGGCCACGAGCCAGGGCCACGAGCCAGGGCCACGAGCCAGGGCCACGAGCCAGGGCCACGAGCCAGGGCCACGAGCCAGGGCCACGAGCCAGGGCCACGAGCCAGGGCCACGAGCCAGGGCCACGAGCCAGGGCCACGAGCCAGGGCCACGAGCCAGGGCCACGAGCCAGGGCCACGAGCCAGGGCCACGAGCCAGGGCCACGAGCCAGGGCCACGAGCCAGGGCCACGAGCCAGGGCCACGAGCCAGGGCCACGAGCCAGGGCCACGAGCCAGGGCCACGAGCCAGGGCCACGAGCCAGGGCCACGAGCCAGGGCCACGAGCCAGGGCCACGAGCCAGGGCCACGAGCCAGGGCCACGAGCCAGGGCCACGAGCCAGGGCCACGAGCCAGGGCCACGAGCCAGGGCCACGAGCCAGGGCCACGAGCCAGGGCCACGAGCCAGGGCCACGAGCCAGGGCCACGAGCCAGGGCCACGAGCCAGGGCCACGAGCCAGGGCCACGAGCCAGGGCCACGAGCCAGGGCCACGAGCCAGGGCCACGAGCCAGGGCCACGAGCCAGGGCCACGAGCCAGGGCCACGAGCCAGGGCCACGAGCCAGGGCCACGAGCCAGGGCCACGAGCCAGGGCCACGAGCCAGGGCCACGAGCCAGGGCCACGAGCCAGGGCCACGAGCCAGGGCCACGAGCCAGGGCCACGAGCCAGGGCCACGAGCCAGGGCCACGAGCCAGGGCCACGAGCCAGGGCCACGAGCCAGGGCCACGAGCCAGGGCCACGAGCCAGGGCCACGAGCCAGGGCCACGAGCCAGGGCCACGAGCCAGGGCCACGAGCCAGGGCCACGAGCCAGGGCCACGAGCCAGGGCCACGAGCCAGGGCCACGAGCCAGGGCCACGAGCCAGGGCCACGAGCCAGGGCCACGAGCCAGGGCCACGAGCCAGGGCCACGAGCCAGGGCCACGAGCCAGGGCCACGAGCCAGGGCCACGAGCCAGGGCCACGAGCCAGGGCCACGAGCCAGGGCCACGAGCCAGGGCCACGAGCCAGGGCCACGAGCCAGGGCCACGAGCCAGGGCCACGAGCCAGGGCCACGAGCCAGGGCCACGAGCCAGGGCCACGAGCCAGGGCCACGAGCCAGGGCCACGAGCCAGGGCCACGAGCCAGGGCCACGAGCCAGGGCCACGAGCCAGGGCCACGAGCCAGGGCCACGAGCCAGGGCCACGAGCCAGGGCCACGAGCCAGGGCCACGAGCCAGGGCCACGAGCCAGGGCCACGAGCCAGGGCCACGAGCCAGGGCCACGAGCCAGGGCCACGAGCCAGGGCCACGAGCCAGGGCCACGAGCCAGGGCCACGAGCCAGGGCCACGAGCCAGGGCCACGAGCCAGGGCCACGAGCCAGGGCCACGAGCCAGGGCCACGAGCCAGGGCCACGAGCCAGGGCCACGAGCCAGGGCCACGAGCCAGGGCCACGAGCCAGGGCCACGAGCCAGGGCCACGAGCCAGGGCCACGAGCCAGGGCCACGAGCCAGGGCCACGAGCCAGGGCCACGAGCCAGGGCCACGAGCCAGGGCCACGAGCCAGGGCCACGAGCCAGGGCCACGAGCCAGGGCCACGAGCCAGGGCCACGAGCCAGGGCCACGAGCCAGGGCCACGAGCCAGGGCCACGAGCCAGGGCCACGAGCCAGGGCCACGAGCCAGGGCCACGAGCCAGGGCCACGAGCCAGGGCCACGAGCCAGGGCCACGAGCCAGGGCCACGAGCCAGGGCCACGAGCCAGGGCCACGAGCCAGGGCCACGAGCCAGGGCCACGAGCCAGGGCCACGAGCCAGGGCCACGAGCCAGGGCCACGAGCCAGGGCCACGAGCCAGGGCCACGAGCCAGGGCCACGAGCCAGGGCCACGAGCCAGGGCCACGAGCCAGGGCCACGAGCCAGGGCCACGAGCCAGGGCCACGAGCCAGGGCCACGAGCCAGGGCCACGAGCCAGGGCCACGAGCCAGGGCCACGAGCCAGGGCCACGAGCCAGGGCCACGAGCCAGGGCCACGAGCCAGGGCCACGAGCCAGGGCCACGAGCCAGGGCCACGAGCCAGGGCCACGAGCCAGGGCCACGAGCCAGGGCCACGAGCCAGGGCCACGAGCCAGGGCCACGAGCCAGGGCCACGAGCCAGGGCNACCCACACACCACCACGACACCCACACACCACCACGACACCCACACACCACCACGACACCCACACACCACCACGGCACCCACACACCACCACGACACCCACACACCACCCACACACCACCACGACACCCACACACCACCGCACCCACTCACTCACACCACCACACACACACTCGCCCACCCATGGGCGGGCCTTCCTACCCACAGCCCCACCCAGTTCCGCCCGCGTATGGGTTTGCCCGCCCACAAACGTACCGGGCGAGCTTGTTTCAAAGGCCTAACGACATGGCCGGCGACTTGTAATTAGAAGGAGTAGAGGGTACTACAATCCTAGGCAACGAAAAATGTCCCCAACTAGTTCGAGTAGAAGACGTGTTTTGTTCCAAGATGGATACGGGCCTTAACATTCGTGCCCCCACTCATCTGTGCGTTGAACATTTGCCGCTTCATCCTTGCCTCTGTCGTTCCTCCAGTGTGCTGTCTAGAACTAGCCAACTCGGAAGACGTACGACTCGAGGCGCTATCGCGTTCGCTGATAGGATACATCTCGCTCAACTTGTCACTGATTCTATCCGAAGCGGCGATGCTGCTGAGGTGACCGAGAAGATGTTAGAAGAGGATTAGGAGTTGTGGATCGCACGCGATTTCTTGCAGCTATGACGTTTACGACAGAAACAAACACATTTTTTTGAGGAAACTCAATAACAATGAAAACTGTCAACTTCAACAAGGCCATAATTTTCATCTTCGCTCATCAAGTCATGACGTGCGGATCCGTTCGGAGGTTTGTAGTCCATCAACCTATCCCTGCTAGTGGCAAGACTGCGATACATATGCAACAGACTGTCCTCGTCCTCCTCAGAGACAATATCTCCGCTGAGCCACGTATTGTAGTCCTGGAAGGTGTTACTCTTAGAGGTGGTGAGGTAGTGCGTTACTTCTATCCGCAATAGATACTTGCGCAATACTTGCTGAAGAGCCAGTGTTCTTCCTGTTGAATTCAAAAGGGAAAAGTCCATTCATCAGTAAATACAATGTCATGTCGTGTGCCCTCTTTTACCACGTGGTCAAGTGGATGCGAGGACTTTCAGTCATCGTGTGCCTTCTAGTATACAACTGCTCCACAACCACATGTGGTCATGTCATGTCATGTGCCCTCTTTCACCACGTGGGCACTACCTAGTATGTATACTAGAAAACGGTAACGGAGATACTACAATACAACACAATTAATCTCGCACAAAGTTCAGTGCAGACTGCCATATTGGTTGAAGAAGCAGCTCCACTTGATGAACTCGTGGAATCCACTACTTCCTGGTCACCAGCTATGTTGATTTCCTCTGACACTGCGGTGTTCATGCGGGAAGGGGCTGCTCCCGCTATTGAGCTAGAGCTACTGTTCTTAGCAACGTCCTCTCGCCCTACACTAGGAGAAGCCGCAGGAGCTGGCGGAGCACCAAAAACTGCACGTTCTATAAGGCCCGTCGAGGAGGCATTTTTCTTGTCTAGCTGTCGTTGATGCTGGCGATGGACAAGGCCCTCTTTATTCTTGTGGTCAGTTTCTACCTCTTCAACATCTACTTCCGTGTCTACTATATTGTTGGAAGGGCTACACGCTAGAGGTAAAAACGAACCGCCTATATTTTCTTCCGCCTCCTGTAGTTCTAGTTGTAGCATCTCCATTTCTTGCTGTTTTTTACGGTGAAAAGCCAACAAAATCGATTCTCCACTTTGTACATAAGCTGCGGCGGCGGCTCCTCTGGGTTGGCGATCGTCTCCTGTCATGTCTTGCATGCCACCGACGCTACTATTAGAAGTAAGAGAAATCCATCGCGAGACGCATCTTAGGACCTTTTTCCCCTTGCAAACGGTCTCAGGATGCCTGTGAAGATGGATTTCTTCTAGCCTTAATACTAGGAGAGCCAGGCGATCGCTGCTCATCCCCTCCTTGATGGACATCCCGTCTGGATCCCGATAGCGACGACCCCGGTGTTGGTGTGCTTCTTTCGTCCTCCAAAACGAGTCGCGCAACCTCTCCCGTTTCAGGATGCAAGAACCCCACAGGCGTTCGATAAGGGTTTGCCACTACCTCTTGCGCCAACGCCATGACCTTAGCTAAGGCGATTTCTTCTTCGGCTACCGAATCACTATCCATACTATCCTCTTCCTCATCATCATGTGACGATCCGGATTCCTCATCTTCGTCGTCCTCTTCCTGAGATGAACCACCTTGTTCTTCCGAACTTGGAGCACCTGCTTCACTATCATTAGCGGTTAAAATCGTATATTTTCAAACTCATTCTTCTTCTCTCACGACATATGAATTTGCATATTCCAGATTGTAAAAATGATAGATAGATAGATGTACCCACTCGTGGGGTGTAAGATCTTTTAATGAAATCTCTACTTTTTCAAGAATTCTTAACTCTTAGAGTGGTGCCTTCTTCTTTCGGGTTGTCCTCTTTCATCGAACCGTCAGCTTTATCCTGCTTCCCTCCCTGATCATCTCCATCTGAGACTTCCGGAATATAATTACTATCTGGATTTCTGTTACTGGAACATACTGGCCCAGTCGCCGCGGGTCCAGTAGCTGCTTCTTGTTTGTCGCTCTTGATTTTATTAAAGCGCAGCATTCATTGGTCACTGACTCTGAACGGAAGAGGCCCCCTCCAATGCTCTCCCCTTTCCCTTCATTTTCCCCCAGTCCATTTCAGTGAACAACCTCTGTCTATGACCAATGAAAGTTGAGCCTTAATGATTCCACTCCTAGTTTCTTGAACAAGTAGACGTCCTTCTTGCTGCTTGTGTTGCTGTGCGGAGGCAGATGCCTTGAATATCTCCCCGCCTTGAATATCTCCACTAGAGGAGGATAAAGCAGGACTTGCGACAGCCAGTGTTAGCGATCACAGTAATTATCTATCAGTTGCAGTCATCATCGTTGTATCAGAATCCAAGAAGACAACAGGGAGAAACTAACACGCTGTGAAGATGAATTAATATCGATACTAGCCTTAACACTGTTGATTTCAAGTGGGCTGCATTACGATTAGACGTTCGGAACTGATTGCTAAACCTCCTCATCTCCCCGCGATTAGAAATTTTACGGGTTTCTCCAGCTAGTTGCAGAATCATCCCCGTAGCGAGACTGGCTTTAATAAAAGCTTGCTCAACACCAATTACTGCTTGTGGTTGGGGTTGTTCCGCCTTGTTCATAGTCGTGGCACTTGTGGTTGCACTAGGAACAACAAGATGAACTCCTGGACTATCCGGTTTCTTGTCCTCTGAAGCAACCATTTGTTCGTTGCTGGTCGATGACGACACAACGTTGGCGTGTAGAACTATACTAGGCACTTCTACTTCTTTCATCGTGGCCGCTGATGTCACCTCCCCTTCTAGTGCAGCTGGAGATGATACAACTGGATCCTGTTCTAGTTGTAGCTCTATTAGTACGGAGGTCTGCGTCTGACTCGTACTTGCCAATGGCAATGGAGTACAACTAGTAATCTGCTGCTCCTCCCCTGCTCGTCCACGACCTAGGCCACTGCTAGAAGATTGTTGTAGTGAAAGTCGTGATTGACCATTATAATCATTCTCTTGATGTTGTTCAACTTGCGCTACACCAAGAGTCGTATACGTAGAAATTTCTAGGCTGCTTACTTCAGTTGCGCTGGCAACAGGAATAGTGGGCGCCAGACTACCACTCGCCCCAGCAGCACTGCCAGCCCCTGCACCACCACCACCACCTCCGCCACTGTTTTGGTTAATATTAGAGCCCAAGGCGATTAATTTCTTTGCTTCACTTTCTCAGATGAATCCCAAGAGGAAGGTTAGGTTAGGTTGTGAATCCTGCAGGAAGAGATACAGAGAGGGTTAGGTTAGGTTCGGGAAGACATACAGAGAAGAATTCATTAGCTGTGGAGGTGGAAAATATATATAAATTGTTTTGTTGGAAGAGCTACACGCTAGAGGTAAAAACGAACCGGTTGTTTTATTTAGTGCTTTGAGCGCCGCTGGACCTAAACCTCGACCCTATAAAAAGGGAAGAAGCCAATCAAGATTTGCAGCACACCTCAACATAATGGGGAAAAAAAATTGTACACAAACTGCCTTGAGCCAAAATGTATATATTTATAAAATCCATTTAGTAGTTATATTGAGCCTTAACAATAGCAGTAATAGATCCAAAGCCAAAGCTGCCGCGACTCCGATAGTACGTGGCCTGCGATTCCGCCGCTAAGCGAGCCGTGTTCGGACTTGGGAGCCTCTCAATAGCGTTTCCACGCGGAGCGCGAACTAGGTCGCGCAGAGCGCCACGCGTCAAGCGTTGATGACAGGAGCTACTACTTCTCGACCTGGCGTTCAGGTCTATCATCGAGCATGACAATGGAGCTCCTTTTCTTAGAGCAGGTAGAACAACTCTTAGGCGTCCACCTCTAAAGAAGTGATGAAGCAAACTAGTGCCAGCATCCATCATGAAGAATCTATGTATATTCTCCGTTAATATCACGACTTCACCAGTTCTTGTATGGAAGTTGAAGTAAACAAATTTTAATATCGTATACTTGAGGAACAACGATGATTGCTTACAGAAATGGCTTACCAAAGAAATACTAGAGACAGACCATCTGAAGATGATTTAATAATAACACAAGTTGCAGTTTTACTTCTACTACCGGCCTTAATTTCTCTTGCTGGTGTTGCACAAGAAGTTGCGCTGGAAACGGCTGATCATAACTAGCACTTTGCACCGGCTGTTCCCGCTGGAATGGTGTGGCTGGTGCCGTTACACTTCGAGTCGGACCTCCTTCATCACCAAGAGACGAGTCAAGAACGGGTGGTGGATGATCGACCGTGTTCACCTTTCCACCACCCAAGATGAATAATATGTCTTCCTCCTTATCTTCACAATAAGAAGTAGAAGACATCTTCTGAGTGTAGTGGTCAACTATCTTCTCGACACTTCTTGAAGACGAGGTAAAATTTACGATTGTTCCATCATGTTCTTGATGTTGATGATCCTGTCCGAGGTCGTGCATCCTTTGCTCATGATCTGGATCTCCTTCTAGAGAATGTTCGTCGTCTTCCTCCTCATAGTCCACATGCGGCTCCAACTCTTCGTAAATAGCTCCCGTCAAGCTATCCCGCAATATTAGAGCCCTCTGCAATTCATCACCAAAAAAGACCTGGATGAAGATCCCACTTGAAGAGTGCCTATCTTCACAGAGGAATAAGTACAACACCTCAGTTGAGGAAGATGCCTTGCGTTTGAGTCCAAGATGAGCATGAGTGATCTACTTAATATAGAAGCCGTAACAGTTGTAAAGTATGAGGTTAAAAAACTACTATGAGGATAAAAAAACTGACCACCGGTTGTTTTTATTCAAGTGCTTATCTATCATAGCCGTAACAATAAGTAGTGATGAGGCTGCATCGTATGGCGGTATGGAATTGACTCATCTAGAGCAAGCTGGTCGACCGGATGAGTAGGTTTATTAAAATGGCTCCAGGAAGATCGCGATCGTACGTTTGGAATCATTAGAAGAAGTGCAAGATGGAAGCAACTTTTCTGCCAATCGCACATTGAAGATGATACCTTCTTCAGATAAAAATAAATATCTACTATGTTAATGTTGGTACTATAGTACCGAATTTCAACATACTTCTAAAGAAAGCACGCTTCTGTAGCTTGTTGTTTACACAAAGGTGAATATTAACTTCAACCATCATCTTCTCGAGTATCTTCTATCTCCACCCTAAGCCTAAAAAACCACTACCATGAACATGAAGTATTCGAAAAACTGAAATAAGCGAGTTGAAACTGTGCTGAAAATAGAAGCGAGATACTGACCAAGGAAGAGTAGCCCTGTCAGAGCTACCTGCCTTATTTCAGTCAGTAACTCGGTTATTTCCAGTTTTCGAGTAGAACAAAAGTAATGCTGACATCAACTATAGTCAACATCGTCATCATCATGATCATAGGATAGGACAGTGTGATCAACCCTCATTCAGCCATAAAATGAGTTCGTCGTCTCCTTGTGTATCGCCACGCTCATCGACGAATAGTTCCTCAGCAGCGTCCATCACCGCTACTAGAGAACGATAATGACCTGCGGTAGCCGCCATTCTCTTTGCCGAGGTCCTGCCTCCTGACTTCTTTCGCCGATTCTTGCCTGTGCTCTCCGTCCCACTGCTCGCACTTTGATCTCCTGCGCTTCGCTTAGAAGTGATTTTGGACCTAGAGCGTTAATTTTTTTGCGTTGAAGATCTGCCAAAATGTTAAACTGTAGTAATATTACTGTATCATTATAGCCTTAAGTCCTGAACCTCCTGAGCCTGAAGCTTGCAGCTGCTGTCCATCTTCTCGTAAGAACTGCGTGCGTTCTGGCCCAGAACGGATTATCACGCGACCTGATGTCAGATTCTTAGGAGCGTTACCAGCTAAGGTGCTTTCGAGCCATCCCGGA